TATTATAGTTAAATTATTAATAGTTAAAAGATAAAAGGTTAGGTAGAGTAGTTTACTTACTTATCTAGCCTACTTACTTATTAACTATATTAATTTATAATATATATAATATTACTTACTTTAATTAATACCTTATTAAGTAGTTTAAGTAATATTATATTAATTTAGGTATTAATTAATAAGAGTTAGCTTATTATAATAAAGAAAAAAATATATTATATAGCTAATAATAAACTATAATAGTAAATATACTATAAATACTTCTTTAGTATAAAGAAAAGGGATATATTATAGTATTTTATTAAATAAAGATTATTATAAGGTAATTAAAAAGAAGAAAAACACCCTTTTTATAGCTAAATTAACTATAATTATATACTAGACCTACTAGTGGCTTATTAAGCGCTTACGTGTTAATATAGAGGACCCTACACTCGGATGAGGTAGCTGTAATAACCTCGTTTGATCTGTAGCCACATCTGTACCCAAGCGAGATCACATGGACGCTAGCAGGTCCTTGTTTTTAAATTCTTGTGGCTATTCCCGAGCAAGTTCGCCGATAGCGGTCTCGGTCTAGCCAATCCATTTCATTTTCGGGCTATCAAGTTTTCATTTTGAAAGTTTACAGGGTTTCTATATTGCTACGATTCCTTCGATCCTCTTTTCAGATTCGTATTCCGCTGCTCTGCCCTTTATTTCTTGCTGAACCCAACCTTGATGTTTCCAATCGCCCACGCTGTGAAATACAGAGTCATCATACTTGCAAAAATGACAATTGGCTTGCGCAATGACGAGGCGAGAGTGGCGTCGTAGGAAATGATGAGGTGACGGTCGCGGAATTCATCAACCAGGTTCACCGCCTTGATGGTAACCGATGTGCGGCCAAGAGTATCCAGATATGTCTTGACAACGTCGACAGACGTCTCAGTAATCGACGACTCGGGAATATTGGTAAAGAACTTGATGTTCCTGTAGAAATGTAAGCACACGAACGAGACTGCAAGTACCACTAATACTCACTCAGCACCCTCGGGTAGAAGAACGCGCAAGTTGACGCGACCGTATTCGACACCCTCGGCCTGTTTAGGACCCTCCAGGAAAGGCACCTTGAGCACGTTGCCGCCAGCGGCCGTGCGGCGCAAGATGCTGGCTGCGTTGATGTTCCAGCCAATAGTAAAGGGATACTTCCAACCACCAAAGATGGGGTAGCGGGGCTTGAGCTCGAGGAGAGCCTCGCGCTTATTGCTTCTGAAGCGCGACGTGGACACGTTGCCAATGACGTCGGTGAAGTAGGGATCCGCCGCGCCAATCTGCAGAGGGACGCGGAGCTCCTTGAGCGCCGCCGTCGAGCCACGGTTAAAGTACTGCGACTGCGTCCACTTGGCGCGGTTAAAAGGCGCAGAGAGGTTGGCGCCACGGTGCTCCAGCGTGTAGTGCTCCTCAAAGGCGACGTTGCCTCCCCAGTGGCTGACTTCGACCTCGCGGTCCAGCTCAGACACATGAGTGACGGGCTTGGCGAATTCGAAGCGGATCTGGGCGGGAGAAACGGCGCCAGCGGGCTGTTCTTCAAATGGCCCGTAGGTCAGCTTGGAGCCCTGCTTCTGCGGGAACTTGTCGATCTTGGTGTAGTCGGGGATGGTGGCCGAGGCGGACTTGACTTCAGTCTTTTGCTTGCTCGTCTTGTAGGCAGACGGGGCAAAAGCGGAAAAATCATGGACAAGATATTGCGCCTCATCTTGTTCAATGGTCGCAGGGAGTGGACGGTACGCGTCGAGGTAGAAGAAAGTGATACCGAGTGTCTGCTGAGCGCCAGCCTGGAGAGGGCTGGGGAGGCGGATTCGGTAGTATTGAGTATCGCTGATAGATCCAATGTATTAGCATCACAGAAATGGCAGAGCCGAAAATTTGAGCAATTGCTTCCTACCTGCTGGCGTCGTATTCGACCACTTCGGCAGCAAACGGGCCTGCCTTTTCGTCCTTGCGATCCTTTACCTCGAAGCCACCGACGCGTGAAATCTGCGACGATGTGAAGGGAATATAGTATTCGTCCTGCGGCTCTTTTGATACGTTCTCGATGGCGACATTGATCTGCTCCTTGGCGTAGTTCTTCTCGAGCGAGATGACGTGCACCAGGTTGGCATTCTTGAACACCTGGGGTGGCTTAAAGTCGGCGGGCAGCTTGACGCTCTGGGACGCGGCAGCAATGACGGGCGACAGCAGGCCAAAGACGGCCGCTGCGACTGACAAGAGCTTCATGATGACGATTGGCGAACGCGGCTGTTCATGGACTGCGCAGGCCGGTTTACGTGGGAGTGACAGTTGTGTCTGTTTCGCAAAGCTCCTGACCCTCTAAAGGCATACGTTGCTCATTGAATTGCTGGAGCTCCCCTGCCAGCTGCCAGCCAATCATAGCTTGGTGTGAGCCAGCGTAGGCTGGAACATTGACCCGCTTCCGATTGCACTGGCTGTCCAGTACCAGCTGTATTCTAGCGAGCGAAAAGCCATTCAATGTCCATTGGTAGAATAAATCTCATACTGAGTGATTTTCTGAAATGAATGTGCCATTTTTTTTCTTGTACTTTCCATTTACAATAGTAAAGTTAATTGAACTGAGATTGTTGCATGATAGGACCAACATCATGTGTTTATTGTAGTTCCTCGCGCCATCCAAGACGGAGCCACTTACTTTACCTTGCGAGATCTTCACCGCAAAAATTATCTGCTAGTCAGCAATTATGCCTAGAAAAAGACCTCAGTGAATTTGTCACTTACACTATCATTCCAATTGCCGACAATCTTAGCAAATGTGATCAATTCCGTATCGAGGTTCTTCACAGGAAAGACCAAGTGCGATCGCTTGCATGTAGCAGTAGACTAGTTATATAATTTAAGTGTGGAAGCGGATAAGCGTGTTCGCTTGCTCGTTCTTGAAAGGCTCGGGGTGAATCGGCCGTGGAACCCACGCCATTGACTATATATGAGAACTTATTTGACAGTTATGAACCTGGTGTGATTCGTCTAGAATACAAAGTCTCTTTGAGAATTGACCGAATTATGCTTTAGGAACCCCCTGATACTCGTCGTATCCGAGCGCAAGGTTCATGTTCTCTGTAACAGTGTTAGTAGCTGGGCAAGATGCACTCGACACTAAAAGACTTACGGAGGCACTGGGTGGCAGCACCCTTGTTGAGGTTGTCGATGGTGGCGCAACTATCTCGAATTAGTCACATACTCCCGTATGCCGCTCAGAAAAGAGTACTTACACGACGACACGTTGGCCAGTGCTATCAACAGCGAAACCGCCAATCTCTACCCCATGCTTGTTCTGGATCGCCCTCACGAGCGGGGCTTCGCCGACGACCTTGACAAGCTTCTCGCCAGCATATCGGTCTTGGTAGATCTGGCGGATATCTCGAGACGTCATCGTCTTGTTCAAGGGGGCGTTGATGGTGAGATGGATGCCACGGAACCAGGAGGCGCTAGATCGTTGTCAATGTCGAAAGCCACAACACCAAAAGAAAAAAAGAAGCAACGAACCAGTGCGGAATGAAAGACGCCGAGATGCCAAGCTGGTGATTGATTTCACGCTCATGCATGTGGCCAGTCAAGCTGTCTGCCTAGATATCAGCTTCCGGGGACCATGGGTTTTGGCGAGCAGCCTAGGTCTTACATGGCAAAAGGTTATCATGGAGAAGGGCAACGTCGTTCTTGGGAGAGGGCTTGGTGCCAGCTCCGCTGTAGCCCGAGACACCAAATACGGTCGGTGACGCTCCCAGGTGCTCCAAAATGGGGTTGAGGGCTAGCAGTGCACCCGTCGAGTAGCAGCCCGGAGTGCTAATACGAGTCGACTGGGCAATCTTGGGACGTGCCAGCAGTTCGGGAAGACCATACGCCCACGAATCGTCGAAACGGTAGTCGGCCGAAATATCAACAATGACGCTGGAGCTTTGGCCCAGCGCCTCGACAAACGGCCGGCAGACGCCGTTGGGGAGGGCCATGATCCAGCAGTCGACTTGCCCGTCCTTGTCCAGCCGGGCGACATCCTCAGGCGACAGGTTTTCGTAAATGATCTTGCGCTTCGTGTACCCTTTGAGCTCTTGACCGCCGAGCTCGCGTGACGACACGTGGCGGAGGTCCATGTTGGGGTGGTTATTGAGCAGGTCAATCAGGGCCTGGCCGGTGTAGCCGCGGGCGCCGATGAGTCCGATGCGGGACGGAGCTTCGTTGGAAGCATTCTTCTTGCCCAGCGGCGGGTTCGGATTCGTGTTGAGGGCGTAGGCGAAGCGGCTCGTGGAGGAGAGGTCGCGGGTTTGGGAACGGGTGGCGTGGCGGCCAACGATAGACGCCTTGTACAGCGGTGGTGCGACGACAGACGAGGCGGCGTGAGGTGCGATACGTCGGGCGCCGATGCGCACCGCCCCCGAAGTAGCGGACAGCATGGTTGGTGGTGGTAAAGGGAGACCAATTGAGCGACGTGTGAGCAGGGAGGAAGAACAAGATGGAACAGGCAGCCTCAAGGCAGTCAGTGTATGACTGGCGAATCACGCGGGTCTGGGGTGGCCTGGGCAAACTTTTTAGCGATCATTAGTGTGTTCCTGGGGTAGCGCCAGCCGAAATCGGTGTCTGGGGCGATTGACGCGCCTCGAGTCCCTGAGTTAATGTAACGTCACGATACGATTAAAGAGCGATCAAATAGGAAGCACTAGTCTCAATTGTTCATACCAAAAGAGTAGGAAAGAGAGCAAAGAGAATGCCCGCCTGCAGCGAAGTTCAAGTAGTAACTGATTATTTTCGGCTTTGCTTTAGATTACCTTATCGCACCGTAGCTAGGCTGTGTTTACCGTTGCTTTTACACCAGTACAACAACCAACCATCTTACAACTTACATCTCCAAGTGTCTTGATCCATTTAGGTCATGCAATTTGCACCCTCTCCAAGTCGCTTCAAGTATAGCTTCGACGCAATTAAATGGAATTCAGCCCTCGATATCTAATCATACCTTTAACATTTCATATCATCTGTCAATTTGTGTAACGTAGGGCGCCTGGTGGCTATTCCCCAATGCACAGAGATGTGTTACTCCAACAACACCACTGTGCATCATGCCAAACATCCCCAGACCACTCAGATCATGGTCCAGCTTGCTTCGGCACGACTGCCAAGACTCGGCTCCATTATCCGAGACGACCCGACTCGTTAGTTGTGGGACCGGTGAGCCTCTGAGAGGTTCAAAGACTGGCTTGTCGGTGGGAAGAAGGGAGCAATCATTTCACTCCCGCGTCGCTTGGTTTACATCTCTCGTAGTGCGAGCGGGACACAGCTCCGGTGAGGGAATTGACTACGGAATGACCCGAACGACATCGCTGTCTATCGGCAGTTCAGCGTATTGATCTTCATTGACCGAGACTCGGTCGTTTCGGTGCCCGACGCAGTCTTCTGCCGCCTCCCGTTCCTAGTCGGCGTTCACTGCGCCTTGCCGTAGGGTGATAAAGCAGGAGGCGCTTGACTTGCGGTTCGCCAATGTTGACGAAGAAGTGGGACATGACCTCGCGAGAAGCGATGAACTTGTCCACATGTGAGCAAGGCGCAAGGAGACGGCCGAGTCGCCTTTTTACGGCATCATGGTTTTTCTCCAATTAGGTGGTGGCGTACCGCTCGCTGATCTACACCATTGTACGTCAGCATGAGGCAGCATTGAGTAAGCAACGAAGGGCTTCCAGGTCTAACTGAAGTTGTTGGGCGAGCGCAACAACGTGCGAGGGTCACATTTTTCATCGTGGAGTTTGAGAACTGTGCGGCATTGTGAGGGAAAAAGAATCACGGCAGTTAATTTATTGCGAAGCTCAATCGTTCTTCGTTGGCCGTCTTGTTATGAGGTGACAGCGTTTGTAGGAAAATGCGCACTGCCTATCGGGCCGTCGACCCGCTACCTTATTGGTGGCCAGATTTGACGCCACTGTAGCCCAACTAGCTTTTTGTTCAGCTCCCGGTCTTTCCGACCTGGCCAGCGATAATAAGCTGTAGGTAACTCTCATCATCGTTTCTGCCCAACTCACACCCTACAATTCGATCGACCTCAGTTACGCAGCCAATCCATCATCGTCATTGAAACACCTGTCCAGCCACCTACTTCGCCTCCAGAAATTGCACCCACCGTCTTTGTGCAACATCCTTACCAATTGTGCTACCATCACACAGGTGGTCCCCTCCTTGGTCGAGTCGCACAGCAGCTACCCCTCCAAACCCCGCGACGCACTCAAAATGGTTGGCCTAGGTCCTCGCCCTCCGCCCTCTAGAAAAGGTATCCTCAGCCGTCCATACCAATTCAGTAGTCGAAAAAAGCGGCATGTCTTTCGCATCTTTACTACGATCATCCTTACTGCCATTCAGGTCCTGGCGTCGCAACAGCCGGCACAAGCTAACAGTCACTACAGGGTCGAAGGCCGATATACCCAAGGACACCATGGAGGCGATCCGTAAGCTCGAGGAGATCTTCACGGTCGATACTGCCAAGCTCAAGGCCATCACCGAACACTTCATTGCCGAACTTGCCAAGGGTACGTGATGCACCAGCACCAGGCGTCACCACGGGGGCTGCGCCAAGCAGTACTAACTGTGTCTTCTCAGGTCTCAGCAAGGAGGGCGGCAGCATCGTAAGCAAAGGTCCATTCGCGTCCGACCCAGTAACTCCTTCTAATCAAAATCCAGCCCATGAACCCTACTTGGGTCATGGAATATCCCGATGGCAACGAGACCGGCACGTTTCTAGCCCTCGACATGGGCGGCACCAACCTTCGCGTCTGCCAAATCACCCTCACCGAGAAAAAGTCCGAGTTCGACATTATCCAGTCCAAGTACAGGATGCCTGAGGAGCTCAAGACTGGAAAGAGCGACGAGTTGTGGGAGTACATTGCCGACTGTCTTCACCAGTTCCTCGAAACCCACCACGGCGACACCAAGAACATCAAGACTCTGCCACTGGGCTTCACCTTTTCCTACCCTGCTACGCAAAACTATGTCGATGCGGGCATCCTGCAGCGGTGGACAAAGGGATTCGACATCGATGGCGTTGAGGGCCAGGATGTCGTTCCCATGTTCGAGGCTGCCCTCGCCAAGCGTGTATGTTGCTCATTACTGCTCTGTAGTTCTTTTCTGACATGCGTGTAGGGCGTTCCCATTCAACTGACTGCTCTCATCAATGATACCACTGGAACTCTCATGGCCTCGGCCTATACCGACCCCAGCATGAAGATTGGTTGCATCTTTGGCACCGGCTGCAACGCCGCGTACGTCGAAGACTGCGGTTCCATCCCCAAGCTTGCCGATATGGGCCTCCCTGCCGACATGGGAATGGCCATCAACTGCGAGTGGGGTGCTTTCGACAACGAGCACAAGATCCTTCCGCGCACTAAGTACGACATCACCATTGATGAAGAGTCTCCTCGTCCTGGCCAACAGGCTTTCGAGAAGATGATTGCAGGCCTCTACCTGGGCGAGATTTTCCGCCTCACTCTGGTTGACCTGCATGACGAAAAGCACATCTTCGAGGGGCAAGACATTGCTTGTCTTCGCAAGGCCTACAGCCTCGATGCTTCGTTCTTGTCTGCTATTGAAGAGTAAGTCCCACGCCTTGCTAGTGTTGCGCAATGTCTAATTCGCGGTATCTAGGGATCCATTTGAGAATCTGCAGGAGACTTTGGACCTGTTTTCCAACAAGCTGCAGATTCAGGTCACTGGGCCGGAGCTCGAGCTTATCCGCCGCCTCGCCGAGCTCATCGGCACCCGTGCCGCCCGTCTCTCTGCCTGCGGTGTCGCTGCCATCTGCAAGAAGAAGAACTTCAAGACCTGCCATGTCGGTGCCGACGGCTCCGTCTTCAATAAGTACCCTCACTTCAAGGCCCGCGGTGCGCAGGCTTTGAAGGAGATTCTTGACTGGCCCGACAAGACGGACCCTAAGGCTGAGGACCCGATTGAGATTCTGGCTGCCGAAGACGGCAGTGGTGTAGGCGCCGCGCTGATTGCCGCGCTGACGCTGAAGCGTGCGAAGGAGGGCAATATGGCGGGTATTCTTCACCCTGAGCGTTTCAAATAGGCAATATATCCTTGTCCATGCAAATGTTAGTCAGACAGCTAGTAGATATTTGAACTTTTAGGGATTTCATTTAACCCATTTGGATAACTCTCTATAACTTTGGTTTTGATGCATGAAAACGAGCTTCCAAGTAAATAGATACAAGAAGGATAATGTCATGAGAGTTGCGCTCAGTTTCTAGCCCATGAATGTGCATATGGGCAGTTTATATGCTGAAAAACAAGAAGGTTAGCACAATCAGGTCATGACAATCAGAGTAAAACTCATCCACTTACTGTCCAGCGTCCAGTACCGTCTGCGCACGCCCTCCCACTCACCCTTGCCCTCCTCCTTGAGCCGGCTCATGTCCACGTCGACCGTCTGCCACTCGACGTCCAGCCCGGCCTCGCTCGCGTGCATCTCGACGACCTGCGCGTAGACGTCGTAGCACACGCGGCGATCCGCGCCCAGCCCGTTGAAGAAGCCGAAGCGCCCGTCCATGTCCAGCAGCGCGGGCACATACTCTGTGAAAAAAGTCCGCAGCTGCGCATAGTCCTCGCCAAAGGTGTCAAAGTAAATGGCGTCGTATAGCTCGCCGCGCTCCATGAGCGTCGGCACCACGTCCTGCCACTTGCCCGAAAACATGTGAAACGCGCCGGGCTCGGGGCTCGTGGCTTCCCAGGCAGCGCCAAACGAGGTGCGGCCCGAGGCGACGTGGGAGAGGACGCCGGGATGGGCCTCGATGATGTGGTGCTTGGCGGGGGAGAGGGCGGCGAAGAGGCCGTCGATGATGCCCATGCCGAAGCCAATGTTGAGGATGCGCTTGCCGGGGGTGGTAGAGGAGGAGTTTGGGAGGAGGGCGGCAACGGAGCGTTGCATAATGTCCGTCTCCCAGGCCATCATGACGCCGTTGAGGTCGTCGTCGAGCAGCTTGTCACCGTCGTAGGTGACGTTAGACTGGAGGTACTCGTCGCTGGTGACGGTCTTTTCACCGGCGTCTGGAGGCACAAACTGCGCTGGCGCTGCTGCTGCTGCTGCGTCTTTTTCATCTCCCTCTCTCTTAGCGGGTGCGATCGTCTTGCCGTCATCATCCTGCTGCCGCTCTTGGTCTCCTTCTTCCATGACGGCGTCACCCTCCTCCTCCTCCTCCTCGTCGCCCGAGGACAGCGCCTCGTAATCGCCCATCACTCCAAAGAGCATCTCGGCGCGTACGCCGGCGTCGACAAACATTCTGTACAGCTGCTCCTGGCCGAGGCGCCGGGCGGTGCAGCCGGGCGTCTCATTGTGGTCGTCGACGTCGTTCCATATGGCGCCGGAGAAGAAGAGCTCTTGGATGCAGGCGCGGGCCTCGGCCACCACACCGTCCTCGTCGTCACCGGTAGACTGCGGCTCCGCGGGGCCGCAGCCGCGGACGACGGCGTGCAGGGGCGTCTCGCCCGTCGTGGGATCCTGCTCGCTGGCGGCGCCGGGCCGGTCCAGGAGCTCCTTGAGGCCGGTCAGGTCGCGCGACCAGGCGTGCAGCAGGACCTGGCGCACATCGTCTGGCGAGTCGGCGGGGATACGCGCCTCGAGGGCGTCGTTGTAGTCTGGCATGGCGCGGGGGAGGGATTTGTGTTCCAAGCAGCACTCTTTATTATTAGACTTTTATATGGCAGCAGAGCGCAACGTCCTGTGCGATGGAGGGCGGTTGGCGCAAAGCTACTTTTGCCGTTGGTATTATTTGACAGGATTTTTTTTTTCTTAGTGGCAGTATCTCGAGTCTGGGTCCGTTTGTGGAGGAGAGCTGGTGCGGGCAGAGGCGGCAATACTGGGAGGAAAACTTGGGAGATACTGCGCGCATAGAACTGTGTAGAGAACTAACTACCTAGGTAGGTAGGTATTCATAAGTGCAATAAATGAGAATAAACGAGGGAAAGAGTGTCAAGTCCGTCTCCAGTAGCGGCGGCGTCGCGAGTACAATGATCTCTGCCATTATCTAGGTAGGTTGTATTGGAGAGCCATGACAGTGTAGGTAGGCAATCGTATCATCGGCGCTACCACTGTTACAGAGCACGTAGACACCTGGGAAATTTGGCAATGAATGTTACAAAAATTCGAGAGCAGACTTTGTATGATATTACGCTGCCAGCGTTGCATGCCCAATGCAGACGAGGATCTGTCAGATGCGGCCTAGCCATGCGCAAATGGCGATGACTCCGAGGCGCTAGTGATAATGTACAGGACCAGTGGCGCCACTACCTGCGCGGGAGAGGCCATCTGACAGCTTTTCATAGATGAAATATTTCTAAGGCATGTAGGCATGGATGAGGCCTATCAGATAGCATGTCAGAGGTATTTTTTAATATGTCAGATAATTCTGACATCCCATCCGATAGACCCCGTCTAAGCGTACATGCCTTGAAAATATGCCAAACTACCTATGTCAGAGGGCATGTCAGAAAACCCCCCTCTGCACCAGGGCGAGCAGCGCATGAGGCGCCCAAGCTGCAGCGGACCACGATTCCCCGTAGCCCTCTGTAAGTGAGCCCCTGTAGGGCCCACGACTAGCGCCTCCAGAAGCACATGCAGGCCACAGGCAGGCTGTAGCATGTCCCAGGCCTGACATCTGTGGTGTTTTTAGCGTGCTCGCAGTGCTCGATGGGGTACTGGCCAGCCACAATCCACAACCACAGTCTCCCCTCATCACCACGTTTCAATGCCGCTAGCTTTGATTCGCCAATTCGGCCGCATTCGACAGCTCTCTCGCCGACCAGAGCTCTTCAACTAGTTATTTGCACGGCCGGTTTTCTGTCTCTACATTACCCGCCCCAAAAGACATCGACAATTGGCCAGGATCTTCAAAAGAGGGCACAAAGGCCTCAGCTGGTAAGAAATTATTATTTTTTTCTTCTCCTCTTCCTCACCTACAGCTACCTGTCTGCCCATTGACGCTGCTTGCGCTCTCTCCCAGCTTGCCACTCATCGCTCGTCCACCCCCGGCGACTGCGCCCAGCCATAACTCGCATGCTGATCATCAAGGACCTCAGGAAAACAAACAATTGCTGGACGACGCCCCCCCGCGGAACCTTTCGCGCCCGGCCCGGAGTCATCGTCATGAAGTTTGGCGAGCAGCTGCGGTCCAGCATCATCCGCGAGTACCAGTGGTACTACATTGACTACAATGGCCTCAAGTCGGAGCTCAAAGGCGCAACCGGCCCTGCCCCGGCCAGCGGTGTCGGCCCCAACCGGTGGTCCGAGGACGATGAGACGCGCTTCGTAGGCCGTCTCGAGGCCGAGCTCGAAAAGGTCCACACCAAGCAGCAGGTCAAGGCCATGGAGATTTCCCGCCGCATCGCCGTCTCCGAGCGCGAAGTCAAGAGCGTCGTCAACCGCCTCCAGGAGCGCGGCCTTGCCGAGGAAGGCCCTAGCGAAGAGGAGTTTATTCTGCTCGAGGAGGACCTGTCCGACATCATTGCCGACGTCCACGACCTCGCCAAGTTTGTTCAGCTGAACTACACCGGCTTCTACAAAATCATCAAAAAACACGATGTAAGAAGACGGCGATCCGACCGAGATTACATTGCTAGACCTTGCTAATCATGCTCTCAAACTACAGAAGCAAACTGGCTGGCATCTGCGACCCGCGTTCGACACCCGACTCAAGGCCAAGCCTTTCTATAAAGAAAACTACGATGCCTCCGTCATCAAGCTGTCTAAGCTCTACGATCTCGTCCGGACACGAGGCAACCCCGTCAAGGGCGATTCCGCCGCTGGCGGCTCCCAAGCCAGCTTTGTTCGGCAGACGACTAAATACTGGGTTCACCCTGACAATGTCACCGAGCTGAAGCTCATTATCCTCAAGCACTTGCCCGTGCTCGTCTTCAACGCTGGCAAAGAGTTTGACCCCCAAGACTCTGCCATCACCTCTATCTACTACGACAATCCCGAGACCTGGGAGCTCTACGAGGGTCGCCTGAAGAAGACGGAAGGCGCCGAGGCCATCCGTCTCCGCTGGTACGGCGGCATGCAGAGCGAGACCATCTTTGTCGAGCGCAAGACTCACCGCGAGGACTGGACTGGCGAAAAGTCTGTCAAGGCACGCTTCGCCCTCAAAGAAAAGAACGTCAACTCTTACCTCCGAGGCGAGCTGCTCCCTGGCGCCATCTTCGAAAAGGCCCGCAAAGAGGGCAAAAAGTCGGAAAAGGCCATTGCCGAGGACGAGCGTCTTGCTTCCGAAGTCCAGTACTCTGTGCTGAAGAAGGGGTACAAGCCCGTCTGCCGGTCATTTTATAACCGCACAGCCTTTCAGCTGCCAGCTGATGCCCGTGTCCGTATCTCGTTGGATACTGAGCTCACCATGGTCCGTGAGGACAATCTGGATGGTCGAACCCGCAGCGGCGACAACTGGAGACGCATGGACATTGGCATTGATTATCCGTTCTCCCAGCTTCCTGCCGAAGATGTCGTCCGGTTCCCCTATGCCGTCCTCGAAGTCAAGCTCCAGACCCAGATGGGCCAGGAGCCGCCCGAGTGGGTTCGTCAACTTATCTCCTCGCACCTAGTCGAGGCCGTGCCCAAGTTTTCCAAGTTTATTCACGGCTGCGCCTGCTTATTCCCGGATCGCATCAATCTGCTCCCTTTCTGGATGCCGCAGATGGATGTCGACATTCGCAAGCCTCACACCCACGACTTTGGCATTCACAGAGCCGCGCTCTCTGGCACCACGACGACGTCCGATGACGACGAAGAGGATTTCGACTCCGATGACGATGACGCTGGTAGGCCCTCTACCAGCGCTGGCCGGGCCTTTCACCCACAGCGATCCCGACGCGAGTTGGCCACCGACATGGAGGGCCAGACGGTGGATCTGCCCACGGCGAGTGATGACTTTCTAATTTACGACTCTGACGAAGAGTACGATGAAAACTACGAGTTGGAGCAGGCACGTAGAGTCGGCGGATGGCACTACTACTCAACTCTGTTTGCCGCCAAGGGCCATGCCTTCGGCCGGGCAGCGCTCAGCGCCCTCTGGGCCGTTGTGCCCCGGCCGCGCAGTACGCAGGTGTCACGCAGCGCGCGTCAGGAGATGCTATTCGGCGACCAGCAGGTGCAGTCGAAAAAGTTCAAGGCGCCAAAGGGCAAGAAGATTTACGTGCCCGTGCGCGTCGAGCCCAAGGTCTTTTTCGCCGCCGAGCGCACCTTTCTCGGCTGGCTCGAATATTCGATTTACATTGGCACCATTGCCATGACGCTCCTCAATCTCAAGAGCCACCCGACGCCCACGTCGTTTTGGGTCTCGGCCATTTTTACCTTTCTCGCCATCCTGAGCCTACTGTACTCGGTCGGCGTCTATCTCTACCGCAGCCACTCAATCCGCAATCGCAAGGCGGCACGATACTTTGACAAGTGGGGTCCCAGCGTGCTTTGCGTGTCGCTGTTTGTGGCCGTGGCGCTCAACTTTGGCTTTGAGGGGCGTGAGCGTGGCCTTTGGTGAGGATGTGTCGCGAGCTTTGGTGTTGGTTGTGAGGGTTGTTGTTATCTGATTGATTTTATGTTTACGAGTTGGCCGACTCTTCTTATATGTATCCAAAATGAAGTGTCCAAGGAGCTACGTATCTATCGACACAGGACTGGAATAATGTACAAGCGCTTTTTTTTTTTCAACGTCGTCGCCATCTGTTCTTTTCAGGCTTTTCACATGGTTTAAAGCAAATAAAACTGATTGGATTTTTTGCAACCACATCATGTCGTCTCTCGAGAATTGTGTTTCCAACTTATGTAATATACTCGTCATTCTAAATTGGGTAAGAAAAATTACTATCTTGGTTTTGATCTTTGCAGCTGGGCAAATAATAAAGAAGCGCCAGGAGGGCAAAGGAATTATATACTGCCATGACAGAAAAAGAAAACATTTGTCTGAAGAGACGCCGAAAAGAAGAAGAAAGAGAATGAGTTGGTATAGAAGGGTAAAGTAGAAGAAGAAGGCCGGCAAGGTGGGTATATATATGTGTATATAAAGTCTTTGCCGTGACGTGAAGCTCGTGCTCCGACTGGAGTCGCGGAAGACGCTCAACAACATTACAGAAAAAAGAAGTCTGTCTTTTCTAGTTGTGAATTGACAGAGTGAGTAAAAAGGTTATTATGTGAAAGTTGGGGAAAAGAAGAAGAAGAAAAGAAGAAGAAGAAAAGAAGAAAGGCTGATGAATGGCCAATGGAGATGAGAAACAAGAGACTCGTGATCAAAACGAGACAAAGTACAAAGTGTAAAAGTCCAGCCAGGAATCCCATGGCAAAGAAGAAGAAATGTTCCTCTCAAAAAAAATAAAGCTTGCTGCGCGAATGCAATGCGATTTCCGTCTCTTGATAAGGGAAATGACTGAATGTGTCAGTATGCGTATATCCTGACCTCTTTCCCCCCAAAAAAAACATGTAATAAAAGGCTGTACCGGAAATGGCGGTGAAGGAAAAGAAAGAAAGAAAGAAAGAAAAGAGGGTGCAGCGGCAAAGAACAGAAAAGACAACTCCAATGAAATCCCAGGCATTCAAGTCGTAACACGAACCAAAGAAATTATGATAACCCTCTCCCTTTCTTCTCTTTCAAGGGTGATGATTATGGCTATTTTATAAGCTCAGCGGCAATCTCCTGCCGTACGTGCCGGCACCACTTCAAAATGGCTGCTTCAAAATCGATCCACGCCTTTCGGTCGGTGCCGTACGCCACGGCCAGCGCGTCGACGGAGAGCACCACTTCGAAGCGCAGCTCGGCGGCCTTGACCCAGTAGCGGAGATTGTCGGCGCAGCGGTACGGCTTCTGCGTGTCCGTGTGAAACGAGGGGATGGCGCCGAAGCGGCGTTTTGACTTGTGGACAGCGGCGTTGTGCAGCGCGACGAGGCGCCGGCCGTCCTGCATGGCCGCGAGGAACGGCGTAGGAAGCGTCGCGGCGTCGGCTGCGGGCGTGTCCCAGGGCGGAAGACCGTGCGTGGCGTCGGCGGCGTTGGAGTCCATGGAGACGAGAAAGGCGCGCTCGCGGGCACGCTCGCGGCCAGACCAGTCGGCGTCGGCCATCCAGGCCCAACTGGCGCGCTCGGCGGATTCGGCTGCCTCGATGCGCTCCTCCTGCGCCAGGATGCCGAAGACGCTGTCGGTCCAAGCGAGCATGGTCCGAATGTCGTCGTCCTTCATGCCTCCTTTGAAGCCGCGAAGGGCCATTTGCTTCAGAACCTCCATGACGGCGAGTAGCTCGGAGCGGACCTGCTTCTCCGACTTGATCGAGTCGAGGCGGTCCGGCTGCTCGTGCGCCGTGTAGTACATCTTGGCAGCGCGAATGGCGAGGGTCACGACGTCGAGTATGTGCATACCCTGGAGCTCATACCAACCCTGAGAGTTCTCCTCGGGCATGTTGGGCAGCAGCGGCTCGTCGGGCGAGGCGAGGTAGGAACCGGCCTTTCTCGCCTCTGCCTCTTTGAGAGCCTTTTGGGCGTCACGGAGAGACGTTTCCAGCTCCGCTTTGAGTTCCTCTATCGTCGGCGGCCGTGGGATGGGCGTCTCTCTGTGATGATACGTGCTGACGGTCGGAGGTAGTATGCCTGATTCCGACTCGGTAAAGCTATCTTCGTCGCAATAGTCCTCATCGTTGTCCTTGAGGAGAGACTCGGTGATGGTGGTGGCGGCGAAGCCATGCGAGGCGAGGTCGGGGCTGCTACCCATGGAAGCGTACGAGGAGTCAAAGTCCGAGGCGGAAAGCCCGGAGCCGTCTGCGGAGCCGTCGAGGGCGGAGAGATCGAGTGTGACCTTGGGCTGCTTCTTGCGGGCGAGCTGCGCGCCCTTGCCGTCGAGCAAGCCGGTGCGAGCAAAGTAATACTGCAGATGCGCGATGCTGCCGAGGCTCATGACGCTCTCGCGGGAGCGGGCGCTGGCGGCAAAGTCGGTGGCCTGGGGCCGCATGTAACCCCGTCTGCGCGTCTTGGAGTCGGCCGAGTGTGTGGAGCGACGGGAGACGTGAGAGGCATCGGAGCGGCGGGAGTGGAAGGAGCCCGAGGAGTGGCGCGAAGTGTTGTTGAGGCCGCTGCCGAGTGAGTCCCGTGAGCTGTCCTCGGTGACGGAGCCGTGGGAGAGGGATGAGGCCGTGGAGACGCAGCGTGAGAGGTCGCGGTACGCTCCTAGAGCAGGCGTGGGGGGGAGATCCGGTGAGGGCGGGTGATTCTGAGTGGCAGCCATGGCGCGTGTTGGCCTCGTTGAGAGGCGATGGTCGGTTTGCAAAAAGAGAACAGAGATCGTGGGGCAACAGGCCGACGTGCAGGCAGCTAGAGGCAGCGAGCCGTGGCGATTAGCAAGCGATGCCAGTATCCGTATAGCTTGGTGTCGACGAGAAGTGGTGGCGCGCTATTAGTGAAAATGTGAAGCCAGTGTTGAATCGAAGAGGGCAGAGCCTGGAGTCGAGAGTCGAGAGATGGTGCCCTCTGCGAGACAACAAGGGGTTCGTGGTGGTGGCAGGTCAACGTCGCCAGATCAAGGAGCCAGGAGGTCCTTGTATATCACAGTACGGGGTCGATGTGTGGTCTGGGGCAGCCGTTACTGTCGGAGCGCCAATGGAAAACAATGGATCTTGTTGTCTCGAAGTACTGCAGAAAAGGCACGTGTACCGGGTTGGCCCAGCAGAGCAGACGGGACGAGGATTCAATGCCAGTAAGTTGTTTTAGCTCGTGAAACTCGGGAGAATATTTAGAGGACAGACAATTAATTGGGTGAGGCGACTGACTCCGAGGCAACGGATGGATGGATGGATGGATGGTGGCACGGTGGATCTCGAAATGAGAATGGGATGATGGGGGGAACTTTACAGTGGGTATTCACAGCTGCCTCTCGTCAATTCGAGCACCAATGTATGGCGTTTTGGTGGTCATTTGCTTGGAGATACAAAAGGTCCACGTTCACTGTAGCATGTCTACTTGGAGCACTGAAGCCTCTGTACGGAGTAGAACGAGCCCTGTAATACCGTGCACCTGGGATTTTTTTTTTAGGAATCCCCCCAAGCAGCCAGCTTGCCAGCTGGCCAGTTTGCTCCTCGTAATACCTGTCGTCCCGGGAAACCAAACGGAGTAGACCGTAGGTACCAATTCGTCGCAAGTAAATCCTCTTGGCAAATTCATCGGTCATCCCCATGCAGGCATGGCTGACCCAGCTCGAAATTGCGGTTGCAATTTTGCTGCCACGGGGGCAGCCCTGTGTCTCCTACCAATAGAATTTTCCTCGTGTGCTGCGCCAACGACCAGCCAGCGGTCCGTTAACATTTTTTTTTCTGAATAGGTACTTGCCAACAAAGCTTGCTGTCTGGATAATGTTTTAGAATTTCTGTGTCTATCTTTCCTCTCTTTTAAACTTTTGCTGCAACATGGCCTGTGCCACCAATCTGCGCTGGTGCCGTCAGTGTACCGCCCGGCCCGGCCCCAAAGCCCGCCAATAGCAAGCCTGTGCCTGAATTTGTGGCGCCGCCAAGTGGAGAGTACCCGTCAAAGGACTGAGCGGATGGGCGTGTGTAATAATTATATGAGTTCGGCCAGAAGTCAACCATTCAAGCAGCAGTCTGCAGCAGTCTATTTAAAAACTCGACTTTATACGGAGTAGTATATAAAAAATGGGATGACGACGCGCTGATAAAATAGCGATGACTCGACAGGCAATGCTGGCAACGATGCTGTATGCAATTGGGCCAGCCCACAATCCATGACTTATTAACGGTATCCTGTCTGTGTGCCTCTCTTTCCCTGGCCTGCTGGTTCATATCCTGGGGCAACCCGTGCTGTAATACCAGGCGCTCTGGAATGGAGGAGGGCCGTTCACGCCAACAACTGCGACATTTGCAGGAAATCAAATCATTAATCTCGGGTATCCAGAGAGACTGCAAGAATACGGAGTACAGCATGAATTTATTACCATCCCCGTCACTTCTTTGCGGTTTTGGTTCAGCTGCGGTGCCAAGGCCGAGCCTGCCGCAACGCCGGGGAAGAATCGCCTTCAAATTTGGACGCGGTTCCGCACGGTTACCGATTGCCAGCTCAAAAATCCTGCCATTAGTACAATGGAAATATGAAGACACAAAAAACGCACCCAAATCACGAGCAGCAGACTCTGAGAGGGCAAAGAATGCTAGTTGGGACGAAGAATCCCAGCTATGGCTCAGGTCTAGGGACTGCGGAAAGGCGTCACATCGGATGTTTCGAGACCAAGACTCGAAACAGAAATTGCAACGTCTAGAATCCTGTCGTCATCAGTGCCAACAAGTGGACGCACATCAATCACACTTTTGCGTTGGTTGATGAAGCGACTTACCAGATTTCCCAGATGAACGAACTTGCATATTGACCAGTCTCGAGGAAAGAAAGTTTCGAGGCAGAAGATTTTCATCAGCATCCGCGAATGGGATGCAGGCGGCGCCTTTCCCAAAAAAAAGTGTCTTCTCCGGCAAATCGCGCCGCCCTTGTTCAATAGGCACTGAAGTTCATGAGAACATGCTCTTTTGACGGCGTAAACATTGACTGGGAACTGATCACTCCTTGGAAGGAGCTCAAGGCCATGCATGACCCAAGATCTGTACCGTCTGACTGTTACGTCCTACCGGTATTTCCAAGGGTTCGACGTCACACTGATATATGTGGACTGGTTCAATATGACAATCAAGCTGTGGCTGACAAGACTCAACAGCACAGTCCTCGGCCACACCTAAGCGCTACACATATACCGACCCAGCTGCAAGAAGACGAAGCAAAACTGCCGATCCATGAAGCGTGTTACCAAAGAAGCTACTTGAGGCAACTATAAGCTGCTTCTCCAGCTAGAATAGATGATGGTTCAGAGCTCGAGCAACAGTTCAACTCCAAGCTTCGCACAAGACACGCCGGTGACGATAGTTCCAACAATTCTTGGTGAGATCATTACATAGCAGGTTTATCCACTCAATCTCTTTCCCGTCTTCCCAGCAGCCTGAGAGACGAACTTAAAGGCAAACCTTTGTTGAAGCACGTTTGACTTCGAAGTGAGTCTCAACGTGGCGGTTATATGAAATTGGGTGCACGCATAGAGGCGGACTCAAAGGCGTGAGTAAGCCTGACTATGGGCGATGCCTAAATAGTAACGCGTCCGAGAAATTAGAGCTGTTTGTTTCTGATAAAGACCCTGAAAGAGTTCCACACCCTTCAGATGCATCTGGCGAATATCCTTGCGGGGTCGCTCAGCATTTCCGATTATGCCATCTTAGGCAGAGAGGCGGTGCTCGCGGCCGGGTACAGTCATGGCTTGCGTGGCCCATCTAGGCAGCGAAAGCACAACCAGCTTTGGGCTCTTCCTAGCATCTATGTAGAGCGCTAGGTCGAAGCAGATAACGAGGATGTTTCTGGATATCAATGACGTCGAGAGCTTGTTGCGAATGTCGACGAGGCCTACCCACCGGCGTGCTTTCTCGAGGTCATGGGTCGAAAAATCTACGGAGGTTTGTTTCTTTACGACACTGGCGCGGGAAAGCGCGCATAGTTCTGTCTCTTGTTCTTGTTTCCTTTCTGCTCGTTTGTTTAAGGCTTTTAAAGGAGGCGAATCACATGCGTGGAGGACTCGAGCGGGATTGTAGGCTGTTCTATGTTGAAATTGACCAGAGATCTTTCGGTGAAGCGACACGAGGACCTGCTAGGCAGCCCGACACGCCGTGGCATAACCGGCCAGCCATGGTTTTCGCGATGGAGGACAGATCCGCGACCTATAATACCCGGAGCATGGCTGGAGAGTCGACTGCGAGGAGCAGGACGTAGGACAGGCCACCGACCTCCTGGACGCGAAGGGTGGCGGAAGCGTACAAGTTGGCGCACGGGCAGACGCAGGAGCGGGAGCTGCGAGAGGTGTGATACTGGGCACGGTGTGATGCCGGACACGATGCTGGCAATAAAGTGTGCCCGATGTGATGTGATGTAGTTGGTGCAGAGGAGATGAGAAACATGATTGTGTGCCTGAGGACTGCAACTATGCAGGCCTGTAAAATACATGCTGGTCAACGGAGCGCCCGTGAGAGGAGAGGCGCCGAAATATTTTAATTACATGCAGCTAGAATGGGGGCCGAGAGATTACTCGTAGTCCAGGGTCGGAGTCTGCACCAAGGCAAGGGGAAAAAGGAATGTTTAAAAAAAGGAATCCAAACTCGGTTCCCTGTTTATTCAATTACCAGTAATAACTACGGATTAGCAAGCCATCTTGACAGTGGAGCGCCACAGCAGATCCGAGGGTTGCAACGGTGGCTGATATTACTGGACAAACAGACGGAACAAACGAGCGGCGTTTGCATATTGCCAGCTGCCCCTAGTTCTGCTTTAATTCTAACTTTTTTTCTCTTTTCTGTTCGGATTTATCTCCCAACGACGTGCCTATTGAGTCTTGATTTCTCTTCTTCCTTGTTCTTTATTACCACATGATATACACTCCTCCCTCTTTTCTTCTCCTTCATTTGCTATCTTATCGCCTCCTTGCTCTTCTTCTTCCCCGCGTCAAACGGCGAATCCGACCCGAGAACGCCACCCCTATTCGCCCGCCCGTTTGCCCACGCAACGTCGACAAACGCCGATAAAACTGGTTTTAATGTCCAGGAGGACGGCACTCGGGATTCATTTTATGTCGACCAAGTCATATACGTGACAAGAGAGAGCTACGAAACGAAGAATTCGAATACAATACCCAACCAAGAAAGTCCATTTCTACAACGAACGTCCAGCAAAACGAACTGCAGATCGGGCAGCTAGACAGGCGTTGGAGCGACTCCATCGACGTGCAGGCGGGATTGTGCATGCGAGCCAAAAGGGACAGCTTGGACAGCTCAAGTACCTCAAGGAGCAGACGGGGGAGCTCCAGGGTCCACTGTCTACAGGGCTCTCCAGGGGTAGCTCGGCGGGTAGTCCCATCTTCAGCCACGCTAGCAAGCTAGGTACCTCGCAGGTACCCCCGGTCGAGCACCAGTTTGATCTCGTCAGGTACCTACCCGCGATCGTTGGGATGCTACTTCACATGCACTGAGCAACAAGTCAATTCTTCAACCCAGCTTACATTGCAAAAGCCTACCAACCTCGTCAAAACACCACGACTCGAAAATTCTGTCTTTGATACAATCTGCTCTTGTTTTCTGGGCCAGGATTCAAGAGCGAGAAGAAAGCCTCTGCCCCTCCACACTCATTTCACGGCTTCTTCCCCGCGCCCGCTACCTCCCGACTTATCAGTAGGTACCCAGGACAAGGGCGAAATTAGTTACACCATTTGCAGCCAACCTCCCTACCTACCTCATACCTAGGTATGACTGCCCCAGAGCAGACGACTGTTGGGCCTCGCAGCGCCTCTCCCAACACCGCGACGCCCCGACTAACGCTCCCTCCAAGGGTGCACACCGTTCCCAAGCCGCTCCCCTCGGACCAGTCACCCCCTCATCCTCATTCTCATCCTCATCCTCACATTCGCATTCAGCGCCCTTACACCCGCCTGGACCTGCGCGGTCACCATGACAGCGATGCTCACGATCTGAGCAACAGCTCTCTTGGCTTCGCCGACATCTGCACCGTCGATATCTCCAGTCTGCCCTGTCCGCCCTCTCTCTCGACCAGCTGGTCCAGTTCATCCATCGCCGACGACTCCACATTCGCGTCGACAGTTACCAGAGCGCACACCGTCTCCACCAGCAGCAGCCCAAGCCAGCCACCTACATCGACCGCCTGCAGCCGCTCCAGCAGCCAAACCCGCCACGACGCGCTCCACGGCGACAACACGTCAACCCCAAGTCCAACCCCAGTCCCAGCTGCCGCCACTGTCACCATTCGCCCAGAACGTCCCGCCAGTCCTGCGCAACCTATCGATTCTGTCGGTTCTGCTAGCCCTGCGGAAGCTGTCCGTCCTGCCAGCTCTGCTAGCGCCGCCAGCGCCGTCGTGGGTCAACTAACTGCCGCTCCCGCTGCTTCTGCTGGAACGACCACAACCACCTCTCACGCAGCGACTCCCGTCTCCAGGCCGCCTTCCGCTACTCCTTCCACCGCTTCCTCAGCCGCTCCCTCCTTTCGCAAACCCGCCCCCGGCCTGGCTGCCCGCCTCAAAGCCTTGGGCTTCGGCGCCGTCAAAAGGTCTTCTCCCATTCCCCCACCGCCCATCGAGCTCGTCGGTCGTCTCGACGAGCAGCAGCTACGCCAACTCGACGAAAAGCACCTCGCCGGCTCCATCACTTCCGTCATTTCAAGGAGAGGTCGCCCCTGGAGAGGCGCCGGCGCCTCTTCTACGCTCAAGTTGTCCGTCAGCCAACCCAACCTGCGACCTGCTTTGGCCATACCCGATCAGTCCCCGCGTCTGCCCGAGTTCGACCCTCCGGACCCTCTCGAGATGGACACCCAAAAGTACCGCTTGCCTGACCACACCAATGGTAATGGCACCAAGGTCACTCTTGAGACTCGCCGCGAGCATCTCCAACGACAAGCTTCGATCCCCTCGCCCACCCTGCCCGCAACACCCGCAACGCCCCCGCCTCCTCCCCCCAAAAACTCACCACCACTGCCGACTACACCTCCAGCCACCCTTGGCCAATCCGACTATGTCGCCGGTCTGAGCTCTTATTTTACACCCACTCGCAATCGTCCCGGCTCCATATACACCCTCTCGCGAGCGTCTTTTGCCAACCAGCTCGCCCAGCTCACCTCGCTACAGCTTCCCGACGCAGGCTCGCTCTCGAGCAAAGTCTCTGCCATACCTACTGCCGCTGCAGCTACCACTGCTCTCATTAATGCCGCCCACCAGATTAGAAGCTGGATCTCTAAGGCCCAAGAGGTCATTGGAGGCCTTGACAGCGAAGATGATGTCGAGTGGGCGGCGGCCGGCGGCCGCGAAGGCCTTAGTGATGTTGAGAGCGCCATTGTTCGGTTCGAGGACCTCATCAACGCGTATGTCTCGGCGATTGAGGAGCTTCAGCAACGCGATGATTCATCTCAAGTCCCCAAGCAAGATACCCACCAAGCTGTATCTCAAATGGAAATTATTCTAGATGAGTGGTCCAAGATCAAGTCCACCCTTCACAATGTCCGCGGCCAGGTCGAGATTGCCATGGAATGGGAGGAACTCTGGAACAATGTGCTGGGGGATATTCAAAGTGAAATGGACGAGCTGAGCCGTCTGGTCTTCGAGATGGAGGAGCGCCGTCACAGGACCATCGCCGCCAGCGCGGGCGGTGACAACATTGATATTGGAGACCTAGAAACCATTGTCGAAGATGGTCCGACCACAGTACCATACGCGACATCGCCCGGTCGCTTGCCCATCTCTACAGCCCTTCTGAGCCCCAGCTCTCCGAGCACTGCCAATGTCGTCAGTCCCGGCTTATCCCAAGATGACTCTCGCTTACTCGCTTTGTTTGCACGCATGCAGCCTTTGCGAGCCTCGCTCGACTTTTTACCCATGCGTCTATCCGACTTTCAAACAAAAGCGAAACCTATTTTTCCTACTGCCTATGACGAGCTCAACATGAGACAAACTGGCCTCAACAACAGCTATCGAAAGCTAGAAAAGGACGCCGAGTCGCTGCGCAAGGAACTCGGCGAGGACAGATGGGTCATCGTCTTTCGTGGTGCCGGTCGTCAGGCGCAAAAGATGCACCAATCCGTCGAGCGGTCTCTCATCAAGCTTCGTGAAGGCGTTGACGCGAGGCTGCACCTCGTCAACCCCCCAGTCATGACCAAGAAGATAGAGAGTTACGAAGCCAAGAAGGTGCACTATGGCCCCGCCATTGAGCGTGTGCTCTCCATCATCGATCGCGGCGTCAAAGACCGCCTGACAGTCAATGGTGAAATCTTGCGTCTGCATCACGATTTGCAGACTCGCTGGTCAAGACTAAAACGAAACATGACGGAAACGGATGGTGTCGTGGAGGCGATTGTAGCCGACAACAGGAGCAAGCAGCTACGCGACTCTGTCTCCAGCCTCTTGTCCAACGATCGATCGACTGTTGGCAGCGGCCATGAAACGCCTGGGAGCTCCCCGCCCTCGTCTGTCATTATGACTAGCCTAGGCTTCGACCCGCATACTCCGGTAGCCGGCAAACCCACAACTCGCTCACCAAACCATCTCGCAGCATGTAACCGCAGGTCCTCGTCGCTCCCAGAGCCGGCCTCGGCATTCTCAAGGCGACAGGCAGCAAGACTGTCCACCATTCCAAGCTCTTCTGCAGGCACGCCTGTCCGAGGCAGCACAATTCCTCGGCCCGCTCATAATCTAGATAATCGCCCACGTTGGAACACATCAACAAAAACACATGACTTGGATGTTGGCCACAGGTACGGCCAGATCCCACATTCGCAGTCACACCATGCTACACCGACCGCGCTCGCGACCCCTAATCGGCACTCATATTCGGCAGCATCACCCACGAGCACCGGCTCAAAACTGCCTACCATGCGCGGCATGTTTCACCGCGCCACCTCGGAATCGCCCCAGGTGGAACAATCGCCTTCTAGGACTAGCCATTCGCGGCTGGGGCTCCGAGAGCGTCTCGCGTCGCCGGGTCCTTATGCCCAGCAGTCGCTCGCCAAGAAGTCGTCCATGACGGCCATGGGCAACCGCCGCACTTCTCTTCAGCCCCCACGTGCTGGTCACGCCGCCGAAGAAGACCGCAGCCGGCCGGCGAGCTCACTGGCCTTGCACCGCGAAGGCCTCTTGCCTAGAATGCCAGGTCGATCCAGCCCCATGCTGTCTCGCAGAAAGGATACGGTAGACTCCAAGCCTCGCTGGAGATTTTAACGAGAGACAAAAAGAAGACTACAATTCGACTCGACTAACAATGTCTGGCTGAGAGAAAAGTAGAGATGAACTTGGAGGATGGTTTCTCTTTACGCCTTGTCCATCAACTATATGTACCTTTTTGGTGCCGGCTATTTGCGTTTTCTTGCATCGTTTGTAGCAAGCAGGGTTGGTTTTTCTTTCCTCATCAAAACAAAAAGAAAGGTTCAGCTTGCTCTTGGGGGCCTTTCTTTGTCCTTCTTGTCTTGGGATTTTTCTTGTTTTCATTATAGATACACATGCGCTCACACAACTGGCAATGATATCCTAGCGGCGGAGTTTTCAACGGAATTCGCTTTTTTTTTCACCTCTTCTTGCCTCAATGGCACCTGTTTTTTCCTCCCTGGTCATTGCTCTCGTTTAATCTAATCAGACACCTTTTTTTGCCTCTTTTCGCATCTCGTTTACTTCTTTTTTTTTTTCCTTGCTGTCATTGTTTTTCGTTTCGCCAAAAGTGTGCTTCATGAGCGATGCAAGCTTCTCTGTATCAACACATGTCTCCCTATTGCTGTTCTTGTGTGCATTTACGGTTGTAAGCTACGGATCAAGATTTTGATCAAGATTTTGAATCGAATTTTCTACATGGCATGTGATTCCTTACCTCGACAAAAGAGGTTTCTGTGATGACTTCTTTCTTCTTAGATGCAACGTACTAATTGTGTAATAATGGTTTCGAGCCGAAGCATCGAGACAGTGAGCCGCCAAAGCAAAGAAAAACTCCAATATACCATGCATCATGATGAATCCCCTGCCGCCGCACGCAAAAGACCCACGTAAAAGCCTCTTCACATTGTCCTGCCTCGTTTCATAGCGGCATCAGACCGATGCCTCCACCGGGCTTCTTTACGATCTTACCATCCCTCTTAGACCCCGATGGTCGCGACGCACCTCCCCCTCCAAAGCCAGAACCGGCAGCGTTCGAAGAGCCGCCGCTAGCTTTGCGATTATAACCGCTATTGCGCTTCTTCGTGCCAAATCCCTTGCGCTTGACAGACTTGCCGCGGGCATTACCACCACCACCTCGCCCGTACGGCTTGGACGTGGTTTGGCTCCGTGGCATAGGGTCAGCAATTTGATTTGCTTCTTCGAGGCGGGCATGAAAAGCGGAAACTTCGGGCCTTGCCCGCGACGTCGGAGCAAAAAAGTGTGACGTTTCACCGGCGCTGGCCTCTGCATCCTCATCCTCGAACTCGATATCCGAGCTAATGAGGTCGACAATATCCTCCCGACTCTGGTTCCCATCGCCCGTCACTTCGACATACATCTCATGATGTTTGCGTAGAAGCGGAAGCAGCTTCGGGCCATGTTCTCGAACCTTGTCGCCGTCGATTCCAGGAATACGGCCCATGCGCTCAATACTCGTCGTCCAGTTGATGGCCATTTCTTGAAAGTGCTTCTCGCTGAAAAGAGGTCGCCGAAGCTCCTTCTTGTTGCGGATGTGTTCCTCGATTTTGCGTGCTCCTTGCACAAAGCCAGCAACGATGTCCTGGTGCAGCTCAGAGAGATCTTCCAGGCGCTTCTTGGAGTGTATAGGAGGGCCAAATGGCTTCACGACCTTTGCCTTGGGAGCGGGCTGCTTTTGGTTCTGCATACTGATCGGTCTGGCTGGACGATGGCTGGGCAATTCGGCAAATGCATCACCCTCATTCTCATCATCTTCCTCCTCATCCTCATCCGAGATGACGAAACCATCGTTGGCATATCCGTGCGAAGTCGTTGGATACTCCTCGTCATCGCTATCAGGCAGCCGGGCACGGGCGCGGCGCTTACCAACTGGCGAAGACACATACGTTGATTGCAAGTTGAGCGTTTCTTGACCTTTTTGCTTGGTCTTTTTGGATGGTGCCTTTTTTCTAGCCCCTGCTTCGGGAGCTTGATCCACCTGCACCGTCAACATCAACTTTCGTTGGCCACTCAGGAACATGTTGGCTTCGGGCCCAAGTGCCAGATACTGGATAGCCGCACCATAGTTGCCAATTTGGTTATCTTCGACGAAAGCCTTCGCCGCCAAGAGTCTGTCGATAACACGGACGATCTGGTGCTTCATAAGTCCCCGACAGTCACCATGGTATTCGCCAGAAAGAGCTTCTTCGTGTGAAGGATACTTTCTGCCTAGTAGAATGTCCGCGCACTGAGGGGCGGTCAACTTGTTTTGAAGCTGAACGACTTGAATGGCGGATCGAGCGCAATCTGAAAGATCTTTTTGCTCAAACACTTTACCTGATTGGCAGTTGTCACAGTTCTTTCGACATTGCGCTGCAGAGAACTCTTCTCCAAAGTAACGCAAGACTTCGGTTCGGCGACAGTCCCACTCATTGTCACAGAATGCGGCGACTTGGTTGAGCATCTGCATCTGCCTCTCTTTTTGCTCTGCGTTGCCTTCACCATCCGTGATCATCTTCCTGAGAACCGCTATGTCTCTTCGAGCATAGAGAAGAATGCAATCTGATGGTTTGCCGTCCCTTCCAGCACGGCCAGTCTCCTGGTAATATCCTTCCAAGCTTTTTGGCAGTCCATGGTGAATGACAAATCGCACATCGGGCTTGTCAATACCCATTCCAAAAGCAATAGTAGCAACGACCACTTTGACAGCGCCCTGTTGCCACCGGGTCTGCACACTGACCTTATCGGGGGCTGTCATACCAGCATGGTAGTGCTGGGCAGAGATACGCTGCTTTCTGAGCTTCTCGGCGAGCTTTTCTGTTCCGGCACGGGATAGTGCATAGACAATGCCGGTCAAGCCAGCGTATTTCGAGTGAATTAGCTCGGCAATGGTTTCAACCGCGCTGACGGGCGAGCCCTTGGATCGGACTTCATAATAGAGATTTGGTCTGTTGAAGCTTTGCGAAAAAATCTTACAGGTATTCATACCGAGATTATGCCTGATGTCTAAGATGACGTTTTGCGTGGCCGTGGCCGTCAATGCCATGACAGGCACGTTGGGGAATTTCCTGCGTGCCTGGCCCAAATTTTTATAGTCCGGGCGAAAATCGTGACCCCATTGGCTAACGCAATGTGCTTCGTCAATCACGAGCCTGGCAAACTTGCCGTTTTGATACAGGCGTTGGAGCGCATTGTTGAAAGCCATGTTTTTGCTGATCATTTCTGGCGTGATGTACAGCAGCTCAATGAAGTGCTCTGGACTGCGTTCCCCGAAAGTGCTCATGACTTGCCGTTTGTACTCTGTAGAGCACTCTCCGTTGAACGCAACAGCTTGGATACCAAGTGCTTTCATGTGGTCGACCTGATCTTGCATCAGACTGAGAAGCGGGGAAACGACGATCGTGACACCGCGAGTTTTGCCCGTCCTAACTACCGCAGGAAGCTGGTAGCAGAGTGATTTGCCACCGCCAGTAGGCATGAGAACAAATGCGTCCTGGCCCGACAGGGTTGCATTGATAGCTTCCAGCTGATTCTGTCTGAACCCTTTCATGCGAAAACGATCTTTCAGCATTCTTTGCACTTCTGGAGACCAGGGAAACTTCATCAAGTGTGGTGGGATGGCCAGCTGTGGCTGTGAAGAGACTGTAGGTTTTCGAGATGCAGAGCAGGGTTTGGGCACGGGGGCAGCATTTCCAGACGTTTCGGAGAAGACCCTGCGGCTCCTCGGAGACTGCTCTTTGCCAGATTGCTGGCTTTCGTAGTCTTGTGCAAACGCTAGCATATCTGCATCGTCGCTAAATTCGCTAAATTCATCTCTCTCTCGCTGTGGTATGCTGTGGGCCACACTTCTCGAGCCTTTCTTGGCAGATCGGGGAGGCGGAAGCATATCGCCATCATCAAACTCAGACATCAGCTCGTCCTCGAATGTATCAGCTCCTACTATCGGTGGCGGTCGTGTGTTAGTAGTAGGCTGCAGTTTTTGACTCGCAGGAGCCCTAGGGAATGGTGCATCAGCTCTTTGCTTTACGCCTGGGCCAGCCGTAAAGTTGCTACCATTACTAGGATAATGATGCAAGAAATTGGAACTTGAAATCTCTCCTAACTGTGTTTGGTGAACAACCTGCGTTCCATGCATCATTTCAGGTTGAGGGTCCAAACTGGGCTGTGACATGTTGACTGACACCCCCACTGCATTTTGAGTTCCGAACACAATCTTGTCTGATTGAGAAGTGCCTTGCCCGGCTGCTGGCGCGTTGAGACAATCTGCTTCTTCAACGCCAGCACTGGTGAGCTCTTGCATCAGCTCTTTTTCCTTTTGCTCCACTGTGTCTGTGATTTCATCGAGTTTGGCCTCGTCTAATTCGGTCTCGATTCCTTCGTCATATGCTTTGGCGACTTGGGCGGCGAGAGCTTCGCGTTGCTCGCACAGTTCAATATACGAGTGAAACGATATAGCAAGGGTATCGAGAGACTTCTTTTGCTGCAGCAATCGTTCCTTTTCTGATTTGATAGCGTCACGCTGTTCCTTTGTACATCGCGCATCTATCGCCTGTCTAAATTCGCGTGCGTTTTGCTGAATAAGGATATCGAGCTGCAGCAACTTCTTGTCCAGAATTTTGGGATTTTGCGACAAGTAGGACAAAATACGTGGAGCCTGGCTAGAGTGTGCATCGTTCTGGGGAGGCAGCATGATGACATCGTCCGTGGATGTATCAAACGAGCCAGTTGTTTCGAGTTGTGGCTGTGGCAATCCTGCTATTGTTTGACTAGCTTGAGCTTGAAGTACTCGTGTTTGTCGGCTCTCCTGGGAGGTAATTGCGAGTTTGGAGGACGGTGGCGTCACGAACTCATCATCTGAGTCTGGAATGAAGTGTTCAACTGTTGTATGGGGTAGAGCCGTGCTGTCGGCAGGTGGAACAAGGGCCAGGGATGCTGCTGCATTACTCGTGTATCCGTTCTTCTGTGTGCTGTTCCGCAGCTGTGAAGATTGAAATGTTTCATTAGGAGGTTGAGAAAGCTCATGCTGGGACCGTTTCGCAGCTACAGCTCGGCTTGGGGATGAAAAGTCGTCGGGAACACTGCTAATGGATTCAAGCCTCGCTTTTCGTCCCGGAGGTGTCGTTGCATCTCTATCTCGTTTCTGGTGGCGCTTGATGCTGCTTGAGCCGTTCTTTCGCGAGGAAGCCTTTTTGGCTGGTGTCGACATTGGAGGCTCGGTGCCGAGCATTTTATATACGTCTGAGAATTGGTCCTCAAAATCCGCTTCAAAACTAGTGATATCACTGCTTTTTCTCTTCTTGCCACTTCTTGGTTGCGATGACGAAGTGCTCTTGTCACCAGACGATTGCACCGGGACCTCCTTGACAAACTCCAGTGATTCGACGGTATGTATTGTGTCCGTCGTCAAATCCATACATTCGAGGTCATCAGCATCGAGATATGTAAGGTCCAGTCCGATGCTCGAAGCTGGCTGCGGATATGCGGCTTTCGGCTTGCTAGAGGAACACTTGCTGTGGTCTTCTCGCGGGTTCGAGGGCAGCTCTCCCCGGCTCGAGCTCGACGTGACATCGTGAATCGTTGAAGCGGAAGATTTCGGGGTCGTTATTTCGGATCGCTGAAACACGAGTGATGGTTTCTGGGACTTTGTTGTCGAAGTCAAGCGGCCCATGTTGTCCTGGGACAGCCGGGCCAAGTCGCGAAGTGATGGTTCCTGGCTGGTCCTCTCGTGGAGGCCATTCACTGCGAGACTTGGCGATAATTGGGGCTTTTGAGATGCTTGCTGGTTCTCCTGACGCCTTGAGACCCGCAAGTTGGTGCTCGGTGGCGGGATTGAGTCTGAAATGTCTGAGGCACTCAGGTACTGTCCAGTGGGCGTAGGAAGGTCGTAATGTTGGGGTATCGAAAGGGAGATGTTGTTGAGCAGCCAGGTCAGATGATCGGCAAGGTTGTTGCGCGTCATGAATCCGGCATAGACGAGGCATATAGTCGGTTCCCATGCAACATTGACAATTGAGTATCAGTATAATGGCTTTATGTATTGTGACACAACCGTGAAGTTCATCGTGCCTGCTGCGCTAGCGGGGTCCGTGTCGCGACGCGTTCGTTAGTCAGCGAGATGCGAAAACACGTGATGATAGATTTGTGAGCGAAATTATAAGTGAAAATAAAAATCGTTACCTGGAAATTACAGTGTTTCGGAGAAATGGCTGAGACCAATTGACTGTGTTTTATCGGATTTTCACAACTGTAATCCAGGGTTCTGCGCTGGCCAACCAACTGCAGATGTTGTGGCTGAGAAAACGTTGCGGTTGGCAACGACTTGTACGGCGGGCGGCGAGCTAGAACCATTGCCATGCAGGAACAGAAGGTAGAGCGATCAAACACGAGATTTCAGGTTGTGCAATTGATTATTTCAGACCGCCAAGTATGTTCCTGTTACCCAAACCACTTCAGTCTGCCTAAATGCGCACTGTCAGACTGCGGCAAGATGGCAACGGCCCAGCCTTGCACAACGCCCTTTGATCAGTGGCATGGAAGCAATTGGTGATACATGTGATACGACGTAAAAAAAAAATGTCTCTCGGGATTACACCGCAAATGACTATTTGATTCACACGACAAGCCATGATGATGCACTTGAAAGATGCTGGTACAGTTTCTGAGTGGAGAGCGGCTGTCGGCGGCATCGGTGGACAGCAGTCTAAATAGGGCTGCCAGACTTTTGGCGCGGCTCCGGCTGCCGGTCGGAAGACGGTTAGTCGAATCGGGAAATACCTGATATAGCCTTAGTAAAGCAAGCGAAAACAGATTGCCGCTTTTAGTACAGTAGTGCCAGACTTTTCAGGCTGACAGTATATTTCCACGCCTGTTGGATGGAAGAAACCATCTAAAGCGGCGGCATTCGCTTCCCAGTATTCTCCATGTCACCCCTGGCCTCTCTCATCGACAGAATGCTTGTTTCCGTGTGGAACCCGGGCTGGTGCTGCCTAACATTTTTTTTTTGTATGCAGACGGCTGTCGGTTTGCGCCGCTCGATCCCATCTCGATAAATAAAAGATGCCTCCTCCAATCCTAGCGTAGTCCTTCCATCGTCTGTCAATTGTCCATACTAATAACGTGAAGCTCGTTTCTCTTTACCAAGACTCAATTGCATCGTGATTTGAACCCAATCACTTAAATCGCTTTGACCCCCCCCCCCCCCCCCATCACAATGACCAAACCAGAAACTGTTACGGAGTATGATCCAACCGCCTCTGGACATTCATCCGATGACGAGCACCAGCCGAATCACCTCAAGACGATCCCGAGTCCTCCAAAAAATGCTCTCGTCGCCCACTTCACTAGTGATATCCGCCCAACTCTGTTTGCCGAGCTTCAGCTGCTAATACTCACCTTTTGCACTGGTATTCAAGGTATGTGATGTTGCCTATACTGCGCATGCCTGCGAGGCCCCCCACCACCGACTGACCTCTTGACACAGATGCTACTTCTTTCCCCGACTATCACTGCTTCGCTTCCAATCAGACTGGCAACACAGTGCTACTTAGCCTGGCAATTGTCTTTCCCCAGGCCAATGGCGACATGTTTATTACTCCCAATATTGGCATGGCTCTGGGTCTCTTCCTTGGCGCTGGCTGGCTTACTGGACAGCTCGGCCACATGGTCGGTCCTCGCAAGCGATGGTGGCTTATTCTCTGCAACCTGCTCCAAACTACCCTCGTCTTTGCTGCGGCGGCAGTGCAATACAAGTTTGGCGTCAACGACCGCGGCTGGTCCGCTCTCGCCGTCATTGGATTGCTGGCGGGCGCTTCCGGCAGCCAAGTCGTTCAGTCTCGCAGTCTCGCCATGACGGAAATCAGCACCGCCATGGCGACAGCCGCATGGGTCGACTTGATCATTGATCAAAATCTCTTTGTCGTCAAGAACCGGCCCCGAAACCGTCGGGTCGCTTTTCTCATCTCTCTGATCGTCGGCTGTCTGATTGGTGCTCTGATCTACAGAGAGGTGGGATCTGCGACGGCCATTGCCGTCTCCGGCGCTGGGAAACTGGTCGTCACAATCATGTTCATCTTCACAAATGCGGAGAAAGAGCAGAAGAACAATTCAATTGTTTGATCTGATACGAAGTGTTTCGCGCCGTTTTAGGCATTTACGACATCCATACCCTGCATATTTCATATAAACGGCGTTTTTCCTTTACACTGGTTTTTTTTTTTTTCAGCGTTGGCATCGTAATAATAGTGGCAGGGCGTTTTAGATATTTGGCATAGAAAAGGCGCGTTTATTACTTTTGCATAACTATTCAAAAGAGCTTCAAATTCTAATACAACTGAACAATATGCTCTTGTGGTAGCAGACCGTTCTGGATTTCCAAAAGTGCCCGCAATTGGCCGGGACACCTTCACATTCAGAGCCAATAGGCCTCAGACATTGTTTTAGTCCCAGATAAAGGCAAAAAAGTAACGCCAGCAGACCAGAACTTTTGTGAGCCACAATGCAAAAATATCGGCATGAGGCGCCGCAGCAGCTTTCTGTGGTACTCCTCCTACCATAGACAGTTCTACTTGTAATGTTCTTGATTGATTGAAACCGACATTTGCAATCAATTGTGCGAGATTTCCACGTAGGCGCGGATTCACCGAGCCCAGTGTCACAAATATGCACCTAAATTGATATATAAAATTAATCAAATGTCGTTTGAATGTTTCACGTGCAAAACCAAAGTCTACAGCCGTTCAGCTCATGCAGACTTTTGCGGGAGCAAACGTCGGAAGAGGTAGATAACGCCACTAGATGTCAGCCCTGCATATGTCGTTCGCCTCGAGAAGAGCTGAAAGCAACGCACGATTACTATGCTTGAGAAATGCTTTGCCGGCAAACACGGCCAGTCCGATGGAAAATTATTGACAACAGTCAAGTGCGTGTCAATCGAGACCGTTTTTTTGAATTAGCATCGTGCCGTACTGCCGCTTTTCCGCCAACACGTACCCTATTTCCGGCGACGCGTTCGCCTGAGGGACCCTGAGCGGCTGAGAAATGGATATATATATGCAGCAAATAGCCACATAATTGGGGCAACAGAGCCCTATCGGTGCAGTGTGCGTCATGTCACTTGGTGGGTGTTTTTTCCTCTTTTGCTCTTTTTTTTTTCTTTTCTTTTTTTGCGTCTCGTTGCATGCAGACTATGCAGTACGTCAACCAGCGATTAATAGCAGAATTGGCTAGCCCTGTATAGCAAGACAAATTCGATGCTGTAAGCAGCTCTTAGAAGCTGCTGTGGGGTTGATAGTTCAGAAGTGAGAGTCGTTCTTGTCCTAGCTCTCGGTATTGAGCTCTCGGGCTCTCGGCCGAGCAGCAGACCGCAAGTAAGCTCTTACCTCGGCTAGATTTCCCCATGCTGGGTCTCATTAGTGACAAAAGTGTGTTAATTTACCGACAAATCAATCCGAAAAAAAAGCGCAGACAAATTTTAGCATTTTGACATTGGCCAAAAAGCTTCGTGTCACATCGCGGGCTTTTCAGTTGATTCGGGACCATCACTATGCGCTACGAGGACAAACCTAGCGAATATTGCCAGGATAATGTGTGTCACAACGAAATCTACTTGTTACAGCACGAGTTGCCAAAGATGGCCATTTATTAGCCTCGCAGAAGCGAGACTGCAGAAAAGGCCCAGGGTGTGTGTCAGCACCACTTTACCATCAGCCCTAGCCTTTGTCCGGTTATTGATCATCTGTTGTCCGTAGTAAGAACCTTGAACCCCGAATCCCTACTACTAGGCACCCCATAGTTATTGGATTGATCGACAATAGTAGAGTTGTGGGGGCGGAGCATGTTCCTGGCTGGGGTAAAGGCCCGTAAAGGTCGGTGCAACGGTGCAAGTGCCGAGATGGGTCGACGCAACGAGAAGGAAATAGCATGACGGGTCCGGATTTTCGGGGAACTGTTTTTTTTTTATTTTTATTTTTTTTTTATGTCGTTTAGTTTTATTTTGCTTTGCGGGGAGCGCCTCTGTGTAGCAATCGAGGCAATGTGCAACCCTAGTCGTATTCATACTAACACCATGGCGGTGCCGTGGCCGAAGCCCGAGATGCACATGCCAAATTGCACAACGCAATGTGACCACAGCGGCCGAAGCCAGCTGAAGTGGATGCTATCGATTAGCAGGGATGCTGTAGTTTTAACGGAGGTTCCGAGAAAGTATTAGTGCAGTTTTGAAGCTATGACTGGCCTGCGCTTCCGTAACCTTTTGCACCATAGACTTGCGATGATGGCTTGGCTGCTTGAACTAGAGATCACACGACGTACCACAACCCAGCCCAGAGCGAAGCTATGCAGCACCACCCGCGGAACAATAGAGGCCACTACTCTCATTGATGCGGCCTGTCAAGTTGGGGTGGGGAAAGCTGGGGGAGGATCGCGCAGTCGTCGCCCCGTGGTGAAGTGCAAAATGATAGGTGATAACACGCTCGTTGACAGACTCGCAGCAGTGTGGTAAGCTGCCAAGCACCGGAAGCAGCTGAAACCCCACTGGTAGTATGCGAGATGTGTAGAGAATATTTGAACTTTTTTCTCTCTGTCTTTTTGTCTTCTGCTATATAAAGAGTGGTGTGGCCGCTGTCGAGGCAGATCAAAGGCATCAATCATCTCTTGCAGTCGAGCAACAACAACATTCGCCAGTTCTTTCCTGGAGCAGAAAGTGAACTTTATACCTCCAATTCTTCCATCTCTACAACAAGTACTTTACTTGCGCCTGCAACATGCAACCTCTCAACCTGTTCCTGACTGCTCTGTTTGGCACATCGGCCCTTGCCGTGCCCACTTCCCTTGACTACAGATACTCGGATCTGGAGCAGCGCGGCGCGGATGCAAACAAGATTGTCGGCTGGATACTAAACAGGTTTCCAGGGGAAATGACTGTGAATGCCGCCTGTTCCTTTATCAAAACGAGCGAGCTCCTGCTCGGCACCATCTTTGGCATACCGTCCGACTTCAACAACAGCGGCTGCAAGGACGTCCTCATTGTCTTTGCCCGTGGCACCTGTGATCCCGGCAACAGCGGTATCCTCGTCGCGCCGCCCTTTATTGACGCAGTCCGCAAGGCCATTGGGGACAAGAGTCTGGGCGTCCAAGGCGTCGCCTATCCAGCCAGCGTAGACGGCTACCTCAACGCCCACAACGCCGCTGGCCTGGCCATGTAAGTTGACAAAAAGCTCCAAACCCTGGACTCAAAGGCTCGCGCCGCCCAGCATAAGAGCCTTTTGTTTTTCTGACAGCTCAACAGGGCCCAGATTGTCCGCGAGACTCGCGCTTCCTGCCCGAATACCAAGATTGTGCTCAGCGGCTACTCCCAGGGCGCCTTTGCTCCCCATTACGCGGCGGATGCTCTCGGTGACGAAATGCGCAATGTTAGCGCCGTCGTCACCTTTGGCGACCCAATGTCCGGCAAACCCGTGGCCAATATGGACGCCAACAGGTCTCTCTGTATCTGTCATCTCGGCGACGACATTTGCGATCAGGGCAACATGATTTTCCCCCAACATCTGACGTACGGCATAGACGCCACACATGCCGCTGCCTTTGTCGCATCACACATGTGAGTTGTTCTTGGTGGCAGTATTGTATATGCGGTACAGTTTGTATTTAGACACATGGTACATAGAGTAAACAAAATTAGGAAAGCTTCAAGTCATTTATACACCCAATCCAGCGCATCCTGAAAGCTTTCTGAATCGCGTAATTCGGATCTTGCACTACTTTGCCTCCCAGGCGCGCATCGCTCTAATATGATGACTTTCCTGTCGGATGATGCATAGTTCTTTGTCTTTTCTGATAACACTTTTTTTCATATTTTTAAGACGCATTGTTTAGTGTGCAATTGATGGAAGCTGTTGGTTCCTGTACCAGCACCAGGCAACAGCTCGATGGCCCCATTAATACCAGCTGAGCTGCCTGCCAATCTGAAAACTTGACGTTTGCACACGCACGTCGTGCCACATTCACAGCTTCATGAACCGCGCCAAATTCTATGGTATGCCCCGACCGTGAATTCTCTTTCCGAAACTGCGACTCTCCGCTACCGGATTCCTCGGCCATCGTGAACATCACGCTTTGGTGCTAGCCCAGCCCCAGACTGGCAACAGGCTCCAGCGGCTCCCGATAGGCTGAAAAGCGCCCCAAGACGGTGGTCGATATGCATAATAATAGGCAACAGCTCCACTGCTCACCTTCAAACTGCTCATCACGGGCCTCTTATTAACGTGGCGTCTTGTCAAAGGTCTGATAGGTAGCAGGCTGCGATGGCGTCCTTTTCAGCTCCAGCTTGTGGAGATTGCCCAGCCGTTGGCTGAGAATGCCTCGACACTACGGAATGGACGCGCTCTCGCCTGTTCTCCATCTACAACGCCATCGTCGTCTTGGAATCTGCCTTGGAACAGACCGCCAATGTTGCTTATTAAGAGTCTTTCCCCCTTCGGCTTGCGTGTTGGACTTTCAAGCTTCATTAACACAGGCGCTTTCAGCTGGTCATATCTTCAATCAGCCAGCTCTCTGCGCAATTGGCATCGTCGCAGTTCATTGCCAGTCTCTCCTGGATTGTCTCTAACAAGCTCTTGCTCCTCTTTTCAACCGCCACCACCATCAATACCGTCCGCTATGGAAGCCCTCCCGAATTTACCTGTCCCCCACGGACAGCTTGCTCGCTACATTTCGGAAAATACGGACAAGACCATGATTGACATCATGGAACCTTATCGCAAGTATGAAGCAGGACTCCGTGGCATGTTCGCGCAGGACCGCCAGAACCCTGCCCTCAATGACCCTCACATCAATGTTCTACCTCTCTTCACGGATGATACCAGCCGCATCACCACGCGGGCCCGTGATCTAGCCTCTGAATCAGAAGAGGAAAAGTCCAGGTATATCATGGCGCTTCCTGACGAGCAGCGTCGATCGCACGGTTCCCCGGCCACGGTTGGTAGCATTGATGAGTTTCAAAAGAACTTCAATCTCTTCTCCGAGTCTTCGCTTTCGGAGCTCGACTGGAACAATGTTGTCGCTGCTGGCTCTTCTGTCATCAATTGTCTCTTGCCCGTCCCCGAAGCTTTCAATGTGAACAAGCGCAAGCTCCGCGAATACTACCACGAAAAGTTCTGCCCCGCCTCCGACGTTGATCTGTTCCTCTATGGGCTCACTCACGAGGAAGCTGTTGAAAAAATAAAGAAGATTGAGCAAGCTGTTCGTGATGCCATCCTCAGCGAAGTTACAGTGGTGCGCACAAAGTATGCCATTACGATTGCAAGCCAGTACCCCGTCCGACACGTCCAGGTTCGTCCGAAGACCGGAGCTTAACCAAAATTCGCATTGACTAACATCTTCAAGATTGTCCTCCGTGTCTACAAGTCGATCAGCGAGATTCTGACTGGCTTCGACATTGACGCAGCAGGAGGAGCTTATGATGGCAAGCAAGTCTATGTGACTCCCCGTGCGCTTGGAAGCTTCATCACACAGATCAACCACGTCGATCTCAGCCGCCGTAGTCCCTCCTACGAGAATCGCCTATCTAAGTACTCTCATCGAAACTTCGAGGTCTATTGGTCTGATCTGGACCGCAAGCGAGTTGACCCAACTATTTTTGAAAGAAGCTTCCAGCGAACCCTTGGTCTGGCCCGTCTTCTGGTTCTTGAGCGGCTACCGACCAGCTCGGCAAGAGAGACTTACCGAAACAAGAGACGCCAAGAAAGAGGCCGGCCACAAATCCACCGTCAGAATTTCCATTTGTTTGGAAACATCAAGGGCAACCACGAAGACGAAATTGCTGATTGGCTCTCCGAGGAAGACGTCAGCAACTATCACACCTTCACAATACCCTATGGAGAAAAGTTTCACGCCAAGCGTATTGAGAAGCTTTGCTACACAAGAGATTTGCTATTGAACGCAGAGTGGAACCAACCCAAGGATCGCAAGGTTTACTTGCATCGTCACCCCGCATTCTTTGGTAGGGTTGAGGACGTGATTGAAGATTGCTGCGGCACATGTCCAGTTCCTGTGACACAAGAGGAAATCGAAATCGCTGGAAAAGAAGCAGAAATCTACATTTCCGGCAAGGTCTCGTTCTTGATTGATGATCCCGGTCGCCAGCAAATTGGCTCCTTCAATCCTTTGACAGAGCAGGATTGGACGGACATGGCGTATGTCGGCAATACTGCGCGGCTATGCCAGTCCATTGTCGATGGCGATCTGGAAGATGTGATAAATTGGTTGTCTCAGGAAGATGCGGACCCGAATCAGAGGGACTACACGGGCAGATCGCCTCTCCAGCTGGCTGTCACCTCATCCACCCCCGAGATGGTCAAATGTCTGGTTGATCATGGAGCACGCTTGACAGCACGATTAGCGGACGGGAAGACAGCTCTTCACCTGGCCGCGGTTCGTGGTAATGCTGAAATTGTCAAGATACTGATGGAGAAGAGTATCAGCAACGAAGAAGAAGAAAATGACAAACAAGACCGAAAGCGACAAGCCGAAAAGTCCGCATCGCAGCAGATTGAGGTCGAGGCCGAGGCCGTTACAAAAGCAAAACCCAAGGACTCAGCCACTAGTGTCGAGGAATCCAGAAGCGAAGACGAAGACTCGGATGGAGAGCTCGTCGAGGCTACAGAGACGACGGCAGACGTAGTCTCTGTAGTTACCGGCTCCTTTGTCAAGGTCAAAGATGGTGTCAAAGGTGACGAAGATCATCTTCCGGAAGAGTCTGAGGACGAGCCAGACTACTACCAGATTGATCTTTTAGCCTGGGATATCCCATGCTCTCCTCTGCATTTGGCCATCGCGGAAGGCCACGAAAATATTGTAGAGCTTCTTTGCGATGTGAGTTCCCACCTACCATCGACTTTTTTTCAACAAATCTTTAACCTCTTCTTAGTACGGCGCTGATGCCATTCTTCCCGTCAAATTTTTGAAATACGAAAATGCAGCGATTCTGACTCTCGTACTCGCTTTGTCTCTGCCACCTGAAAAGGCAAAGTCTATGGCAGAGTTATTGTTGAGGCTTGGCGCCATGTGCTCTCAAGCTGAAGGCAACGGATGCACCGCCTTCCATCGTTATCTGAAGAGCGGACAGTCTGATATGGTCGACCTACTTTTGACCAACGACAAAGCTGCTGCAAAAGCTGCAGTTAACCATCTCTTGATATCGGGATATTCTTGGTCTATGAACGTGGAGGCGCCGCTCCAAGTCGCGATTGATAATGGTGACAGCGTCATGGCAATAAAACTTCTTGACATCGGCGCAAGGCCGGAGATTGATTTCGATACCTGGGTAAAGGCGTCTCATGTTACTAACAAACCGAGCTTTTCCTCGAACAACTTGGAAGAAAACAAAAAGTCCTTCAAGAACAGTGTCGAGCAGCCTTTGCTTTGTGCAGTCAGAACAGCGAGCGCCGACGTCGCCCTTCGACTGATCGAAGATGGTGCGAATGTCAATTGCCTGACGCCCAAGTCGGAGCAACTGCTGCATAATAACTACATGAGATCCTATAACAAGGGGGAATCAGTTCTTGATGTTGTTCGTTACATCATTGAAAAGTTGAGTGAGTCCGAAGAGAGTGGCTCATCTCTAAACAAACCGCAGTTGCTTCCCGGAATGGACGAGTACTTGGCCAAACTTGCGCCGGGCTCTTATCTTCATACGCTTGTGTCATATGATATTGACAAAAAGAGAAAGGACTTCGAAGCAAGTCTCAAACATTACGAGGAGCAACGCAAAAGAGCTGATGCCAAGGGCGGCGCCGAGGAAAAGCAAGACGCGATAGACTCTGCCATTTCCGAGCTGAACATGATCGAAAAGGCACTGGTTGATGCCGGTGCGAAGACATTCGCTGAATTATATCCCGACGTCGAAACAGCCACAGAGAACAATAAGAACCGCTACTACGGCACGATCGAGAAAGAAGAGTATCCGGTCTACAAATTCGACCATTGGTTCGTTGACGACCGCAACATGACAGATAATAGACGGCAAGGATACATTGACCTGTGAGTTTCCAACCTTACACTAGTATGGGCCATACTCGATACTAACCTCAACAGAATGGAGGCAGCCTGGCAAGGCGACATAAGCAAAATTAAATCGCTGACGCTTCAGCCTTGGGGCCCCGAACAGGATCAGCCACCTCTCATGGCTGATATCCGCGATAACCACAACCATTCGCCATTCTCTTTTGCCTTTCTAAGAGGTCATTACGCTACTGCGAAGGCGATTCTCGAAATAATTCAGGCCCAGTGGACCCCGCAGGAAGAAGATGAAGTCAGGTACAAGATCGAAGGCGAAAATGATAGCGACCAAGATGACGAATACAGCGATGATAGAGAGGACTACTCCGATGATGGTGATTCGGAGAACCATGTTCGGATAGTCTCGGAAAAGGTGGACAAGAATTACACAATCGATAATATTGGCGAAGTTTCCATGCAGGTCAAGTCGCACACTAAGCCTGTCGAGCGGCTCATGGCCGGGTGCCGGGTGTTTACGCTTGAAAACGGCGTGTTTAAGCAAGGAGAGGCTGACGATACTTTATTTGCACATGCTATCAGAAATGATGACATGACTGGTCTAAAGGTTTTGTTGGATATGGCGCAGCACTTTTCCGAAGCTCCAAAGGCAGGCGACGAGAGGAGAAAGTCAACCTTTACCTTCAAAGACAACGATTTCATCTTGGCTGTCAAGTCTGGAAATACTCAGGCTCTTCGCCAGATCATCAAGAAGACAGGTGCCGGAGTGCCATTAGACAACCTTGTCAAGAAGAGTGGCGTCCAAGTGAAGCAGAAACCCCGGTACTACCAAGGTTTGACTGTATATGGCAAGAAAAGGTATGATGGTATTACACACACAATTGAAAAGATGGGGACTGATATTGAAATTGCAGAAATGATTGGGCAACCGCTGGACGCAACATGGTGGTTCGAACCTCTGGCGTTCAGACACCGCCGCTCCTTCACGCTGCCATGGGCGGGCGGCTTGAAAGCGTTGAATTCTTCTTGAGTGACGTTCCACATCGCCTTTATAACGAATTTGCAAAGACGAAGCAAGCACGAGAGGATTCGCGACTGAAGCACCTCATGGAAGCACCTGGCGGGTTCAACAGAGCAATCTCGAAATGGCTTGGTGCAGATAGTAAGTCCTTGCAACGCGAACTAGTATCATGGACCTGTTCTGTTATTGACAACTCTCTTTCAAGACGAACTTGTGCTACACTGTGCCGTCATGGCGAATCCAGGCTCAGAGTCAAACGAGCTTGTCGAGTATCTGGTCGAGACTTGTCCAAGCTCACTGGAAAAGAAAGCTGCAGGCGGCTACACTCCACTAATGGTTGCCTGCCAACTTGGACGAGTCGAGTTTGCCAAAATCCTGATCGCAGCTGGTGCGGACCAGTCGACGAGAAATGACAGGGGCGAAAACATTGTTCATGCCATAATTAAGCCCGACAGCCCTGTCTGCCGCACCAGAGCCATGCTCAACCTCTTGGATTCTGATCTACGCAAGCATTTGTTCCAGCAGCGCACGAATCTCAAATATAATGGCACGACGCCGTTGCACTCCTGGATCATGGACTACTATGATCGCAAGTCTAATACCGCGTCAACAAAGAAGGCTGTCGCCATGCTCAAACTCATTTTGGAGTACTCCAACGGCGAGGAACTGGACATGCTGAACGGAGCTGGCGATACGTGCTTGCACAGCGCCATCTCGCAGGGCCAGCTGGCCGTCATCCGCTGCCTCGTCGATGCCCGGCCCCAGCTTCTGTATCGCGAAAACGCAGTGGGCCGCACTCCGGCCGAGCTCGCCCACGACCAGCTATCGTCGCATGTCTTCCAGCACCACGGTAACCGACGCTACCACCACCGCAATGACGACGGCAAGAGCCGCGCCCTCGACCTGAAGGAGAGAGACCAGAGCGAGTTTCTGCTGGACAAGCTCGCCCAGGACGACGAGGTACTCAAGAAACAGTCAGAGGATATGCACGCGGCGTCTGGTGGTCTGGGAGAGGCGTACACGCCGCACGAGCTGGCGCGCATCCTCGGCGCCATGGGCCTCGACAACACCAAGGACTGGGACCGCAACGACTTGCAGACGCCGGGTCTGGCGGAACGCGTAATGTGGGACATGTGCAGCGTAGCCATGCGCAGGCACGCGGGCAAGCGTCGCCTCGTGAGCCTCAATGAGGCCAACGACGTGGCGCGGCGTCTGGGCGAGAGCGACGTGACGTCGCGTTATTTCAGCGTCAACAGCCGCCATGCTGAGGATGAGGAGGAGCAGGAAGACAAGGAAGAGGATGAGGGCAAGAAATTGTCGGATTTTGTGCGTGACTCGCTGCTGCGTGCTAGGGGGTGGCTCACCAAGGAACGTGATGAGAGCGCAACAAAGGCGATCCCAAAGTGTTCCCAGTGCGAGAAGCATCACGAAGATGAAGAGTAGAAACGTTTCACTGGATAATGGGTGTTGCTCTTTTTCAGAAGCTGTTGTTCATGTTGCTAGTTTCCCATTTTGCGCAATATATCATGTAGCTACGTCTCGATGCTTGAAGTTGTATAGTTTGATATTTGAATTTGTGCTTTTACTCGAAATCATTGAAAACGCCCCTGGATTCAAACATTAGACAGCATTGCTATATGATCAAGAGTAGAATAACAGTCGCGTGATTTCAACAAGGCCTTATAAACAGACCGTATTGTCGCGTGTGGAAAGATGGTAAAACGGGAACATTACAAGTGGGACTTTTTTTCTTTCTTGTCCGTCAGCATTCTAGGATACAATGACCACCGTGGCACCATCTCCCCAGAGGCCAACCACGGACATGGCAAAGCCAAGCGCGGCAAGGCCCGCCTGGATAGCGTACGCGCGCGCGAGGCCCTGGACATGGACACGAACGTCTTCACCATTGACGGGTTCGTCGACATCCTCTTCGCTTGCGGGCTCGCTGTGGACGTCGCCGAGGACTTCATAGCTAGCCTCCATGCTGCGCGCGCGCGCCGCCGCTGCGCTTGTCGACGTCTTATTCTTGCAGTTGGCCGGACGAGTGGTAGTGGTGGCGGTGGGAGCAACAAGGCCAGCGGAGCCGAGGAGGAGGCGCGGCGCGGCGGCGCTCAAAACGGCGAGCAGCGAGGCGTAGACGAGGTAAGGGTGGCGGGCGCGCGGCGGGGCAAAAGCGTAGGCGAGGGCGAGGGGCGCGGCGGCGAGCGAGGACAGCGCGATGAGAGACGTCTGCAGCGAGGCGGCGAGGTGGCTGAGGGAGGCGCGGGCGGAGGAGGCGGAGGGGAGCTCGAGGAGCGCGGGGAGGGCGAGGCGCGAGACGGCATAGGAGACGCCCTGAAGGAAGGAATTTTTGAGTTAGCAAAAGACCGCCGCGCGCGGGAAAGGGGGGGGTTGGTTAGCGAGGGAAAGGGGGAGAAAGGGAGGCATTGTCGTGATGGCTTTCCGCGGGGAGGGGGGAAAGGTGTGGTTCAACATGGCGTTTCGAGGGGCAAGCGCAATGGAGAGAGGGAGGGGGGACGAACGGTCAGCAAGCCGAGGGACACGGTCCCCACAAACTTGAAGAGAGGAATGGCCTTGGATGCCATTGTTCTCGATGTTTTTTGGGGGATAACTTTGGAATGATGAACAGTTGCTGTCTGTGGATGCTTGGGGGAAGAAAGAAGATGGAATTTGGGGAAGAGAGAGAGAGAGGACCAGTGACAGCCGACGGATATGGAATGACTGGTGACGTTTTGGCGTGAGGCGCGCTAAATAATAAGAAAGGTGCCGCTGCTGTCCGGCAAGTTTTCTGCCCGTCTAATTCTTGCTTGGAGCCAGGCCGTTCTCCACTTGGGCGGTCGACCGACCACCCACTGGTTACTTTTTCCAGAGTGGGCAGGTTTTGCTCAATTTCTGCTTCCTTCTTCACCTCAGCTTCAGGCTCCCATACCTCGAGAGATATTTCGACTTATGTCCGACCACAGCGAATGCAGCCATGAACAAGTTTCCCAGGACTCAATTCAACACGTTTCGTTTCCATCAATCTGACGATCTTTCCCGTGTTTTTTTTGTTCGCCTCTTTCCCGTGAACTCGTGACCTCGACGTGACTTCGACTTCGCCCAACGGTACGTCAAATCTTTTCTACACCTTGTCCGCAATGCCCTCCCGACTCGAAAAAAAAATCCTCCAAATGATGATTCGTCGATATTTCTCATAATATCTTCACCCTTCAAATCTTCAGGAAGAGCCGTCTGAGACTGCCCGTTTGCGCGCGCAGCCGACTAGGTTTTGCCAGTTCCCGCGGACATCTTTTCCTTCTTCTTGTGAGCATGGTCTTGCCGCCGCTTCTCGTCACAGAGAAGGAGTGCTGGTGACTTGCTCGCTCGAAAGGGATAAACTCTTATGGTGTCCGTTTTTAAGGGGCTGGCCCGTCTGGCTGCCGCCGGGGGTCGTGGTGCTTATAAATTGGGTTTCTGAAAAGAGATTTTTTTTTTTCCTTCCTTCCGTCAATGCCTGTGATTTCTTTGAGCAGGCAAAATACTTCATGGCTATCTATCTAGGATACTATGACTTTTGTGCTGCGCTGGAAAACACGACATTGACCTCATCCATCGTTTGACTGGTCCAACTTTTTTAAATGCATTTGCTGACAGTCATATAGTAGTTTTCCCGATTCGCAACACGTATATATGCACAAATCTCATCTATTTCCAGTTGTGACCTTGTTGGTCTCATACAATGAGAATGGTTTCATTACATAATCTAATATACATCATTACCGTAATTCAAGTCACTCCTTCAAGCTCGTATACTTGTGCAGCCAGAACTCAGAGCCAATCCATCTCACTATCCGAGTCGTCTACAATACGTCCTCGCCTCCGCTCTGCTCGTCTTACGACCCCTTCGCCACTCGACGGCTTTTCTTTGCCTACTGATGCCACAAGGGAGGCCAGATCGGGCACGTCACTCTCTTGCGTTGCGGTGAAAGTGGTGGGCTCAAAGAACGGCTTAGATTTCGGAGCAGCGACTCGAGGCGTCGCCTGGCCGGTCGATATCGGCGACGATAGTTCAGATTGCCTCATGCTCGAGGTAGGCACATTGTCAGATACGACAAAGCCCTCCAAGTCGCCACCACTGTCTGACCCGTCCGTGTCCAGGATGTCGCTGGTTCTGTCACAGTCGTCGCCCACTTCTTCCAGGTTGGCGGCCGCATTCCCTTTACTACCCTTCCCCTTTTTCTTACTTCCCTTTTTGGCTGTTTTTCGTTTCTTTCTTCGAGGGCCATCTTCGTCATCCGTATCCGCCTCGGCTGCCATGTCTTCCAGCGCTGCCTTGACGGCTGTGCGCCGTGCCTCTACTAGATCCGGCAGACCTTCTGTCGAGCCAAACGAGTCTCGCCTGTCGTTTTGTGGCTCTAATACAATTGCTTCATCTTCGCCCTCTGACTCGCCATCAGAGCCGACAAATCGGCGTACTGGTATCCCTTCGTATGCGCTTTCGTCTTTGTGGCGGCATGCTCGAACCAACTTGTCCGGGTCGGTACCCATCGCATGCACCATCTTCACGAATCGCTTGGTATAGGGGCCATGTTTCAGCAAGCACGTTGGCCCGAGGCGCCGTTGCGATTCCGGGTGAGCAGTCATGCTAAGCACATCCGTTTCCTCAAATGTGCTCTGGTTGAATGGCAGGTCGCGATAGGACCGGTTCAGCTCTTTAAGCTGCTCTCCGTCGAGCACCACACTGTCTAAATCCGGTATCTTGCTCAGGTCATCCAACTCGGGGTTGCGCTTAGGTTCGGCCTTTTTGGCCTTCTTGACCGAACCTTTCATAAAGTCTGTCAATGTCTGAAAACCAGTTTCGACTCCATCGGGCATGTGAAACTTTTTTGGCGCCTTCTTCTTTCCCGCTGCCGCTCGTCTCTTCTTTGGTTCCGGCAGCGAATTGTCTTGTGTGTTCTCCACGGGAATATCAACATGTCTCTTGTCCACCTCTGGTCGTATGTTGCGAGGCACGATGCGAGTAGACAGGTCGAAGCGAAAATTGAAGCGGCTTCCCTCGCAAATCAACGATTGCATCTTTTCGTAGTTGTCTTTGGATTTGGCAAATTGGTCTTCTTCTTTGCCTCGCATCAATAGCAATACAATGTTGCCGGCTCGTTTGCGTCCAGTTCGGCCCATGCGCTGTAACATGCGAATCGGAGATGCCGACGCGTCGTAGCAGACTATGAGATCTACCTGTCCAATGTCCAAGCCTTCTTCACCGATAGAGGTCGCGACGAGCACATTGAAATGGCCATTGCGAAACTTTTCAACGGTCTCGATCTGCTGCGCCTGCTTCATGCCCTCGCCTCGCTTGCCAACCGCCTGACCAACAAAGATACTAGCCTTTACCAGCGGTGCATGCATATTCAGCAGGCGCACAATGTCTTCTGCAGAATCTCGATATTCGCTAAACACAATGACACGCGTGCCAGAGTCTTCTCCTCGGTCCATGAAATGGTTCAAGACCGTGTCGGCCAAGGCTGTTTGTTTGGGATGCCCAACAAACCCATCTCGTTTCATCCAGCTGGCAATTTTGTCCATCATGTCTTTGAAACTAGGATGTTCGATAAGTTGCCGCTTGTACTTAGATCCCTTTTGTCCCTTTTCCTCCTGTTCTCTCCGAAAATCCAATAAATTGTCGTAAAACGGTTTGATGCCATGAAAGGTCAAAAGTTTGATGGAATGCGCCAGACTTGTGAGCACGCTAAAGATGGCGCGCATCATAAATTGAACGCCTTGATTGACGTGTTTACCTCGTGTTGCCATCCACTCATTTTGCGACTGCAGTAGGCCAAATGCCGATATCGACATTGGACTCTTTCCGTACCAAATATTCTGGGCGCTGAGCTTATCCAAAAGCGGCTTGAGCGCCTCTGAAAATAATTCGCTAACAAGATTGATCTCATCAGAGGGATCAAGAACCAATTGTTCGATATTTCTGTCATGGACGTATTGACGAATGTCAATCGAATCCTCAGTGCGGATCTCGCAATGCGATATTCCAAGGTTGTCGATAATTTCTTGCACTGTTTCAATTTTGGAGCCCGGGGTGGCTGTCAAGGCGAGAACACGGAAACTCTTCGAAAATCGCCGGATCAATTTTGCGACTTTGGCGTACGCGTACTCTCCGGTGGCGCGGTGAGCTTCGTCGACAACGATGAGACAGATGCTTTTCGGGTCGGCGTACCCATGCGACAAGTCATTGAGAAGCGTCTGCGGCGTCATGAAAAATACTCTTCTCCTTTCCCACTCCTCCTCGCGCAGAACAGGCTGAACGTCACCTGTGAGCAGTGTCGTTTCCGATCTCGGTATACCTGCAATGTTGTAGCAGGCATCTATTTGCTGGGCAACCAATGGTTTTGTAGGAGCAACAAAAACGATTTTGCCCTTCTTTGTCCATCGGTAGAAATTAAGCATGACCGTGGCAGCGATGAAAGTCTTTCCGAGACCCGTGGGCAGCGCAACCAAGGTGTTGTTGAACAGGCTATTCTTCACAATACTGAACTGGTAGTCTCGAATGGCTCCCAGATTTGTAGGGTATACCCATGTCTCCATGGCCTCCTTGTCCAACTCATGATGACTAGGCTCTTCCCGGGGCAAGTCGGCGCGAAAGACTCTGGTAGCATTGGACTCCTGCGGTTGGCTACTGACCTCACCGAGTGGTTTCCCGAAGAGTGTTGTCTGTCTATAGGTTCCGGATGCAGATCGCTGGAGGCCGGTTCGCGGCGCAGTTTGAATGTTGTTGGGCCGAAACTGGGTAGGCGGAGGCTCGGGAGAGGAAAATGCATCGTCAGGCAAGCCCTCTAACTCTGGTGCAACCCTTTGGTTCACCAAAGGTCCTTTTGCGACACCCTGACCATTTGAGGAAGTAAATGACTGGTTCAGCCGAGCACTGGAAGACGAAACTTGATCAAACGCAGTGTTAAAGTCCTCGTCGGCGATATCGTCGTCAAACTCATCGGAGCTCATGGCGACCAGTACTTTGCGCGACGTGGTACAGAGCTTGAGCTGGTATAGTTCTTGTGCGCTATTTTGGAAGCAGGGTACCCATGTCTCACATGATAGCTCAAATCTGGATATCGATGTTCGTCGCCGAGCCGGGAAAAGAAGTCCTCAGGTTGAGTCTACTAACTGGGCAATCTACGCGCCTAGCATCGCGTCTGGTAAAAGTGTAACGCGAAACAAGTACCACGGCACGTGACTTGCTCGACAGTAAATGATTTGGCCTGATTGCGACTTGCAAGCCTCAGTGATTATGGTTATAAGCAGGCATTTTCCGGGACAGGATTGAATCAAATTCTCCTAGTTTTTATATGCATTCAATAATTTGACCATTTTAATCTTATCTTTCTCAGTTGTCAAGTCGCCATTCGGCCTCTGTCTAGTTCTACGAGGCATCTGATGTGCCTTGCAGCCTGGATGTAGAAGTGGGGCCATCCATGAAAATAACCTATTGCATCCACCTGCCTCCGACAACCCTTCTTCTTCATCTTTGTTCTTCTCATTCTCTCAAACAGCTTTGTTCCAGTCTCGAGCGGGCGAAGCTACGCTAGGCTATACTCTTCCTGCAAGTATCAAATATTCTGTGAAGATCGCCGAGCAACACTTCTCGACCTAGCCGACAACGCGTCGAGCAGATCCTTTACATTGTCAACATCAGCAATCTTCAACACACCAACCGTCCCGATCAACCTCCCACATCGGTCGGCTCACGACACTACAAATCAATAAGACAAGACCTTTCCTTCCTGTACTGTGGTCAGCTAGCGTCTGGCGTCCAACACTTTTAAGGCTCATAACCCGTGTCGAACCCGCATCTTCCTCTCTCCAACAGTCAACAGCCTACGTGCATAGCTCAACCACCTCACATCTACCTAAAACAACTATGGCTCCACGTGGTGCTCGCAGTGGTGGCGCTCAACCATCGCGCGGGTCAAAGGCGACTTCCATGAAGTCTAGCGCTGGCTCTCGAGGTGGTATTCAGAAGAAGAGAGCCGGCGCTACCAAGATTGACGGAGATGGAGATCTCGACATGGATAGCGCTGCTCGGCGCTCAGCCAGGTCCGCCGCTGCACAGCCAGGTGGCGGTCAGTCAAAGCCCAGTACGAGATCCTCCGCTACGAAAAGCGCTCGCGGCCCTTCCAAGGTGGCACAAAACATTATGAAACAGCTAGCCAATGGTAATATTGGCGATGGCGCGTCTCGTGTCACCAGAGGCAGAGCGAAAACCGGAGCTGGCCTGTCATATCTCAGAGTCTATGGCCTCCGGCAGAGCAAGGCCGCCAGCAACCCCGATGGCGGGCTCAAAGATCTTCTCAGCTTTCTGGAAAGGAAAGCTTCCGGATTTACCGCCGGCCGCCCAAGACGAAATCCTATGATTAAGAAGGTATGTGATGATATTGACCATGTTTCAGGGCGCACCGAAATTCAGCAACTATTCCGGATGGCTACTTGTCAAGCCAGGCGCTCAGCGCAAGACATGATTTTCTCAGCACACTGCAAACTGCATCAATTAAATGCCCCGAAACTCTCCCTGGTATCGATTACTCGCTGACACAACTCAGTCACATGTTGCTGGGGACTATGTATTCATAGGCGCCAGCAAGGACGACGCAGAAGAATTAATCAAACTCAACACTTTCATGTTCGCTGGCGTAGAATTGGAAATTGTTGAGTCAACAGAAGGGCTCGGGCAGCCCAACAAGGCAACAGAATCAAAGGAAACCCAGGAGCTTCGCGCCAAGTTGCAGGCAATTCTTGGTTCGAGATACTTTCAGGCGAACAAGCTGCTAAAACTTGACGCCCTCTCAACAGATGCAGAGCTCGTCCAGCTTGGCATGTTTGAGAATCGCGAGCGAGCTCTCAAGACCTTCAAGGGCCTGATGGTCATTTGTGATGACCTTTTCAAAACGGCTCAGGAGAAGCGCGACGCCATTGAAAGCATCAGCGTAGCGAACAATGGCATTGACGACGTCGCCCAGGTGGAAAATGTTGCAAACACATTCCCTCAGCTCAAGAATCTTGACATGAGTGGCAACCAGATTGCAAACATGAAGGCCATGGAGCGCTGGAAGGGCAAATTCAAGGAGCTCAAGACGCTTTACATGGCCGGTAACCCCATCGAAACTGCCGACCCAAGCTATCAAAACGTCTTGTTAGAATGGTTCCCCAAACTTCAGGACATCAACGGGGTAGAGTTACGAAGTGCGGCCCAGATTGCGGAGCGGGAGGAAGCTTTGAAGCCAAAGGCTATCCCGCAAAGTGGTCCAGATTTCCGAGATGTCAATGGCATCGGCGAGAAGTTTTTGTTGGAATTCTTTGGGGCATACGACAATGACCGTCATGGCCTAATTACCAGACTGTACGACGATGCGAGCCAGTTTTCTCTAGCGGTTGACACCAAATCGGTCCGGGATGATGGTGCGCCTGCGCCGCTGCCCTGGGCAGCATACTTGAAATTTTCAAGAAACCTGATCAAAATTACGCATCAAAACGCCAGAGCCACGCGACTGTTTAAGGGCGCGAGTGTCATCTACGACTTGTGGAAAATGCTGCCGTTGACTCAACATCCCAACATCAAGACAGATTTGAGCAAGTATATTATGGACTGCCATCCTCTTCCGGGCCTGGTTGATCCATCTGGGCAGAATCCCCTGGGAGTGGACGGGCTCATCATTACCGTCCACGGCGAATTTGATGAATATGATCAGACTAGTGCCACGACGGGCAAGAGGAGCTTCTCGCGGACCTTTGTGCTTGGGCCCGGCCAGCCAGCAAGAGGTGGAATTCGGGTCGTCAGCGATATGCTTTCACTACGGGCATGGAACGCTCTACCCAACGTTTTTGATGCCAATGCCACAGCACAGGCTGCCCCGGCCCCCTCAGTGGCACCAGCAACGGTTCCGCCGGCTGGCCCAGTCGCACAGGCGCCAGATCATCAGCAGGTCATGATCGATGAGCTGTGCAAGCAGACTGGTATGACACAGCAGTACTCTGCGATGTGTCTCACGCAGGTCGACTTTGTCTTTGACAAGGCGCTTGCAATTTTCAATGAAAGAAGGGTGTGTGCATCTACCTAATGGCAGATATAGGAAGACGTTGCTAACAATATGTATAGGCGCAGCTGCCGCCTGAGGCCTTCACTGCTAATACGCAGTAAAACGCAGGCTCGAACCCGTGCGGATTGGGGAACGCACAAGCCGAGAAGCTATGCGGATCGGATGAAAATGCAAGCTGGGAGGCTATAATGATATTTGAGGAGGCTTCAAAGGGTCGGGATCATTGGGAGGTGGTTTGTTCTGTACCGATATCATTAATGTGTTCAGCCGGTGGCATACTGTATTCATGGAGAGGCAAGGCGTTAATGGACTGTTGCATTCAATATTCAATACCAGATGTGCGATGATGGGCATAAATATCAAAGTACTTCGTACCGCCTTGATGACTGCCGTCTGTCTGTGTGCACCGTATTGATTAATGCTTATCCGGAAAAGACGTATGCCGCCGACTGATGTTTCTTTCTAGGTTAGTTTTTCTTTCTAGGTTAGTTTTTCTTTCTAGGTTAGTTTTTCTTTCTAGGTTAGTTCAGGTTAAGAAAGGGTATGGTCCCAGCTACTTGCCGACCGAGTTGCGAAAGTGGCGTGATACTCATCGCACAGACGATGCGCACATGGTCGATGTGTAGGATGGGGTTACAATTTGAGCCAACCAAGCAACTACAGGTACTCATCTACAAAGCTATGCAATGTGAGATGGACTGAATTACATGCAAGACTCGAGGGGAGCCGTTTTGTTCAAGGTGACATGTTTTCAGTTTTTTTCGTTTCATTCTCCTCGTCATCACCTTTTTTTTTTTTCGTAATTGGTTTTTCATCCAGGCACAGGGTAGCAATACGTTGGAGCGTAACGTGTGGGGAAGCCACAACGGCGGTCGCAGGTGGGCGCGCCGAAAGTCGTCTGTCGCCGAGAGTCCCTACTTGTCTCCTTGTACCAAAGAAAGAAAGAAAACGTACGTAAAAGTAAGCCTAATGACGTGTTACATGCCACTTTTCAAAGGGAGTCTCTTTGCTTTCTTTTGTCCTCCTAAAAAAGGTCCCTTTCTTTACTACCTTCAAGGGGCGGGGGGCCCGCATAGAGGTGGGTGGGCGCGTCTATGAACAACAACTGAATACTCTGGGGCATATTTTTGGTACGCAAGGCGATGCGCAAGGGAGAATATAATAAGGCCCATGACCGAATAAAAGCAACCTACCAAGGTACCGAGTAGCCGTCTGATGGTCTTTTTTCTTTTTCTTTTCTTTTTCCCCTTCTGTTCCCACGGAACACATTTCCTCCCTTGAAAACTTGCTTCTTCTTCTAGGTTGATTCTGGCAGAAAAGCAAAGCAAAGCAAACAAAACGCCATCGCATGGCTGCATCTACCGAACCATCACAAAAAAAGAAAAGAAAGAAACCCCTTTGCTGCTATTTTTAAACGGCAGATGACGTCTACTATACCTCGTACCGATGATTCCGTTGAACCTACCTGTAACGAGATGGCAAATCGGTGCTGCTAGGCATGTATCACGACGGGCCATCGCCTAGGTCATTGCTGGTTGTTGAAATTTCAGGACGGATAACCGCCCCGGCCGGATCCCACTGTGTAATTTGAGGATAGCCTGGTGCTAACTAGTCCTGGCCGTCTTGGCTGGGTTATACCAGTAAAGCCGTAATACATGTGCTTCATGCGGCGGGGCCGACGTAGACAAATCCTTTTCATACTTACTTGGTGTGGAAAATTGCCCGACCGATATTGACAGGGAACGTTATGGCTTGTTCTGCTTGTCTTCTACGGCATTGTGCCGGTATCGTCGACGTTGGGCACTGTTGCGGGCATCGACGCCACCAGACGCATGCAAACTTTCCACGTCTTCGTCTCATGCAAAGGGCTTGGCAGGAGATGCAAGCCACAGTACCTTGTTTCTATCCGTGAGCCGCGCTGCATCTATTCTCAAGGCAGCTTGTTCAATGAGGAATTGAGGGAGTTATCAAATAAACGAGTCGAGAAAAGGGATCACATATGCCTTCACAGCAGCAGCAATGACTCGGTAGATGCCAATCGTCCTGGCCTGTCTCCAACTTACGGAGTAAGCGGCTGCAATTTCTTGTACTTGCTCGCCGGCGGCCCGTACAGGTTAGCATCTGCACGCATTTGCCATGATGCTCTGATGTGCATCCAATGTTTCAGTTCTTGAGCAAACGTCGGGCAAGTGTCTGGGCTGCAAGTGACGAGCAGAGTCATCATTCCGCGCACATCACACGACGGCATTTGAAAAGGCTCAAAGATTCGTCAGATCTGGTACAAATGTTCTTTACGCGATCGGGCAGTTTCGTGTCTTGGTCCTCATGATAAATAGACGTGTACGTGCCTGCACAGGACAAAAAGGTCGAGCAGACTGCGCGACAGCCGGCGTTGGCGGGGACGGGTAGCCATGTGCCGTGCCGGAACCTGCCAATGAGATCAGCGCACATGGGCGTTGTTGCGTGACGTGATGTGACGCGGCGCGCTCGTCGGGCTGGGAGGGGCAGAATGCTACGGTAGAATGCGTGAATGCCCAAGCCAAGAGCCGAACAAAAAGAAAAGAGAGATGCAAGCTGCGAGCATCTTGTTTCCTTTGGTCGTCTTGATAGGGAGGTGTTGATAACTGAGTAGAGCCCTGAATGTCCCGGGAGCCTGGTGCTGCACAGCCTATGTGGATAGGTACTCAAAGGACTTGCGGATACAAGCCTCGAATCCCTCGCCAGTACGAATTGCGGCGTTAATTGCATGGGTACACGTACGCCTCTTCTACTGTTAGTTGGTAAACTCATCGTACTGGTAGTTGCGGTCAAAAAACAAAGATCCCCGTAGCAGGCTGTGCTTGGTATTGTGGAATAACGTGGAGACCAACTATGCGATCCAGTTTACCTCTGGACTCCGTGGACCGTTGACAGCCATGCACGCCACGTCGGCTCGTGAAGAGGTTCCCAGCGTTTCGATACTGATATCCTTAGTGAGAGTCTTGATGTCGAAGAGAAGCATTATGATAACCGAAACCCTGTTCTTCATGCATGCCCAACAACGGCATCCGACTTGGGGCAAGTTTGCCAGTGTCTACTTCGAGGGGCCCGGGGTAGTACATATAAGCGAGGCTGCTGGAGGCGAAACGCTAATAATACAGTGATAAGAGAAGCAACACCGGTGCGGGGGAGGACAAGAGAAAACCTGTGACTGAGGTTGGACGACAATTTTGACAGCCTATGCTAATCGGGTTGAAGTTGGTGCTTTTTGATGACAGAGGAATCAGACCGGGCCATCCTAAATAGGCCATCCCATTTTAGCGCGTTTCAGACTGAGTGAACCTTTGTGGAGGCGATTTGCCAGGGAGGGGGTACAGAGAAGGAATACCAGGAGACCACTATAGAATCGGATGTGGTTCTTTCTGGAAAAGAGAGCTTGCGTGGGATCAACCTGTAGCTTGTAATTAGGTGCTCATTTCGATGGGAAACAGGGACAGACCCTTGACAGCCTGGCGATGACGCCAGTTGTAATTTCATTCTTTTCGACTTGAACGGCGAGGCTGGAGCGATTGCCGGTTCGAATTTGGCGCAAATGTTTCTTTTCAAGCCTTGCCGTGCAAGGGATGTAATTTTGTGTTGTACTTCGATAGTGGTGGTGGCGGCAGGTCGCGTCGTTGTCTCAAAGGGGGCTTTGCTGCATCACACATCTCACACATTGAGCTAGTATTTGCTGCAGTGCAACGAGAGCACAGGTCACTATGCAGCAGCAGCAGCAGCAGCAGCAGCAGCTTAAATGAGTATTCGAGCACTCGGTATCCGTAGATGGTTTTGCTGGTAGGTACCTTGGTACCGTGTGAAAGAAACTTTGCATCATGGTCTTGTTTGCTGCATGTCTTTGATGCAAGTCGAATTTGGGGTCTGAGCGTCTGATGAGTGGGCGGCGCGTTGTGCATAGCGGCCCACCTTTGCACAATGACGCTGCACAAGCAAGCAGCGATGCTCATAATTTATTCCTTTGTCAGTATACTTCGGATGTACCAGTACATTGCAACGTGGCTCGTGTGGTCGGTGCCCACCAACACCAGCCAGCAACTGCAGAGCAAACTATTTACAATTCGCAGAAGAAAGCTAGGATGCTAGAAAATGACTTGCAGTCAAAATTAAACTCTTCATCACAAACTGGGTCGTCCAGTGATGATTCGCAGTTTGGCGCCGGCAGGCTGATGACCGCGGTTCCCCACGTTCCTCTCGCTCGCGTGTGGGAATTTTGAGTCCAATAATGCATTGGTGCAGCGCGCGGTCCATTTTGTGCATATGCGGCATGCGCATGTTGTGCAGCTAGCGCTGTTGAAGCTGAATGGCAGCCGCATTCTCCAGCTCATTACTGGCCGACCAGCCACCGCCTGAGCTATGGAAAATCGCGGGGCATGCTTTTTTCGTCGAGCAGAGAGACCCTTTCTTCGTATTGATAATAGCAAGCGCAAAAAATTGCCGTCTCCCTTTATTTTCTTCTTTCCTGCCGTCTGTCTTTGGTCCCGTGTTCTACATGTTCTACGCGTCCTATACTTTTGTTCTTTCACTTGACATCTGTGCATCTCCATACCATAACTGAACACTTGCCATCGATGAAGCTCACATCAAATGCCTGATCGAAGATTCAGATGAGGAAAAACTATCAATCGTACGAATAGCCGCCTGCAACTGCAACTCTTGTGCCTCTTATTGTATTCGACGTCAGAGACTGGCTAGCCTCCCTTCAAAGCCTAGTCCCTGCGCTAGCCACTTTGGGCTGCAGGAACCGGGGTCAAGCGGAGCCAGCAAAGCACAGGACGGCCTGCAGCCAGGAACCACCACCGCCATTATTACATTGACCCCCCTCCGCAGCATTCGCCCCTGAAACCAGCCACGCACTGAGAGATGCAAAATCGGCGAGACCTGCATCGCACCGCACAACACTGCATGTTCGGTGCTGTACGCGCCGACGTGGTGCCACCGCCGGTGCTCCCACAAAGCGACCTTACCGGAACCTCCAACACGCCACGCCAAGCGTGCAACCAGAGTGCAGCCGAGATGAATGGATGGTCCTGGTAGAGAAGTAGTTGCGCCTCGTACTCGAGCACAGCAGTACAACAGCTTCATTGTCGCCCAAAGTCTAGCAAGCCTTATGGAGTCCGTCGCACTCACCTGTTGCTTGCATCTGATTTCCTTTGACTTTGGGTCTCGTAGCATCTGAGGCTCAAATATCGGTACTTGGTTCACTTTTGAGTACAGGGCCGGCAAGGTGACAGGCAAGCAAGCAGGCGCGGCCCACTGATTGGCCCGACTCTGCCAGCGCCCTGCGCACACGCCCCTGACAGCTTTTAGCGTCCCTTCGCCCCAAAAATGGCCCTGAGAAGCCCCACGACAGGCGAATGCCCAAGGGCTCTTGGGCGCGGACTGAGTGTCAATGCAGCGAATGTCCATAGGTATCGAATACTGCTCATTGTCGCCTTTTCTTCTTCCGCATTCTTTTCTACTGGTCTGTGCAGTGCCGTCCGTTGTTCGCAGTCAGTCTAGGGAGGCAGACGGTGGAGGTGCCCGCGCCGTCAGTGTAGCAGTCTTTATCTTGATAGGGGCTCTTTTCAGGTATAGGATGCCCTGCCAACTGCCTGTGATATCTCGCAACACCCAGAATTAGCACCACTTTGCTGTATGATGCCCAGCCTGACCCTAATTAGAGAGAGTACAGGTACCTCGCTGTCTTTCCCCTGCCCTTTTCCCCTTGTCAGTCCAATGGCACCTTCCGCTGCACCTGGCTCCTGACGTGCTGGCAAGCTAAAATGGTACCTGGCCAGTCCGCCTTCACTGCCAGCCGCTAAAAGTCACCTCTTCGTATTGTTTGCTCGCACGCCCCCCCGGTCTGGCTGCCAGCCTTCTCCTGATTATTTGCTTCTCCTGTGCTTTTCCTCTCTCCCCATTTCTGCTGCTCCTGCTTCTCATCCGTGCAGCTTTTTTTTTTATTTCCTGTTCTCTGACTTATTGCCTCGTACGCGAACTCCCGTCGAGGCTTTCCTCTTCTTTTCCGTCGCCTTTTACTTGGTTCGGGGCAGAGCTGTCATTCCAGCTTCAGCTCCCCGCTAGCAAACCAAGGCTTGATCGCGGCCGTCTGCCTGCTCACTGCATTCCAGTACCACTACCCGCTCCAATACATACCGTCTGGTACGAGGTTGCACCGCAGCACGCTTCGCAAACACGATATTGCCATATTCGATTAAAACGAGCCGCGTTCCCTCTTGCAACTTCTTCTTCTCATTAAAATTCTTCCGACCCGCCGCCTGGAGCGCTGCATCCGCACCCTGGACCGGACAAACGAACCGCTCATAAGTAGCTTCGATTCAAAATATCACAAACAAGAAAGTTTGACGGCTGGTTGTCAACGGCCTTCCCCATTCTCATTCAACCGGACCGACCCTTCGATCGTCTTCGATAACCGTTTACAATTTCTCCCCCGAAAAAACGCGCCGCTTAACGAGCCGTGAAAACATCACCCGTTATACATCACCAATTTGCATAACAGAACTTGTCTAGTATTTCCGATACGCGTCGTCTGTTGTTCAATTGATACTGCCGAGTCATGTCATTTTGATCAAATCCTGCTCTCGACTTCTCCGTCTGAAACAGCCGCCCAGGTTGAAGGGACGAGCCATTCGCAATGCCTGTCCCCAAGCCTGATGATATGTCCGTGCTCGACAATGCCTGCACAGTTATTGTCGACAACACATTCTACTCGTACTCGGAAAAAGGCTTCCTGTCTCTGAATCTGGAGGAAAGCGCGAAATGGAAGACTCTCAATGGTAGCGTCAAGGTGACAGGACCTTCTTGTGCCGGTAAGAGGCTGTCCGACAAAGGTGCAGCCTCCCTACTAGTAGTCGGTGGCTACAGCAATGATAAGGGCTATCCCGGCTTGCAGGAGTACACCTTCTCTACCGGCAAATGGGAAACTCTCACTCCCCTGACCATGGACTTACAGAACCGCCGCGGCCACAGTGTCGTCTACAATGATGCCTCCGACACGATTGTCGTCTTTTCTGGCACCAGGTCGGATGATCCAGGTGCTGCTCCAGGTGCTTCGCAGGAGACACACAAGATCAAGATTTCCGGAGCCCAACCGCTCCGAGTAACATCTGCAAACCCTCCAGGTTCTGGCAGAGCTGGCGCAATTAAACCAATGCTCTTCCCTTGGGCTGGTGCCGACGTTGCCTTGGTCTCTGGTCCTGCAGATGATGGCACTGTCTGGCTTATGAATTCGGACCTGGGTAATAATGATGGGTGGAGATCAGTTGGAAGCATCAAGGACTCGTGGCCCTCGGATTCTGCCGCAGTCCGTGGCGCACTGGTTGCTAGCACGAGCGATAGCTCCTTGAGTCTGCTCAAATTCGATCTGAGCCGCTCGCCCAATGCCGTGACGCGCATACCACTTGCCAAAGCTCCGAATGAAGCCATGCACGGCGCAGGAGCTGCGACAAAGCGCAGTGTCGACTTCGGCCTTGGCAGCTGGCCTGAGTATAACAGCACTCACGCACCGGATATGACCAGAAACGGTTACTCTGTTGCTCAGGGTGCCAATGGCATGATAGTCATGTCTGGAGGCAACGCCGAGGAGCCGGTTGCCATCTTCAATGCGCAAAAGAACAGCTGGGTCAACGCCACTGAACTTCTTGGCGACGGCTCACAGAAGATTCTCGCCTCCACAACATCCACGACAAGCACTACCTCAACCTCGACGACGATTTCCTCCACCTTTACTACCTCGATTAGCTCGACCACGTCAACGACCACTGCAACTCCCACGGAAACAAGCCCTGCTACCAAACCTGAAAAGCATGGCCCTAGCTCAAACGCCATCCTTGGGATCACTTTGGGAACTATTGCAGCATTTCTCGCGATTCTCCTGGTTGTTCTGCTTTGTCTTAAGCGCCGCAAGCGCCGCATGAACCCCAATCAGGGCGGTATTCTCAACCCCGATGAAAAGGAGACGATGGCGTTCGCCAGGAGCGCGCAACCTCCTACGACGCAGGTCAACTATCGCAGTCACAATCCCACGCTCTCCGCCGAATCGTATTCTTCTGTCGCCATCCTTATGGGCCGAATGGGACCTCAGAAGCAACCTGGTGCAAACGGCAAGATGTCGCGCTCGTCGTCGAGGAGCTCGATCAGCTCTCTGCGCAAGCATTTGAAGAGCACCATTAGCAAGCCGATTCCCCAACCCTCAAATAATCCAATGTTACAGACTCCGGATGACCGTGGTGTTGCTTTTGACCCCGCCGTTGCCGAGCCTCGACCACGCAATGGTGAACTCGCGTCTGCCAGGGACGGCACCCGCCGCAGCTCTGGTTGGAACAAATATTGGTCCGGAGGAAGTGCTCTACAAATTCTTGGGTATGGAAACAAGCGAGCGACTGTCGCCTCAGAGCGCAGCTCCCGTTACTCGGAAGCCAACTCGGCCAGGCACAATGCCCGTGCAACGCAAGATTCTGCCACGGTGCCTCCTCTCAATTTTGAATCTCGACCTGAAGTTAATAGCGTCAACACGGGAAGCCCGGTTGTATCGCAATATGTCAGCAAGATTCCGACTGAGGGTATGGCCGGCACGATTGAGCGTCCCGTGTCGCCCCTGTCAATGGCTTCCGGATACTCGAGCGGAGTGCCGGAGAGCATCAATGAAATATCTCGAAACTCTGTCGAGAATAAGCCTTGGGGTCACGACCGTGCCCCGAGTAGCATATACCAGCATCGCCGAGAGGACTCGTCGACTGTACCGCAAGGCTCTGGAGTAAGTCAACAGCCACAGCTTGCCATGGCAGCCACATCGACAGACATGAGCTGGCTCAACTTGGGCGACCAAAACCGTAAATAATGTTTGCACTCATTTTTTGCAATGTCCAACGAAGGCATGGTCGTTGAGCATCTGGTTGCGATGGCTTGGTTGGCTTATACCCTCTTTGTTTGATAGCGTTTCTCGTTCTCGGGCTTGTCAGCGCGGCAGGACTTTTGCTTTTTGGTGGTTTTGAAATGGGAGAGTTCCCGGATCGGGGCTCGAGGAAGCATATTGCATAATATTGCATAGACTGACGCAGAGCGAGCAACACCGCACTGCGACTGAGCGTCACTCTTTGGTACCGACATTTTTTTCCGACGCGTTTTATTTCTATAGCACACGGGGCGTGTCTGTTGACCGCCGTGGGCGGTTAAGGGTGACACATTTTGTCAAGATGGACCCCGACGACAAGGCCAGAGATTTCCGATTGGACATGTCAGCCTCATATCACACACATTTTCTCTTATCTGTCGCTTATACATTCTAGACTAGGGCCCGGGTTTGGCCCGCCTTGTTCTTGATTCCAGCGGATTGAGCCGTTGTTACCAGTTGCTAACACATATAGTAGCAAAAGTTGGAATTGGCGGTTTATAGAAGAATCAATGGCGTTATTCGATCTAAGTAACTTGCATGCTGTAGAAGAACTACAAGGCCGCGCTGTTAAAGTGCATGTCTGCCGATGTTTATCATGTTTTGCAGAAGCCGCCAAGTCTTGCTTGCAGGTAGTTGCTAGTATCTGGGGAGATAGTAGGCAACGACAATGGCAGTCATCATTTATGCTTTGCATCATTGTGCAAACGCAGTTCATGCCTCCCGAGTCATGTTTTTCGAGAGGAAGCCGGTATACATATTGAGATGCGCCGTTCTTTAATACGGTCTGGTCTGGCATGGAAGGGGAGTGTACGGAGTAGCAGAGAACGTTGTTCGGTGAGCGTGGAGGGGAAAAGCACCCGACACCGCCAACGCTGACCAGGGGTACTACTTTTTTGACCTCGGGGGCTGGGGTAGGATGTTGGCTCTTGATGAGAAGGGCACTGATGGTCCGAATACATGTTGAGAAAACAAGACGGGGACTTCTTTTATTGAGGCAGAGCGGCCGATGACATTTGCAGAACACGTCTTGGTACCTGAAGCTGCTCCGTGCCGGGGTCAAAGCTGAGTAAGGATGAACGAGGTTTTGTAGGTGTTTTTTTGTAATCCTCTAAACTGGTCAATCTTGATGGGAACAAAGAATCCCTCGAAAGCCGGCTATTACCCCTTGTCAGGCCGAGCTGGAACCAGAACTAGCCCGGAGATGAGAGATGATCAGGGAATTGAGAGCGGGAAAAGGAATAATGTACGGTATATCTCCGAAAGCGGGTCGGCGGCCTGCTGTAACGCTTGGCGGGTGAGGCTCTGCGAGCATTCTTCAGCCAAAAAAAGAAGAAAAGAAGTGGAAGAAAAAAGCTAACAAAAAACTAGAACAGAGAATAACTAGAATAGAGAACAACTAGAATAGAGATAAGAAGACATGGAGAAAAGGCATATTGATAGTAAAAGAGGACGAAGCATTCTAGACCATGTTTGGACTGATGGAGTCTGGTCCCCCGCCGTCGCTTTCAGTTGAGTACAGCCAGCCACTGGCGGCCAAACAAATCTGAAGATATTCAAGTCCGTGTCGCGAGAGTTCACCCGCACGCCATCCTGTACCGCATTGCGCATGTAAAGGTATGGACTCGACCGTTGTGGGATCATGTCTTGGTGATGCCCGCTTGCAGAAAGAAAATCTTTTGCGAGTCATTCTCCCGTGGGGAGTCCTGCAGGAGAGAGGAGTTCATCCGAAGCTTGGCCAAAATGGGGAGGCTTGGGAAGCTGTTGAGATACAAGGTCGTATTACAAGTTTACAACCAAACCATTCGTGGGCGTCGGCTGGTTGATTGTGTGGCAAGAAGCCCATCGGTAAGTATCAGTTCACGAACGACCAGCATGAAAGTATGGCGCGCTTTTGCAATTCCCGCAATGTATTTCTACGATTGTGTGACGCCTGGCGTGCCTCTGTACGTGCAAGTTTGAACCCTTCTAGAACAGGTAACTTTGGGCAAGATCGTGCATGATACCAGCGTCTCAACCGGCGGCCAGCAGGTTGCTAGGCTCTCTTTCCTTTGCTCTGATCGATGCCCATCTGTTTGGTCATTATATAACGTTCTTGAGAAAGGGGGGTTAAAACCCCGCCCTCTCGTGCACGGCGGGGAATTCATAGTGTTGTTGAATGATATTGTGGACTTGGCGACATCTTATCTGGGACTCGGAGATTTTTCTCTTTTCATCGGCTGTTTGAATACCTCGGCTGTTTAGATAAGTTTGGCTATCAGGCTTGGATGCAGAGTTAATTTATTTGCTACTGGAAAAGGAAATTGGAAATGCGATGGGGTGTACAGAGTAGGTGCGAGTTTTATGGCAGCATATCGACTGTCACCGTGAAAATGGGCATGGGCAGTATCCGTGAATAGCCGTATGAAGGGGAACTACGAAAGAGGTGATCCGTACTGTGGCTTAGTTTCTTTGTTTGACTCTTCTTTTACCTGGGGTTGAACAAGCTTGCTTTGGAAGAAGCTCGTCTTGTCCCGTTGTAGGGGCGAAGCGACGAACCGCAGCCATGGGATGAACAGGAGCAAGGAATTGCCAACTGACGGGCTGCTGACTGGGTAGCGTATCTTGTAGGCTCTTCTATTACTGGCGGTTGACATGACAGGCGTCAGCCCCGTTGTGTGGGAGGGCTGCTCATGGCTGCGCTCCGTATGGATGGGGGGTGGAGGGATAGGCTGAATACATCCTTGCGACGCTAGCTGAATGAATGACACACATCTTCTCCTGCTGCAATTTGAATGCAAATGATGCAGACCAGGGGCAGGCTGAGACGAGCGGGTTGGCCGGGGCATGCGGCGAGAAGAGCGCGGTGCAACTCGATCGAGGGAGCGTGGGGGCGAGAAAACTTGATGTGTTGAACCTTTCCATCAAGCTTTGAGTGATCAACTGCCAATCTGAGGCATAAAAAATGAAGAAAAAATCCATTAAAAATTGCCATGCCCACAAGCATAGCTCGGGCCAGTCTCCTTGGCGCAGGAGATGAATCCGTACCAAGGCAAAGGTAAAGACTAGTTATCTGTACTGATAGCAAAGAGCCTAACGAGTGATGGGACCAATGAGCAACCAGAAAGTGACTCAAGCTAGAGCTGGTGGGCGGGCGGGCGGGCGGTGCTGGTCAACTGGTTTCTGCCAGTTCCTGCTCCTGGTGCAGTGCTGCACCACTTGAGCTGCCCCACAGAGGATCCCCTCTGGTCGAACCACCAAAAATCACAAGTCAACGGGCAAACGGGGTACAGAGATGGCGCTTGCCAGTAGGTAGTTACGGATAACTCGTAACGATGCGGCAAATGTTGGCCTTGTTTGCTCGTGACATATTCCCAAATTTTGAGGCTAGTCAATAGCGAGCCCACGGGGAAAGAAAGAATCCACCAGCACCACCCAAGCCCTTTCGTCGCCTGGCCAGGTTCAAGGTCCCAGAGAAGAAACCCCTCCGATACAACCCGCACCAGATTTTCCGACGGCCAAAAAGTCAAAACCTGCAGCAGCAATCACTGAGCAAAGGAACCAAGGGACACGACATACTTCAACTGCTCGAGGCTACTCAGTACATAAACTACTAAAGAACCGCCCATTTCAGCCATCCAGCCTCCAAAGCACTGCAGCCACCAGGTCGTGTCTGCACCATTTGACCAGTTGACCAGGGTCCAGCTCCTTCCTCAGCGCCCGCCCGCGCTGCAAGACCCGCCAATAAATAAATTCCAGGCCGATTTGCCAGGACTCGCGCCGCCGCCGACCGACGCCGTCTCCTCTTTCCGGCCGCCTTGCCTCACTAGCCATCTCGAAACCTTTTCCGGAACAAAATTAAATCGACTGTCATTGTTTGCGACTCTCGCTTTCTTCTTCTTCGAAGCCTCTCGCCAGCGGCGCACCGTGGCACAGGACACTAATTGCCCGGCTTGGACCAACCTCGAAAAGAACAAGAAAAAAAAGGCCGCCTGCCCACACCACACACACATTCGCTCGCCCCCTCAGGGCCCTACACAAATCTACCGCCATGATGAGTTCTGCCGCCTGGGAAGGCCAGGACCAGCACATGGCCTCGGGTCCCGATGACGACTTCCATCAGTTCCTCGACATGACTGGCATGGGCACCATCCCCGACGCGACCGCCATGCAGTTTGACTTCCACCCCTTCAACGACGGCTCCTCCGCCGCGCCTCAGCCCATGATGGCCAGCGCCCCTCACCCGCAGCACTCCCAACACCAGCAGCAGCAGCAGCCTCATCAGGCCTCCTCGACCGGCGATGCCCTCATGGCCGACTCGGATCCCTCCGCCATGATCCCTCGCAGCGACGGCCTACTGCAGAACCACACCCCCGCCATGTCTGCTGTCTCCCACCCGTCCATGCTCGCCAGTTCGGCACCCGATTCCATCTCCAACATCGACGCCCAGATTCACTACCTGCAGCAGCAAAAGTTTCACCAGCAGCAGCGCCAGCTCCATGAACAGCAGGCCACCTTTTATGGCACCCACGCCCACTCGGTACCCCCGACTCCCCAGAGCCTCGAGATGCCTCCCGGCAGCGGTCAATTCTACTCCCAGGCCGAGCAGATGCCTCAGCGCACCGCCTACGACCGCGGATACCACCAGCGCATGGCCGAGCAAGATGTACGTCATTCCGTTGACTGGCCTCCTTGCATACCGGGAGCTGCCCTCGCACTGGGACAGCTCGGAGCTGCCCCTCCATAGTTGGCAATTGCGACTCATTTCGGTAGAATGCTAACCTCGTGCATAGATGGCGTTTACGCCGCTTGTCTCCCCCGCCGTCACCCCTCTGGATCCTCACTTCAACATGGACAGCGCCTTTGCCGTCCCCGGCTCGTATTTCAGCCCTCTGACGTCTCCTGCGCTGCACGCCCAGCCCGATGGCTCAATATACGACCACAGCACAAACTCCAACAACTCTCCCATTGACATGGATCTAGAAACGGCTCCCGTTGCACAACCAGTACAGCCCAGCCAGGATCTTGCCAAGAAGGCTCGCAGGAACAATGCCGCCAAGGCTCGCTCGAAACCAGCCGTCAAGAACTCGCCTATTTCCAAGCCCCAACGCCGCAAGACCGGCCCTAGCCCTGCTCTTGTCTCCCAGGTTCTAAGTGAGGTCGATGAGAGAAGGTTACAAAGCGGCGGTGAAACAGGACTGCTACCCCTGCCCGCCACTTCGACAGAGGGTTCGGAGGAAAATGCTTCAGTTTCACCCGAGAACCTCACAGACATGCCGCCGCCGCCCGTGCCTGCGCGCAGGTCCAACAGCAAATCCCCCTACATCCAAGCTCAGACTGCCAGCTCCAATCAGGCACCCCCACTCTCGCTCAACGAAGACCGCCAGCAGCCTCACCCCGCTACACCCGCCTCGCTTATGAAGCTGGCATCTCCCAAGGGCAAGAAGCTGCAGTCGACACAGCAGGGTGACACGGCCACGGAGCAAATTGAGTCTCTGGAGCTACCCGAGTCCGTCTCCAACAGACCACTTGCGCCTATCAACACACAAATCGCCTCGCAGTTTCCCGGCAACGATCAGCCTGCCTCTGCCCGAAGCACAACCTTGCACCCTTCGCCATCACCGAACCTGCGCCCTACCGGCGGCACTATTTCCGCCAATGCGAGCCCCTCGCTCGGCCCTCGATCAACTGGCCCGTCGGCGCGCAAGACCCCGCAGATGCTCTCGCGGAATAGCCGAAACCGCTCTTCCGGCTCCGTGCACGTGTCGCCTGCTCTGCTTCCCCGGATCTCGCCCAACATCAAGCCGTTGATTCCCGGCACCCCAGGCATGTCGGCAGAGGATACCTCGCGCCTGCTTATGTCCAAATCCAACTATCAAAACATTCTCGAGGGCAACACGGTGCCTGGTGTCAGCTACCCTACGGAACTATCAACCAACCTCACTTCGAAGCGCACTTCGCACAAGATTGCCGAGCAAGGCCGCCGCAATCGCATCAATTCGGCCCTCCAAATTATGGCGAGTCTGCTGCCCGATCACGCGAAGCCCTCGTCGGAGGACGGCGAGGACAACAAGGCGGGCGGCGGCAGCAGTAACAACAACAATAGCACACAGAGCAGTAAGGCGAGCGTGGTGGAGAATGCGATTGTGCACATGAAATACTTGCAGAAAGAAAATGGAGACTTGAAAAAGGAGCTGGAAGAGTTGAGGAGTAAAATGCAGGGTATGCAAGAGGGTTGATGCGTTCGGGGCACTGACTTTGATTTCTCGGTCTCGAAACTGATATTTTCTTGTCCCTTGCATTTTTCCACCTCGGTCATTGGCCTCTTGGGTCATTTTTACGAGCGATTTTGCATTTTATATACGTTGATATGTTTATGAGCGCGTTGGTGGATGGGGATACCCTTTTTTTTCTCCCTGATTTTTTACTTGTCGAATGGTGATGACGAACGGGAAGTATGGGATGCATGGCTGGTGCTGTCTGCCTTCTTTGCGGCTTGCTACTTTCTCTTTGCTTGGATAATGCTACGGATTAGTGGTCTTGTACAAGAGCAGAAGAGAATACGTTGGAGCAGATGACCAAAACAGCCACCAGCCATTGCACAAAGCTGAAGATGATGGCTTTCATTCTGATACTTTTGGCTGAAGTGGTATTTCAACGGTCTGGAATTTTCTATATCGATTAATGGTGAAACATGGAATAGGCATCATGGGTTTTGTGTCGTTGATTTACGGATGCTAATTTAGACTTTCTTTATTATGTTGTTTGCAATGATGGCAACCGTTTTTGGCGACGAAACGGCAGTAGTATATATATCAACAGTCTATATAATGACAATGTACATGATATTTGAACTAGCATATTCTTACTTGACTTGCAATATAGGCATGACTTGACTCATGTCATGATGATGCTTATGGGCATCCAGCCCTGCAAGCCATTTATTGAGACTTGCAGTGATGCAGTGATGCTGCTCAAGTAGAATTTGATCCGCGCCATGGCTATTCCTCCATGATAAACTTTCCTTTTTCACAATTTTTATTCTGTTTTTTTTTTTGCCCACTTTGCAATCATACTGTCCGCATACCATCTGCGCCATGCCAAGTAGCATTTGCTTGATGCGTCATGCCTATTTCTCAGTGATGAGCTTCCTTTCTTCACTTTTTTTTTTAATTCTTGAATTAGATCCGCAATCAGACTATTTGCATGCCATCTGCGCCATTTAGTTGTCGTGACCATTGTCTTTCTATGTACAGAATCTGCGTTTATATACATTTCATCCCCTCGTTGCCCTCCTTTTCTCTTCATCTCGCTTACTGGCCTTGTTCATTCCGTCGGCGGCGGCGGCGGCGGCTGCTGCTGCGCGAGCACATCCGCATCCAGATGCTCCATTACCTCAACCACCAGCTTCAGGCTGTCCATGAAGGAGTTGACAGCCACGCGGAGCATGCGGTTCGTCGCGGCTCGGTAGTCGACTCGCAGCACCTGCGGGCCACCGTCGGCGCCAGCGTCAGTAGGCGACGACGTGAGGGAGAGATGCCGTCGGACGAGCGGCGACAGCTCCGGGTCGACCTGGATGGATTGCAGCGCGATCGAGGCTAGGCGGTTGGTGGGAAAGGGAATCTGGAGCTCACTGCCGAAAGTAAGCAGTGGCACAGGATGTAGAGTGATTAGGTTTTTTAAAGCTTTGAATTACAGGGAAGCAGCTGAGCTTGATTACGAGAACATCGTTACAATGGCAAAGAGGGGAGATGGAATATTGATTACTCACATGGAGCAGGAAAACGAGGTGTCTGCTACGGCAGCCATGATGTATTTGACACCTGAAAGCCGGTGAGCTTTGCTATCTTGCTATTTTTGGAACGCAGGTAGTGGCGTCGTATCGTAGCATCGGTTCCCCTCGAAGGCTCGAAGAACCGAATTGTTATTTTTCAAGTCCTTTTTTTGTTTTGTTGTGACTACGCGGCTTCGACTGGAATGTAACTGAAGCAATTTTGTCTCGCTGCGAAACCTCCAAGGCGGGGTCTTTCTTTTTGTCTTTGGGATTGGAGGGGGGGGAAACTTGCATGAGCCACATGTGGCTGTCGGCAAAAAAAGCCACAGCATGGCGCAAAACGGTCCCGTTGCTGTGGTGACGGCACCGGGGAAAGGCAACGTCTCACAAGGCAGGTCCCCACAACAATACCGGTCGAAGGGTCAAAGAAGGCTTGGGCCGGCAGGAAATCAAGCCCGATCAAGGGTCACTTGACAGGTTGTGAAGAGGTTCATGCTGTGCTGCAATGTGCTGGGGAAGCCCCTGTATCCAATCGTTTTTTTTCTTCCCGGTGCAACGCGGCAAATAGAGAGACCCGGCGGTAAAGGAGGAGTACAAGAAAAACAAGAAAGAAGAAGACAAAAAAGACTGGCTTTAGTATCTGGTGAACCAAGCGAATCAGGACTGAGCATCATCTTATCATTGATTATTATTATAATTATAATAGCATTGTTGCTCTCATCGTCCCCCAGCCAAATACCTCCTCCTCTCCCACTACAACCAGGCATCCACTCTGACCCTTGAGCATAGGTAAACATTCATTGCCCGTTTGTTTGTGGCGAAGGTACCATCCCAAAGGCTGTTATTATCCTCTTCTCTCCCTATGATCCAGGCTACCTTCTTTTCTATTCGTTATCACCTTGCACAAGTATTCATTCTGCACGATTTTATCTCCTCTTCTTCTTCTCCTTGGGCCTGGCTCTTGTTGTTGTTTTTAATCCTGTCTTCATCACCGCCTCTGGCCTGCAAAAAAGATCCACTACTGCACAGGTGCCCTGGTCCTCCTCCTCGTCCTCCTCCACACCCCCGGCCCGGCCTGAACCAAAACAACAACATTCATCCCCAACAAGCACCCTTGGCAACTGTCTTTTGCTTATTCTTGACAAAAGGCTCAGTTCTTGAGACGGACGTTGTGGCTTCTTTTTCTCTTTTCTTTCTTCTTATCTCATTTTAACTTGGCCCAACGACACTGCAAAGCATTCTTAGCAATTCGCAACCCCCCCGGTCGTCGCAGATCAAAACAACAAATCCTGGCAAGGAAAAAAAAGGCACAACATCACAGCAACAAGGCCAGCTACCGACAACGCACGCAAATAATCGCAAAAAGAAGAGCCGGCTTTTTGCAATGGCTCCCGCCTCCCGCCACGCTCAGAACCTGGGCCAGCTCATAGAGTACATACCCGGTGAGTCGTTGGACGAGATGCAGTCGCCCAAACGCCCGCCTCGCTGACCTGTGCTGTGCTTTCCAGACCGACTCTACCTCGGAGCCTACATCAACCCGCCCACGGCCGACACACTCTTCCCTACGCCGCCCGAGTCGCCTCGAAAGCGAGCCCAACGAGTCGCCGAAGGTCGTGCTGTTGCGCCGTCGCCGTCGCCTAGCTGCCGCTCGCCGCCTTGCTACTTTACGATTGATGATAGCCTCTTCTACAATGCCTTTCACCACGACTTTGGCCCCCTGCACATTGGCCACCTCTACCGCTTCGCCATTCGCTTTCACGACATTCTCGGTGCCAAGGAGAATAAGGATCGTCCCGTCGTCTTTTGGAGCGCCGCTGACCCAAGAAGTAAGCCGCCGCCGACACCGCTTGTTGTTGACTGTTGCATGACGGGTTTGCTGACTCGTACTTTGTCTAGGTCGTGCCAATGCCGCCTGCATGCTCGCGTGCTACATGGTGCTGATCCAGAACTGGCCGCCGCACCTGGCCCTCGCCCCCATTGCCCAGGCCGACCCGCCGCTGATGCCCTTCCGCGATGCCGGCTATAGTCAGGCCGACTATGGTATCACCGTTCAGGACGTTGTCTACGGCGTCTGGAAGGCCAAGGAGGAAAAGTGCATCGACCTGGACAACTTTGACCTCGACGAGTACGAGCGGTTCGAGCGTGTTGAGCACGGCGACTTCAACTGGGTCACGCCCAACTTTCTCGCCTTTGCCTCCCCCCAGCATACTCCCGTCGCCAAAATCACAGAAGACTCGGGCCTCTTCAAGCTCCTCCCCAGAGACCTCGATGCTGTCGACGCCCACCCCACGCTCCCGCAGCCGTTCAAGAATATCCTAACGCACTTTGCCGATCGCAGCATTGGCCTGGTTGTGCGTCTCAACTCGCATCTTTACTCGCCATCGTACTTTGAGGCCCTCGGCATCCAGCACATTGACATGATCTTTGATGACGGCACGTGCCCCCCGCTGACGACTGTCCGCAAGTTTATCCGCCTCGCCCACGAGATGATTACCGTCAAGAAGAAGGGCATCGCCGTTCACTGCAAGGCGGGCCTGGGCCGCACAGGCTGCCTGATTGGCGCCTACCTCATTTACCGCCACGGCTTCACCGCCGACGAGGTCATTTCCTTTATGCGCTTCATGCGGCCCGGCATGGTGGTCGGGCCCCAACAGCACTGGCTGCATCTCAACCAGGGAACCTTTCGCGAGTGGTGGATTGAGGAGCGCGTCGAGCGTAGGCTGCGGCGCGAGATGGCCAACTCGAACCCGGTGCCCAGCACGCCCATCCGGGCCATGCAAAAGAACTCGCTCCGCAACGGCCAATTATCTACACCCCCCAACCGCAGCCCCTCGAACCGCACACCGCTGAGCGAGCTCGAGGACCGCAGCAACCAAGGACACAACCAGGAGGACTACCTGCCCGCACCCACGCCCGGCCAGCCCAGAAAGACGCGCTCGGAGCGCCACCACCCGTACCAGCGCTCGGGTTCGCACACCACGACGACAATCGAGGAGGGGCACGGCATTGAGCAGGAGACGGAAGTTGTGGCCGTGCAACGCCACTCTGCTGGCGGCGCCACGGGCGACTCGGAGGAGGAACTGCTCGTCCGCATGCGCAGCTCCCGTAAGGCATCCCATTCGCCGATGCGCAGCGAAAAGTCGCGCTCAGTGAGCCAGACGACGTCGACGACCATTTACATGATCGACAACGACTCGTCCCGAGACGCCGAGAACATTGGCGCAGGCCGCCCGCCCAAGACGGTGGAACGCACCCAGAGCGCCTCGGCCACGCTGCCCCGGGTGCGCGGCAGCCGTCGCGGCGCCATGCCCGAGTCACCTCTCCGCAACAAGGACAGTTCATCGGCGTCATCAGGAGGCGTCCGCAAGACGAGCGGGCGCGTGGGCAGCGTCAGTCAAGGGACCTCGGCTGCGGCCTTGGCCACGGCCCGCAAGGTGTCGGGCGCATAGAGGACGGCCCGAGCCAAACGACTCTTGTTTTGATAAGAAGGAACGAAATGAACAAGCAAAGTGTGGCATTTTTCCGAAGCATCTCGAGGATATCCATGGTTTCTCTCTTTTCTAACGATGACGACTCACGTATTCATTTTTCCGTTGTCTCTTGAGCGATTCATGTTTTATTGCATGGTTTGGCTTGTGAAGCTGTGGTTGCTTTTGTCTGGTAAGGGCAAGACCTCTTTTTTTTTTCTCTTACAAAAGGTCAAGAAGAGATGATTGTGCAAGTTTGGTTTTGCATTCATACTAGGTTGGGACGAAGCCAATTTTTCTGGTTGCGTTTTGCGTGTTATGGCGTTGTGTTGTCATTTGTGTTTCTTCATCAGCACTGGCATTTGAGCTTCTTTATCATTCTGCGTTTATGGGTTATCTGCAAGGGGGTGTGTCTTTCTCTGTTATTTCGAAATTGAAACGAAACGGCCGATGAAGGAAGATGCGAGCGAAATACAAGGGTTTTTACTTTCTTATTCGCAGCTGCAATACACCAAAAAGGAAGTGGAAGAAGGAAAGGGGATGGATGTGGATGGGTTGGAGGGGGATGAGGACGAAGTACTTTTTTTTTCTTTTTGGGTGAGTGGCTGTTTATTGTTTTGTTATATATCACGGTATCACATTGGCATAAATTCAAAGTATTATTGAAACAAGATCAAAAGACACAAAGAATGTGTAAAAGGTTTCGAGATGTGGCATGTCCTCTCTCGAGCACTGTACTGCAACAGGTCTCAAATCACCGCAAAAATCCCAAGAAGTGAAATTGGGGACCCTCTCTTGCTGAATCCAACGAGCCAACACGGGTGACAATTATTCTCCCCCAAAAAATGCCCATTGCATCAGTAAACCCCGAATGCCAGCGACAGTGCACACCTTCCCAGCCTTGATGTGCCAAAAGAACATTTCTTCGTCAATTGATAGAATTTTGGTCGTGCCTTGATGTACCTACCCTGAATATGTAAATGTGTTGGGGTACCATCCTGCTTTATATTACCGACCGTTGCGGCCAAGGCTGACCATGATTATAATGCTTCCCGAATACATCGGTCTCTAGCGTCCGAATGATGACATCTTTTAACGCTCGTGTGCTATTTGTCAAAAGTCATGCCAAGATGCATCATCTTTGTTTACGATCTGGGCTTGGCATGCGATTGCCGAACTGCTAGACCCATCACGTGTATTCTAAACTTGCCCAGCCACAGAGGAGCTGCGTATTACCACGCAGACAAAGGTACTCAATGACTAAAAGAAAAGGGTTGGAAGGGGAAAAAAAATAAGAAATCAGTTGAATGTGTAATTGGCTCAACTTATACGCTGACAATTGTTAAAAAAAGCTTTTTTATACATGAGATAGCTGGCCAAGTCGCCGTTTACATGGTTATGATCATGGTAAATATTTCTTTTCGCCCCCAATGTCCTGTTCGAATTCAAGTCCTTCCGCTTCGTAATCATGTCATTGCAAGATGACAAAACTCAGCCTCCAGACCACACTAGTCGGAGGGAGTGTGACGCGTAATAACACCCTTACATTCAAGACTGTGTTGCAAGAGACTGCTCCAAAGCGTGCGTCGAGCGAATCGCTTAGTAGACCTTCTTCTTCTCATCGATGGAGAATTGGCCGGGGCCGCTGTTGACGAGGAGGAGGAGACCACCGACAATGGAGAGGATCTGGAAAAAGTCGTACTTGGCAAAGTCTTTCTGGGGGTGGTGCTCGTGGAGCTACAGCGGGTTAGCAAAGACGCACGGTGAGAGGCACAATGAGCATTGCGAGTCGGTATCGCGAAACGTACAGTCCAGAAGTTGTTGACAAAGAGGTTAAAGATGGAGAGGATGACGACGAGAAGCGTGGCGCTAAACTTGGCCTTGAAGCCAACGACGACCATGACGCAGGCGCCGGCGCCGAGGATGGAGACGAGGACGCGCCAGATGGTCCAGGAGCCGGAGAAGACGAAGCCGACAAAGAGGAAGATGAGAAGGACGCGCCCGGCAAGCTGAAAGTACATCTTGCGGTCCTTTTCGTCGAGGGTGGGCAGGCCGGCAAAGGCCTTTGTCTTGCGGACCCACGAGTCGGAGAGGACCATGATGAGGCCGCCAATGACGGAGAGATTGCGGAGGAAGAAGTTGAGGTCAAAGATGAGGCCGTAGCCGAGGGCCTGGGTGACGACGACGCCCATGAGGCCGGCGACGGCGTAGTCGGAGTACTTTCGGATGATGACGAGGATGGAGCAGGCAAGCATGGCGAGGACGTTGACGAGCAAGAAAAGGTGAGTGATGCCAGAGGGGACTGTACTTCTGTTAGCGACGGCTCTGTACTCTCCTCTTCTTTCTATTTTCTATGAGGCCAAGGGGCGAGGTTGTGGGCTTACTGTGACGGTAGTCGCGAAGGTAGATGAGCTGGTCGTTCCACTGGGTCATGATGCGAAGGGCATCTTCCAAAAAGGTGACGACGATGAGGAATCGGCCAATGGCGGGAAGGTATCTGCACAGAAGATGGAATTGATCAGCCAGATTGCTCACGAGATTCCGTCGTGCTTGATGCGGTGGTGCGCTGCGCGCGCAGCAGGTCTTGTCCATTCGCAGAACGTGTGCCGAAAACGCGAGGGAGCGAGCAAGCAAGACGTGGAGAGCTTGTAGCGAGGAGGGAAAGGGGGGGGGGGGGAATTAGGTTGTTTCTGCTATACTCACGGCTTGATGGGCTCGCTGACGCTCTCGAGAAAGTCTTCGACCTTGCTGGTGTAGGGTCGGATCTGGTCGAGGATGCCCTGCTCCTGCTCGTTCGAGGACGAGCCGTACGGGTTGGGGCCACTGTTGAGGCCATAGCCGGCGGAGGAGCCGCCTCGGAGGGACATAATTGCGTTGTCGTTTCTTGTCTTTTCTTTTTGGTAATGCTTAGGTAGAGCAATGCAAGAATAAATAGGAACAGGAAAGGAAAAGCAAAAGATGGCGCGCACGCTCCGCAGAGAGTTTGATGGCTGGAGGAGAGTTTGGGCGAGACCGGGTTCGTTGTCGAGGGCTGGAATCGCGGGCGGCGGCGGCGGCGGCGAAAGGCGTGGGTTTGTTTGTCGGGAACGGGGGTTGTTGTTCAGTTCAGACCAGCTGTCCACTACTGGGCCTGCCTGTCTAACTAGGGTTGGCTTTGGAGGTCCAAGGGCGGCGGGGAGGGGAGGGGAGGAGGAAGCGGAGCGGCGTCAGAGTCAAGAAGAGCAACCGGGCGGCAAAATTGCAACAAGGGAGGCTGGGGTAAGAGTCAAGATGATGGGTGATGACAGTTTTTCTACGGATTTAATTCTTGTCAAAATAGTTGAAAGAGACAAATGGGAGATTGAACGGCGATGAATATGCAACGGGCAGGAAAATTGAGGCACAGTGAAATATTTGCACAGTTGTTAATTGCTGTATACTTGAATCGCGAGCATCTTCTTGTGCCAGGCGAGCTATGACCTCAAGCCACCTGGTCAACATACCACAGTGTCCTTTCTAGAAAAGTCAAACCACCACGAAAATTGTATGATGACGGTACTTGCACTGGGCATCATGTCACAAGCCGAGCGCCGCAGCCGGGCCCCACCAGCCTCTGGCTGTCAGTGGCTTTATTACAGTTGCGTGAGTGCCTCAAAATTTATACCGGCCACAATGTCTGGGGATTTGCTGGTGAAAACAAATTTTGCTCTGAATTACCTTGCATCCGCTGCAGCAACCTTGGACGCGCTGTAAATGAATCATTGCGCGGCTGGTGCACAAGCGTTCTGTCTTGCCAACTCGCGCCCCTGCGGTCACTGACTAGGCTTAGTAAACTAGGTAAGTTGGCGCTCTGCCACCCCACCAAAAGCTCACTGCATCTCATCAGTGCGTATTCCAACAACAGCCAGCTTGGGCATCATCATCACTGCTTTCCATTCCAGTCCTCGAGCACGGCGCATGTCCTCTCAGCCTGGCTCTCTATTAGCTAGCTTCTGCTAGACAGTTCTCGCTTGTCCTCGAGTTGGGGGTCGGGAGCGGAAGCCCATCTTTGCTTCTTTGCTCGCTCCAAGACACACAGTTCCACATGCTCGAGGGCGAGGAGGGTTCATCTTAATCTCCTACTAGAGGGTACATAGCCTTTTGTCATTGCTTTCTTGTCTACCTTTTGTCAAATGGACAGCGCTAAAATGTCTGTTTCTTTTTACCCGTCAGTCGCGTCTTTTTTTGTTTTGTCGCCCACCAGCCAAGTAATCTGCGTCCTCTACCCAGCATTATTACCATGTTCTGAAGATGCACATGGAAGTGGACAAATGTCGTCTTCTTGACCCGACAATACAATATGCCTCGGTAGCCCATCCAGGCGCCTTGCTCACTGCTCGCGCACAATCTGCAGCTCTCCGTAAATGCCGTACTCAACCCGGCCCTCCTCCACGGCGCGTCGCATCTCCTCGCGCAGCACCGTCCGCTCTCCCGTCGCCGGATCCCATTCCCAGCCCTCACGCATCCACATCCATCGTAGATAGGCTCGGAGCTCCTTATCCCCCGGCAAGACTCTCATCCACTCTGGCTGGAACTCGCCCCGGGCACCCTTGCCGTTCCAGTCCGTGGCCTTTCCCAGAAGCACGTCCCTGCAGAATATGCGCCAGCTGTCAATTGCATAGGGGCCCTGCGTCATATGTCCAATCTCCCAACCTTCGGTAGCATCTTTCGCGTGGGAGGTGAGCCCGTTCTCCGGGCTGTGGCCAACCTGTCGCGTATCGTATCGACGCACGACGTAGCGTACGCCGGGCCGGGGCGGATCAAACATGAAGTATTTTGCATACTTTCGCAGAATCGCGAGCCGATTTTGGCAGAGACCCAGGTGCCGAATCATGGCGAGCAGTTCCATTGCGTTGTCGGGGTTGGCAATATCGCACGGCGTTGGAAAGCGTTCCTTGACACGCAGAAATGTGGGAATGGCATGTTCTCCCTTGGTCTTGATGAGAAACGTAACGACAACAAGAAGCCAGAATGGGTCGTGGGCCATCTGTTCTTGGATGATACCAAAAGATGCTGCGCTGAGAGGAGGAAAGGGGATACACGACACCGTTCCGGGACTGGGGCGTGGAGCGACAGATCCCGGGGCTTTGGTGGGCGTTATGAAGTAAGGCGATGTGCCGGCATGGGTGTGCACATTGGATAGCTGTGCCTCGCTGGGTTCATCTGGATTGACGCAGACGGACCGAAGATCTGGCTCAGGGATCTTGAACCGCGGAGTAAAGGTGCTGGGTAAAGCTGCCAATCGGATTTTCTTCGTCGGAGAAAAGACATCGTCCGCATTACCGGCTTCGCACCAGTAGTGTGACGAGGCAGCGTCGAGTTTACGTTTGGCGGATTTGCGAGCCTCGTTCTTCTTCTGCCTCTCCGAAGCTCCGAATCTCGGTAGCGAGATCGAGGCGGCTTTCCTGGCAAGGGAGTTGGCCTGCTCAATGAGACGATCGGTAGACGCCCATGGCTCTTCCGATGGGTGTTCGCTCCTTACGGCAGCCGACGGTGTTTCAGTGTTGCTGCCGAGGTGCTGAGCGTGCTCAAGTTGAATGAACCATGATTCGGCGCCGGCCATCAAGCTTTGGTCAAAGATGAGCTTCAAGTCGTCCGGTGACGCTGCGCGGTCCTCCAAGACGCCAATCAGGAACTCGTAAGCGTCAGCAGGGACGTCGAAGACTGCGAGGATCTGGTCCCCGAAGCGCGGAGCCATATTGGAGATTCGGTGAGTGTGTAGACCTGGCTGATGCGGATGAAGTCTGCGAAAGAGCTTCACGACGTTGGCGAGAACTCATCCATGTGAGCCAAGCTGAGGGTGGCGGGTTGGCCGAGAACCTGAGTGAGACCAAGCTCACTTGGAGCTCACTTTCTCGATTCACGACAGCAGAGGCATCGTGGGGGTAGATTATTGGCAAGCTAATACCATTGATAAGTGAATGCAGCGGTATTGATAGCAACAGCAATTGGCATGCTGCGTTTGTATGTATGCTGGCTGTGCTGTGAGTGGGCTGCGTTATCTCGGGCTAGGTCGGTCGCCGCATGTCCTTGGTACAGTGGGTTGTGCACATCATTAACGACACTAGCGCAAACCACGTATGGTTAATTGTTAGGTAGAGAATATGGTGCGCGCCACGGACTGTTTGGCGGTGACAAGCGGCCGAGGTCGAGAGTCGGTCGATAAATTCACGGGCTTTATTTTGATTATTTATTGTATTTTTGCAGTATTCTTCTTTCAGCCCGACCTTTATGATTCATGGTTGATCTTTCGAATTTTTACTGGACGAAATATCACAGCAACAACCACCCACGATAAACCTCGATGGCCCACAGCTTCCGTCTAGTCTCGTGGCCATCAGGGGCCCTCCCCCTCCGTCAGCGCCGAAAAAAAGCACGCCACGTCCAAAGCTATCTGCTGATAGGAAGAACTGGAGCCAGCCCACCGAGGCCACTGGGAATAATAAGAAGCCACTAAAAGTTAGACCTGCTTCCAAGGCTGCCGTGGCACCCCTGCGAAGAACAAGTCGTCCCCAGAGGCTCCCCGACCAAAACTTGCTGGAGAAACGTGCTCTCTCAAATTCATCACGTGACAACCACTTGTTGCCTCGCTGCCTTGGCTTCGCCCAGCGCTCCCGCCTTTGCCTTCCATCACCACGCATTTCTCCATCGGAGCCTCTCCCCGATTCCACGATCCCCGTCATCGCTTTCTGAAAATCATCCAAGAGATGAGTAGTCGCGGTGGGAAACTTGCCCCCGAAGTCAATCGGTGAGTCTCTTTGCGCGCATCTCCCGTCATCTGCTGCCTGTCGCTTGCCGCGTCCTGCCTGGTCTTTGCTGTCGGAGGGCGTCGGCTGGAGTGATGCGGCTTGGCACCCAACAATCATCGATGCCATCGACGACACCCATCTAGGTCTATGCTAACTATTACGCAGAGCTCTGTTCGTCAAGAACCTGAGGTACAATTTTTTCCCGCCCGCGAATTTTTCTGTTGCCGCCATTATTTCGACACTATGCGACCACGATGATTTGCGATGTCATGCTAACATGGAAAACCTTGCAGCTACAACGTAACGCCGGAAGAGCTATTTGATCTCTTTGGAAAATTTGGACCCATCCGCCAGGTTCGACAGGGCATTGCCAGTGCGACCAAGGGAACAGCTTTTGTGGTCTATGAGGATGTTATCGATGCCAAGCAAGCCTGCGACAAGCTCAACGGCTTCAACTTTCAGAACCGCTATCTAGTTGGTACGCTACCACCCAACGACTACCCTGCTGATGACCCATTCCTCCTTCGCATTGCCTCGGTTCAACTCGCCCTGCTAACATGCACACAGTACTATATCACCAGCCAGACAAGATGGCCAAGTCAAAAGAGGACCTGGAGGCCCGCCGCGAATCTTTAGCAAGGCTCAAGAAGCAGCATGGTATCGATTGACAATTTGACCGGCCTGCTGATGGTCTGCGAGAGAAGAGAACTTCCTCATCTGCAGGCCGGTCTACCCCGTCTCCCAAGACAAGCCCCAGAACCACTTCGTCGGATCCTAAAACTATCCTGCGAAACGCGTCTCCGGCGACCAAGCCAACTCAACCCGAGTCCATCAGCCCACGCGCCGTTCGCTTCGTTGAGAACATGCGCCGCCCCATCGCGGCAAACGCGTAATTGTAAACTCTGCCTCGCCATCTCAAGGTGTCGCCGCCGATTATTGAACCCCCAACACCGACGACCTCTCGACTGGTGCCTCGAGGCATGCAAGAGCTGAGATTGCCTAAACGCCAACCAAACCAACACCACTCCTCTCAACGACAACGACGAATTACTCATTACATTTTTATTTTCGGATGGGATCACGGAATGGAAACCTGTTAAGCTATGGATTTTAGGAGGATCTGGCTACTTGTGCTGTGACGTGACGAAACGATCCAGTCATCAGAACACACAACCGGGTTGCCATTTTTCATATTATTGTTATCAGCGGCAGCCCAAGTTGCTTTTTTTCTTCTTACTTTGTCTTTGTCCTTTTGCCTTTTGGATCTCTATTTGAACCTTCTTCGGTGTGTTCTTCATACTGGTCGCGGGACACGTCTAACTCTCCTTTGATTTCGTCTCGTGAAAACAAGATTGCTCCCTACATTAGCAGAATGAATAAAGTTCGTTTGCCGGCTACGCATGACACGCATACTTGAACCTGTAATGGATAAGATAGCTACCGCTGACAGTAGCCTGCACATGTAGACACGGGGGCAAGGTTGACGCTACCATTTGCGTCTATCAAGCACCACGGATATCGTATTGCTTTTGTCTGAAGGCGATTACAACGGCAGCGTGCCCAGAAACCGCATCTCGCAGTGATTAGTAGTGCAACACGCAAAGCTTATATTCCGCCGTTGGGGCGACCCTGTGCAACCCGTGCTGATTCAACTTTGCAGTTTAAGCTTTTGCAGCGTGTGGCGGTGTTTCGCCGCCAAAGTCAAATCTATTGCGGTTTTGGGCGACCCGTTTGACTAGAAGAAAGCCAAAGGCGAAATCATGACGGTGATGGATTATTCTTTGAAGTAATCGGGCACTTGGTTCGGGACCGAGAAGCGAACCGGGGCCACGCGGGCCAACGATTGACAAGCATTGTAATTGCCGTGACTTGCGAGCTGGCCAAGCCCGTCCAATTGACCATGGTAAATGCGTGATCAACATTCTCTGATCAGCCTACTCTTTATCATATAGGCCCGAGTATGCCTCGTCGCGGGGAACAATGGTCCAGCAGCGCGACCTGCTTTGGCAGGCCAGTATGGATGAATCGCCGAAGCCATGCGGGCCAACCTTGGACAGGCATTCTTTGTAGTTGCGGTGAAGGTGAGCTGGAAAAGATATCCGCTTGATCATAGAGAATGCTTGATTATGGTGATGCCATCCACCCCATCGCCTCGCGTTGAGGCTTGATGATGCCGTATCTGAAGGACCATTGGCGCAAAAGTTGTGACCTGTCTCGGCAGCCAGGTAGACTTGGAAGCTTTCAACCTTGGCCTTAGGACTAGCGGCCTATGGGATGACGTTGGCACTCGGCTATTGCGAGTCTTTCTTTTCTATTTCAAAGGCTGTTGGCTAGCGCTACAGGCTGACCGAGCCGCGACGATACGCGGGGAAGTCAGGAGGGCTAGCAGCAACGGGCGCAATAGCCGAGCGTGTAAAGCGAGAGGAAGCAAGGGAGAAAAAAAAAATTAAACCAGGAAAAAAAGCCTACTGATCAGACTGGCCGTGAAAAGAAGCGGCCAAGCGTGAGGCGGCCAGTGGCCCGTTCTTGCGACCATAATGGCAGTGTCGAGAGCCCACCAGGTCGCAGAACAGGCCGGGCACGAGATGGAAAGGAACGGGCGGGCGGGCGGGCGAGCCAATGCGGACGAGGCAGCAAGACGAAGGGGAAAAAGAAGACAAAAAAAAGAAACCAAAAAAGAAAAAAAGAAAAAAAGAAAAAAAATATCAAATCTCTAATTGTAGAGTTTACAACCGCCGTTTATCCTATTTGTCAAAGGTGATGAATTCCACTGCTAGCTCAGCGGTTAGCGAGCGCAGTTCCATGGTGGTCACGTAAAGAATGTTGTAAGCTGGGCAGTGGCTTTACTCAAAATGATTGCTGATAGGGTCCTTTACGGCCCAAGCGCCGGCGCTTACATGCATTTTGTTTCTCAGAATCTGTAGCCTCGGCCGTTGAGCTCCTTGCGAGCACTAGAGACAAGACACGGTTATGATATAAAATCGTAATGATTTTATGTGTGGAAATAAAATAAAATAAAATAAAATAAAATAAAATAAAATAAAAATACTCCCCTCATGTTGCTGGAGCTTGTACAACGTTGAACAAAATCTGGGGATCGGTAGCCGAGTGCTACAATGGCTGATTGTCGGGATACAAAGACCGGGGTTTGGGGACAACAACATGACATGACCTGCATGCATTGTTCGTCATGCACATTGTTTTGTGTTTCTGGTCTATTTTCAAGTCTGAAACGAAGTGGTGACTGAAAATAGAGTCAAACAGGCGAGAGAGAGATGCGTACCTTGCGTTGGGTTGTAGTGAGGCGGAAGCCGTAGAAGCAAGCCAGCAAGGCTGCTTCCAAAGCAGGGGCAAACAAAGGCAAGGCTGTGATGATGACTTGGGACGTAAGGAAGGGAACGGCCAATCTTTTCCCTCTTTTTGTTCATCAGGCTGCACGAGAAGACGCATCTTTTATTTTTGTGCCTGTTTTAACTGGCTGAAAAAAAAAGACTATTATTGGAAGCAAGCTGGTGAAGCTGAGGGGTGGGTGGTCAGATGCTTGTCTTGCTTTGTAGTAGAAGGGGGGAGGGGGGGAGAAGTTGTGGTGTACATGAGCTCAGCGACAATCTGGCTTGGCAGCGTACTTTTTTTCCTTCCTTTGCAAAAAGAATGGGAGGGGGATATGGGGGGAGGGGTTCTCAGCCGCAGACCCAAGGAGCATGCAAGCAGGCGCCCAGGCCGTGGGCACGCAGATGTTACCAGTAGAAGCTCACCAGTTAGCGCCCACGGCCCATGGTTCATGAACCAGGGGAGGAGGAGGAGGAGGAGGAGTTTAGCGGGAAAACCCACGAATCCTACCAACCCAATGGCAGAGGGAAACGCCCGCTCTCGCGGAGCGGTCGCGGAGCGAAAGCGCACTCAACTATGTACATGGATGGGTCTGATTCTGTTCTCTTTGGCGGGCTAGATATTAGGTAACAAGTTCCCGTCTGGTTGAAGATATGTCTGCACAGCCTCATGGAAAAGGGCAGTGCTTGTAGCTTTCAACACGTCCTTTTGGGGCACCGAAGTCAGATTGTAATCCTGTATGATTGATGACCTTTGTGAAAGAGGCATACGCCCGTCTTCTGAGGCCAGCGTCAGCTATTAGTCAAGTCGAAGACGGCGATGCAAAGGTTGCCCCCCCCTTGCCTGGTTAGCAGCAAAAGGCCAGGCCAAATTAAACGACAGCATTGGCCCGTCTTTGGCCCTCTTGGCTTTCTTCGGTGGGTCCGGCCATATGTCCCGACATGACGGGTTTATTACTGATAAAGTCCAGTCTCCGGAGTCCGGACAAGGGGACGTACATGTGTGTGGGTGGAGGTGGATGGACGCAGCAGCAGCCCATCTTGCTTGGCCAACACTTTGTTCGAAGCATTGCGCTAGTGCAAGGCGCCCATGGCATCCCACGGCATCCCATGGCACCCATGTTTGATCCAACGCAGTTTCTTTTTTTAGCTTGCTGCTTTTCTGTTCCTTGCTTGAAATGTATCCTCTGTACTGGCGGTGTATACACACAGTACATGCCGGAAATGTTCTCCTCTTCAGCCTAGCTATCCGCCCAGCCCTGGAACAATCGTGGGCGCCAACCCACCACCATGCCCACCCCCCTGCCGCCCGGAGCAAGCAGAACTGCCCTCGTCCTTTGTTGATACGGTACCTCTGAATCTCTTGTTGGAAGCTTTGTGATGTTGGTACCGCCTACATGACGGTTCGCCCACCATCTTGGGAATGGGCGAGTGGCCTTTTGCCGCCTTGACCTTGACGCGATGAACCACCGCAATATATCTGGCCGACTTGTCTATTAAAGGCCGATTGATGCCTACTTCTTTTTTCTCGACGATTGATTCATCACACACACCATCCATCTCCTTTCTCTCACTCACCTCCTCTTACTTGGTCCTAGCTGCACACAAACCTCGTGCAGTTTGATCGCGAGAGCTTACTTGTTACCCACATTCAAGACAAACAAAGATATAAAAAACGCCCCCAATCCCCTCGACCTCGACATAGCTCTGTCGCCTCGGCCCCCAATCTCGCTCCCGTTGTTTGCTCTGTATCTTCTACGCCGACTCGGTGAACGCGGTTGAGAACATTTCCGCCCTTTTTCATATAGATGCATCTTGCCGTTGCGCCGCTCAAGCGACTTACACGAGAAACCATGCCGCCCACTCTGCGCCTCTCCGTGCCCGTAGTAGCACAAAACAACTACGACCTAGGACGGGACGACTACCGTACTGAAAGCACCAGATCCGAGTCTGACGACGCTCGCTCCTCTGTGAGTAACGACGATGAGCAGTCGGACCAGGTTCGCTCCCCCACACGCCTGGTGTACAATTTGGACGCCCTCCCGGAAAAGACGAAATCAACTGTTCGCGATGCTTTCAACGAGCCCCCCGCCATGGTCGTCCAGCACTGTCGCCAGGTCGGCGACACGTTTGCTTTTCAAATGTCAGAGGTTGTGACACGGTCTGTTCGCATCCGCGCGCCATCGTCTGGTAAAGCGCGCCTGAGCTGCTCATGCTCACAAAGTGGTGGTGGTGATCTGGACAATAATAATGACAAGGAGCCCTGCCATCACATCCTGTGGCTCCTGGACCAGCTTGCCAAGCAGACGCTGTACGACACGGACCACGAGCAGCCTCTGACCATGACGTCTGCCGGCTTCCCCGAAGAAATGGGAGATCCCTTCCGCGCCATTTCCGACCACCACCTCAACATTGTCGCAGATGGGCTGCACTGCCGACACGTTGAGCCAGGCTGCTACGACCCCAGACGGGTCGACAAGCACCGCATCAGAGAGTCTCGCGAGCTGCTCTCCTCGGTATACGAAGCCTCGGCAGACTCGTTCCGGCCCGACATTTTTACTGATGAGCCGCTTCTCGGCCCGCCCATTGTGAAGCCCCAAGACCTCGACTATACGGTATTTCGCATGCTGGTCGACGACGACATATTCTTCCACTACTTTCTCTCCGAGGCGTGTTCGCGCGGCAGCGACGTCATTCACCAGTTTCGGCTGCTCACCCACAGAATAAACGCCGTTCTCCAAGACTTTGACCAACAACAACAACAACAACAACAACAACAACAACAACACAACCCTTTGAGCGTTTGCAGCGACGAGCCAAACAACAACAACAGCCCGCAAGAGTCATCCCACACCGTCTCATGGGCCGCGCGCCACATTCAAGGGGTCATAAGCCTGGTCCGCTACGCCATCTGGAGCGGCGAGCGACCCTTGCAAGCCGCCGAAAAGCACGCCGCTGCGAAGACACTCATCCACATCCTCGACTGCGTGTTAAAACGACGACAACACACGAATAATGTCGTCCGCGGGGAAAGGGGCCGGGGCCGTGTTTTTTCGGAGCGAAACTTGTTTGCCCGATTTCTCGGCGACGCCGACTGCGGCTTCGTACTGGACGAGCTCGAAAGGATTCCCGAGGGCGCGCTGCCGTACATTAACAACCTCGAGTCCATGGTGGACAAGATGGCGCAGTACGGGGTAAAGGCTTCGTATCTGCACAGGTTTCGCAAGTTTATGGCGCAGTTGAAGGCGAGTCGGCCCGTGCCGAACTTAAAGCGCGAGAGCCCAGACAGCGACGAGGATTGGGGTGCATGTAAACGAATGAGATGATAGATGGATGGATGGCTTGATTTGCATGCATGCATGGTACAGGATGGTTCGAATGACTTTTTTTTTTTTCTTTTTCGAATCCCAGTAGATGGACATACTTCAATTGTTATATATTCTAATTTTCAACTTTTTTATATTTTGCTTCATATAAATTGTCTAGCATTTTCCCCTACACCGCATTGCCATTATCGATGATTTGCTCACTCTATCTCATCGACGTTATCGAATGACGCTCTGGTATTGTCATGCAATAACCCGACTCTTTTTCATAGTTTGCTAATGTAATCCTCTATAAACTCCTCCACCGCCGCGAGCGTAGGCCTATTGGGAAACGCGGCGCTTGCACGCTTCCTTTTCCGGCACTCAATATATCTCCGCACCCAGCGCTCCGAGTCGGCGACGCGCTGCGTCCAAAACAGCCTGGCCCTGTGCCGAACCGCCTCGGGCGTCGAGCGTGTTTGCGTGCTGCTGCTGCTGCTGCCCTCCTCAACTTCTTCCCGCAGGACGAGCTCGCCACCGGAGCGCACAATGACGCTGCTGAGCGTGGGCTGGTGGCCCCGCGTGCAGCAGTCAATCAGGCGGCGCATCTCGGGCGGCGTGCGCACGTAGGCCGGGAACTCGACGGTGGGCTCGCAGCGGTACGAGGCCCAGATGGCGGCGCGCTGGGGCGCGCTCTGCGCCTCAAAGAGGCACCACAGCACGCGGCCGAGCATGTAGACCTCGCAGCGCTCGCGGCCCTCGCTGTTGTCGTCGTCGTCGAGGCACTGCCAGGCCACGTTGTAGCCGTGGCGGCCCGCCGGCCAGACGTACTCTTCGCCGTCGACGAGGGATTCCCACCCCGGCAGCATCTGTGTTAGGAGCGCGGCGTAGCGCGCGCGGTGGCTGTCTGGGAGGAAGGGGAGGGAATCCTCATCGGGGGTGGCGAGGGCGCGGATGCACTCGATGGCGTTAATCTCGGGCGCGGCAAACTCGGACCACACGCCGCGCTGCTCAAAGTCGACCATGACGAGGTCGAGCGAGTCGGAGAGCAGCATGTTGTCCAGGCGCAGGTCCGAGTTGTACGTGTCGCACGTCCCGCGGAAGTGGCGCGCGGCTTGTACGAGCTGCAGCGCCCACTTCGCCGCGTCGCGATGCGTGATTTTACCGCGTAGGTTCAGGAACGGGAGGTGATCGCGAATGGTCCCGTGCCGGTGGCAGGTCAGGGTGAAGCCAACGACGGCCGTCTTGGACCCGAAGCCGCACTTTTTGGTGACGAGTGCCAAGGGCCGCTCGATGATGTTGGGATGCGGCGTCATACGGAGCAAGTTGCGGAGCTCGTGGTAGAGATACTTTGTATGGCTTGTGATGGCTTTGAAAACGACTGTTTCTTTTTTGCCATTGTGTTGTTGATGTTGGACAATGGAGACGCTGTCGTGCGGCTGCGACTTGTACGTAAGCTCGCCAATGTCAATCGTCGGCGGGAACCACGGGATATCTTGGTCCTTCCACATGTCTTGCAGCTGCTGCACCGAGAGCATCTGGCGCTCTAGATGGTGCGTGGGCGCGACAGAGATGCGCGCGTCACGCACGTCGACGGGCACGTTGTGCAAGACGATGCGCGAGCCAAATGGAAGCTGCTGCTGCTGCTGCTGCTGGTGCTGGCGGTACCGGTGCGCCGCCTCGCCCGCCGACGAAGCGGTCGTCCAGTGCTGCAGGCAGCGGACAATGTGCCGCGTGATGCCGAGCTGCTGCATGGTTCGGGCATCGCGCGCGTGGAAAGCGGCGCCTAGGTCTAAAACGCGGCGCAAGGCCGGCGAGATGGCCGTGTGCTTGGGTATGAAGACATCGACGCGGAGCGGCGGCGGCGACGTGGTGGAGTCGGGAAAGAGTGGCACGGCGTGGAATTGCGTGCCAAAGGCAATGCAGCCGTCGATACGCCATAGAGGATTGCAAGGGAACTCGAGGCTGTCGATTCTGTTCTTGGGGTTGAGGAGCGAGGTTTGCCAGCAGCATGTCTCTGCTGACTTGGTCGGCTCCGGTGTGCGTACCGGCGGCGGCTTGTAGTAGGCGGCCGTTGGGAGCGCGACTTGAACAAGGACGTCTTGGTTTAGCTCCATTGCGATTGATGAAAATGAATTGATTTGCTCATTGGAAAAATACGGAAAAATAAGGAAAAAGAATGGGCGTGTTGTTTATAGATGAGTCGGTCGAAACACTAGTTAGAGGATGATATGACATTTACAAATTCTTCACACTACAACTCTGCGACAAGTCGTCGTAAACACGGCAATGGGCATAAAAGGCACAACGGCGCGTCCGAGTTTGCTTTCCTGCGCGTTTGACAGGGCTCTGGTGATGGGCCATGCCCGTTATGTGTAGATGTGATGGCGGTGAAACTGGTGTACGTCGCCGCAACAGTCGCGGCCCGTCCACGAAGGCAACAAGCTGAGCGGTGGACAAACATGCCCAGAGCTTTCTGATGGTGTTTAGACAATCACAAGCATTGTGATGGGATGTAACGATGTGGCCAAGTACATCGATGCTTACCCTGTATTGGACAATGTTGGAAGCATGCGTACCATGTTGGATGTATTGGATAATAAGTTGGATGTATTGGATAAAAAGTTGGAGGCAAAAGCAACCATACACGCTCTAAACAGAAGAAGCTCTTTATTTTGTACATCTATCATGAAAACAAAATATATTCAAGTACATGGTACATTTCTTCAAAGCTTTGATGGTTTACTGCTTACTTTCTTGTTTGGAAAATGTCAAGTGAGTCTCGATTTTCAATCGTGTTACTGACTAATGGGCTTGCAGTTGACGGCTTGCACACTGGTTTTTTCTTTTTTTTTCTTTTTTTTTCTTTTTTTAAAAAAAAAAAAAAAAAAAACTGGTATAAATCAAGTCGCGAGCCTTATTTGCTTGCTGTGGCTTGCGCTGTCAGCAGCTGAAGGAGCATAACGCACAACCGCCAACTTGGGGTATTGTTATTGTTGTTGCATAAACATTCATTCAATGCACAGGTAAATCGACAACCTTTTTTGAAAAAAATAAAAAATAAAAAAGAAAAAGCAAAAGAAAAGGACAAGTACGGAATAGACATGTTGCTGATTCGCTAGGCAGGAAAATGCAAGCTCTCACCGGTCACGCCACATGATGTTGTGCGACTCGAGCGAAGGGCAGCGCGAGACGGAAAAGTGTGCCAAGCCTTGAGGGGCCTCGTGAATCATGGCCAGCCTCAAAAAAACTTGACGAGAAGGATGAAAGTGTGCGAAGGAGGGGGGGGGGGGGGCTGGAAGGATGGACAATCGAAATATTCTGCTGCACAGCACAGCACGGCACGGCACAGCACATGGTACCCTGTCTGATGTTGAGCAGGCTACCCGTCTCGCATAGCCAGGCTTCGGTCCGGTCCGTACAAAGGACCATTCGTAAAAATGGGGGAAAACCTGTGGCTTCCATCTCGTTCATGTCAATAGATGATACACGTACAATCTTAACAGGTGAGCACACATCACAACATGCAGCTGAGGCTTGTCCCGTGTAACAAGACGGTAGACTAGGGTTTTGCGCGCGTAATCATAACAAGGAAAACTGCAGAATTTGATTCACTTTTTGATTCGACCATGCAACTAAATAAATCAATAAATCAATAAATCAATAAATCCAATAAATCACGTCGGAAGGAAGCCAGCTGACATGGACTCCCACAAAATCCAGTGGCTTTTGCACCTCTAAAATGCCCGACCTCCGCCTGCACTTGGACACTTTTTGTTTTGCAGCCTTGGGCATATATCCCCCAGTCAGTCTTGTTCTTTGTTGCCCAGCTGTCCTTTTGACCCAGCTGTGCGGTTCTCACCGGATGCCGCCTCTTTTTTTTTTTCTTTTTTTTCTCTTCACCTTTTCCCCTTCTTCTACACACATCCACACACTCCTTTTTCTTTTTGCTTCCCCGTTATGCATGGAGAGAGCAGCAGCAGCAAGTCCCGGCTCGTGAGAGATACATACGCCTGTTAGCTTCAAGTTCTCTGGGGTTTTTTTGTCTGATCGTCTTGCATTTCCCGCATCCTATCCTGCAGCCCACATCCATCCACCTCTTATCCACCTCTTGTCTGTCTGTCTTGTCTGTCTGTCTGTTGAAGCGTAAGCTTTGCTCCATCCGTCTTCCTTGCTCGTGTCCTATTCTGGAAAACAGTTCCTCTCATCTTGCGTCAGACTGCTATATAACCATACAAAGCCATTACAAGGTATTTGCCGTACTCTGGGGAAGCAGGGAAAGAAGGGGGCGGGGAAGAAGAAGAAGAAGAAGGAGGCGTCGACGTGTTTCTCTCACTGCTGCGCCCCTGCGCCCCTGAAGCATCATACCTCGTGCGCATAGCGTCTGTCACATTTTTTTCCCTTCCTTCTAACCCTTGCGCAGCAGCAAATCGAAGAAACAGATCAGTTCTTTGTTCACCGGGTCCCACTATCCTCTCTCACCGGGCTACGGGCGACTCCACGAAGGATCCTAGATTGACCCGCATACTCCCTGCTCATCGAGCAAAGCACTTGCTCCAATCTTGGGCATTTTGACTCTGTCCGACCAATCAGACGACGAGTTGGCCGCTGTCGATGCTTTCCCCAATTCTACATTGAGGCCTTGACCTTGACTAACGAAGCACACTCTTGTCCAACCCACCAAGTCTCATATAACCACAATGGTAAGAAGGGTCCTGTTGCGTATAAAGCTTGTTCTCTTGCCCATTTCGTCATGTAATTCCCCTTGAGCTGGCATTCCTTCGTCTCATCATCACTTGATCCCGTATTCACTTGTTCACTCGGACATCTATACCCCCTCCCCTCTCAAGCATTCTAGTCTTCCTTTGTACATGATTACCCATGCTTGCGCATACTCGCGGCTTCTTCCCGTGTTAATGTTTGCTTAGGATCCGCCAACTTCATACATTTACGTCACCGGTACGGAGAGGGAGGCCGACACCCTCATCTCGACCCAACAGGTAGCCCCTCCTCCCGCTACCGCGGATCATAGCCTATACCATTTCGGACCCGACCTCCCGTCCTGGTATGCCGTACCTGCTCATCCTATAGTGGAAACTGAACCCCCGTCGAAACGAAGGAGGCTCCATGCATCGGCCATCCTTGCCCCCTCCACCTCACAGATAACATCGTACGGGCAAGAGGTATTGCCACTAGCCTCACAAATATCCACACTAAACTGTCCCGTTCACGGACAGGATTCTTGGAGTTTTCGACAATTGGCCCTTGCAAGCTTACCCTTGCCCATGGAGACCCATATGCACCCATTCTCGAGGCGCGTGGCAGAACTCGGGAGACTAGTATGCTCGTGTACTGCACTAGTTCCCCTCGATTCTGATGGTACGTTGAAACTTGTCCAACGACTTCGGAGTGTGCTTCAATAGTGGTGCATCAAGACCTGTTTTAACATGTACTCAGGATATGAGCGTCTCAACGACTCCCAGCCGTACAATGACGCAAATCAAGAGTATGTAGCTCAAAGCAACTTTGTTGGCACTGTCAACTAATGTCCGTTGTTTTCCTGATGCTGGCAGGTATTCACATCAATATGTCACGAGTCCGCATGAGATTAACGGACAACAGCCTTTTGGGCCGGAGCCTATAATGAATTCGTCCAGTTCGCCCGAAGAACATTACTCATTCAGTTGCGAGCCTTTTGCAAACCCAACCATACCAATCTCTGCCTTTAGCATCGCAAGGGCGCATACTCAGCCAGAGCCTACCAATTCACAGCTCACCGGGCTTCGTCCAGGAAAGCGCGGGCCTTTTAGAGATCAAAATCTACGTCAAGATACAGCATATACCAGAAAGATTGGGTGCTGCATACGATGCAGAATGCAGCGAATACGTGTAAGTGTTACAACCCGAAAACAGTCCATCAAGTCCGCTCATCTGACTGTGTTGTAGTGCGATAAAAACCCTGATGACCCGGATGGAACGTGTCTCACTTGTAAAAGGGTCAACTTTGCAAAGACTGGCCAGCTTCCATGTCTGCGGTACAAGATTGCTGATATAGCACTGTACAAGTCTGGGCAAGTTCCAGGATTCGAGTGGACCAGGCGCTGGTCGAATGAGGTATCTGACCCGATTGATACATGGGCATCCCCAGAGGTCAAAACCATTCGAATCTCTGAAGGGTACTCTGACAGTGTCGTGGAATTGCAAGTGCGCCAATTTGTGCCCATGGAAGGTGACAAATTGGACAGGACGTGGGACTACAATGGCGAGAAAAAGTCGGTCCGCATACCACCTTTTGCACTTATTGATACGAAAGAGGCCAGAAAGGCCTTTGCCAGGCACATTGACGCAAGTGTCGATGATACCTTGAAGAATGTCATCAAGACGGTAGAAGGCACGCTGGGCAAATGGATGCGCGTGACGTATCTCGAGGCCTTTCGTCTGGCTCAAAGAAGCGACACCCCGCCAGAAGTGTCCAAGATTTTGCAATCTACATTTAGATTGTGGACATCTACGAGACTCAACACCATTTCATGCTTCATCGTGGGTGAGGAAACCCTGGGCATGCCGTCTGATATACTGGACGACACCAGCCCTACGCCAGGCAAAGTCCCGGTGCCACCAGTCATGGGCGCGCAGCTCAATTTGCTCATGATTCATGAGATACAGGCAAAGCTGCGAAAAACGGTACTGGAACAGTTGCAAAAGATTGTGCAAAAGAACAAGCACAGCACCTGGCTAGTGACGTATTTTGTAAACTTTATCCTGCTGCACAATGCGTCCATGATTATTTCCCATGATGCAGGGTATGCAAAGAAGCATGGGATAAAAGTAAGTGAATCCTAGGAACAAGTTACAAGTTTGGCTTGGGCTTTTATTGTTTGGCACACGAATCTAACTAGAACCCAGCGACGGTTTGCCCGCGAAGACAAGGTCAAAGAGTACCACATCGGCAAGTCCGACCAGACTATTCTTGTTTCAAATTTCAACATGGAGACTAATTTTTTGCGTAGGAGCAAACATTATTCTTGCCTACTTTCACTACTGCAACAAAGGCCTGTATCCATTTTCCGACGAGTGCAGCGACTCGGAGCTAAAGAGTCTGGCCGAGTTGAATGAGAATGATGTGAAATTTGTTCGGTGCACGGCAAATTATGCAAGGGCGCGAGGTAAGCTAAGCTGTGATGTTGCTCAAAAACACAGGCTGACGTTCTTTTTTTGTCAAAGAGGTTGCATGGCGGAGATTGCGCGAGTCGCACGATTACGATCATCCCGAGTACTACATTTCACAAATGTTTGAGCAGAATTGGAAGCCGAGATCCATGGTTGTGTAGAGGATTAATTGGTAAATCTGTTGTTGATGGCAGATGATCTATGGAAAATTAATTAGTCGATACTATAGCTTATATGTGCATAATCTACTGAATGAATGATTAATACGTCATTACTGTACTTGATTTGCAAATACTCTACCTGGATGAAAAGTCTTGTAATCATAGACCGCACAGGACCACTCACCTCGTCCTTGCCGAATCTTCTACAACTCTTCCATCGTCCGGCCAGCCCCGTCATGTGATGCTGCAGCTGATGGCTATCAAAACATCAGACCGGCCCAACGAACCGAATAACTGGGACCGGTGAGCTACCGGAGCAAAAGAAGGCGAGAAAGACGGTAAGAAGGAGCGCATTATATCCCTGCTCTGGGCAAACGGCAAACGGCTAACTTTTTCGTCGGGACAATGGCCCCCATCCACCGCATAAACGTGGCATCGGCTTTCGCTGATGAAACTGTAAGATGCTATTTTTTTTTTGAACAAAGAATATCCTGAATCGGCCATCTAGGCCGCCCTGTATATATGCAACCACACCTATACCGCTGCCACAAATTATAAAGTGTCGGCGGCACTTTGTGTCCTAGCTCGAGTTACACCCGATGTTCATAGCCGTTACTCCTTTAAATGTAGAAATGAGTATCGAGTTAGCTGCTTGTTGGAGTTGGCCGAGAAGACAATTCTCATCAGCCATGCTTGCTTGCTCCGTCTTGTCTGCGGACATGGCCGGCATCTGTGATGCATTGTCGCCCACGATGCACTTTGCCTAACCCACTCGGCTTTCGCACACCATCCACTCTGTCCGCCTATTTGCCTTTGTTTGCAAGTTTTGTAGAGACGAAATTGCATCAACCTATCAAGATACAGAAGCAGGCGTTCTAGCAGACGGCTCGGGACGGTGGGACGGGCCCGGCGAGGCGAGTCGTCGACATCTGACGGGCTCCGCGCCCAAGAGGAAGTCGCAATCCGAAGTCTTGTCCGTCTTTGGAACGCTGAATCAATTGCGTCGAGCAAAGGTGGCATGCAAAAAAAAAAAAAAGGATTAACAAATTCCTGGTGCAAACTACCCAAGAGGGTCCTCCAGCCTCACAGTTGCAGTTGGATGCACGCCGGGTCCGAGCTTCTTCCAACATACCGGATTGTAGTTTTACACACCGTCTAAAACTGTGACCATTGCTGTAGCTTCTCGCAATTCTCGGGATGATGTGGATAATGAACAAAGGAAAACACAAAGCACACACATATACCGACTTTAAAAGTACTAATTGAGAGTCACTTGACGATAGCTATGGGCTGTCTGAAAGGTATAAAGCCATCTGACAATGCTGTCGAAAAGACGTGTCTCTGCATCAATTTCGATTCTCATCATTGTCAATAACCAACTACACTGCTGTCAGTTATTCTACAACATTTATTACAATTTTTACCGTGTCTCTCGAAAACAATGGCTCCTCCCGAGGTCGGACAGATTGTGTTTAGCCAATCCTCTCAGCCACAGGCTCAGTGCAACACTGCTGTGTCTGACCATGCTTTCACTCTTCCTGCTGGATTTCCAAATGTCCTGAGCTCTCCCATGAGCTGGATCGGCAAGCAGCACTCGGATGAAACATCGTATGTTGTGATGCTGAGTATGGAGGACTTGGCTGAGTTGAACCGTGCGCTGTTGCATTTCAAGTGTAAGTTTTCCTGACTTGGCAATGAGAAAAAAAAAGGCATCAATGCTTACAGAAATGATTTTTCAGCTCTTGGTTTGGATGGTGATTTGGTGGACAAGACCAACTTCCCTCTGCCTCAGCTTGCCAAGAAGCTGAATTCCATGCGACGACAAGTGTACGCCGGCCGGGGCTTTGCTCTTCTTCGCGGCCTCAATGTCAACGACTACTGCGTGGATGACTTGACAATCATTTACCTGGGTATCCAGCGCTACATTGCAAACCAATTTGGCCGTCAGGATAACAAGGGTAACATGCTCGGTAAGTTGGAAAAGAAACTCTCTCCCCTCCCCTGCTGTTGCCAACCATTGACTAACACACGGGGAAACAAGTGCACATTGTTGCAGACAACTCTTCGCCCATCAATGCTCACCATCACCGACACTCTACAGCGCCCATTGTAAGTCTAATTGCCACATTGTAAATACCTACCAGAGCAAATGGCTGACGGATATAGACTTTTCATACTGAAGAGTCTGGCGATGTGATTAGCTGGCTCACTCGAAGCACAGCAGCCTCTGGCGGCAAATGCATCATTGCATCGGCCCACACCGTCTACAACATTCTTGCCGCGACACGTCCAGATTTAGTCCGTGTACTTGCTCGGTCCGACTGGCCCTTTGCTTTGTGAGTTGCCAGTTGCCCACCCACCTCCCCCCTAAAAAAATAAGAACGACAAGACCAAAAGTCGATAGCTAACCGGAGTCAGGCCCACGTTTCATTGCCGACCGGTGCTGCAGCACCACGACGGCAAGATCATGATCAACTTTGGCCGCACCGCTCTCATGGGCAGCGCCAGCCACCCTCGCTGCGCGTCCCTGCCGCAGCTCACGCCCGTCCAGGCGGAAGCGCTCGACGCAGTTGAGGCCATTGCGCGGGCCACGCAGCTCGAGATAAAGACTGCGGCGGGCGACATTCACCTGATTAACAACTTTGCGGTGCTGCACCGCCGCCAAGGCTTCGTCGACGGAGCGCAGAGCGGCGAGAAGCGCCACCTCGTGCGCATGAGGCTCCGCGATGAGGAGCTGGGCTGGGCGGTTCCAAGCGAGCTTCAGGCGGAGTGGACGCAGGCCTTTGGAGAGTCTGGGAGCAAAGTCTGGCATGTCGAACCCATGCCGGAAGGCTTCTTTCCGTTGCGCCTCCAGGCAAACTAGGTTGGGCCGAGTTGCAAATGCAGTGCCCTGTGTTCAACGCTGGTTACGGGGACCATGAGGACTTGCCTAGCTGGAGAGTACGGTGATTATTGACAGGTTCAGTTTAGTGCCGATTTGATTAGCTTGTGCTAGCGTTCGCTTTGGTAATGCCAAGTTACCTAGTCATTGTAAGCCAGCACAGTGCGTCTTCCACCACCACACTGTCGCCGCTATGACCTCTCAGGGTCATATCATCCTGTCTCAACTGTTGAATCGTCGCGCATCTGGCACACGGTCATTTGCTGCGATACGCCAGATAGAAAAAAAGTCTTTCAAGTCTTATTGATTCTCCGCGTCGCGCGGATACTCGTCGGGACTTGATCGGTTCGAAACCCCCAAACGTCGACAACATGTCCGCCTCGTCGGGCAAGGCGAAACAGCACCGCGCCGATTCCTCAAACTACACGCCGGTATACCAAGACGACGACGACAACGACCATGACGATTCTCAAGCCCAGAATACATATGAAATGAAGCCGCCGACGAAGCAATATCCCATGGCTCCGCTGCTTGCGCCGCCGCCGCCGTCGACGCCCGGCGCTCGCTACCGTGTGATTGCCATGGCCAGCTGCATCGTCATACTCGTCGCCGCCAACCTATACCTCTCTCTGCCGTATGCGTTTGCCGGCTACGGGTACCGCAACGACAACTGCCCTGTGCCGCCCGAGGACTTGCCGCAGTACTTTCGCACGTCGCCGAACCTGTGGCCCGGGCCGACGGCAACCGGCGCGGCGGCGTTTCTTGCGCAGACGCGCGTATTCGACCCGACGGCCACGTTTGTGCCCAACGAGCCGCTGCAGACGTCGATGCCGATTGAGGGCATGAAGAGCGGCAACGAGAGCATCTTTAAAATGATGGCGTTTCTGGCGCCGTATTTCCCCTCGCCCGGCTTTGGCGTGGACGAGTACCCGCTGCCCGAGGGGGCAGAGATAACGCAGGTCCAGATGCTGTCGCGCCATGGCTCGCGATATCCGACGTCGGGGTCAGACGTGGTGCGGTTTGGGAAAAAAGTTGATGATAGACGAGAAAAGGCCACGTTCAAGGGAGCGCTGGCGTTTATTCAGGACTGGAAGTATGAGCTTGGCCACGACATTTTGGTGCCAAAGGGACGCCAAGAATTGTATGATTCTGGTGTTTTGCATAATTACATGTATGGAAAACTATACAACCCGAGCAGCAAGATTATCGTCCGCACGACTACGCAGGATCGCATGCTCAAGTCTGCCGAGAACTGGCTGGCTGGCTTCTTTGGTCTGGAATGGAGAAACAACGCCACCATTGAAGTTCTTATCGAGGGTAAAAATTTCAACAATTCGCTTGCTGGCTACTTGAACTGCCCAAACTCGTTTATCAAGTCTTCTGGTCTTGAAGCTCCCACCGCTTGGATTAACATGTATCTCAAGGATGGTATGCCGCGCACATTGCCCACAACTCTCTGCCGTATAATGGCGCAGCAACCTGCTAACATGACCAAGCCGTATCGCGATTCAATGCCATGTCCGATGATTTTGAATGGACGGCTCAAGATGCATACGCCGCGCAGACCATGTGTCCATATGAGACTGTATCGTATGGCTTCAGCAAGTTTTGCGATCTATTCACGTATGAAGAGTGGCAAGGCTTCGGCTACTCTGTCGACCTGTCCTTTTCCGCTACCAATGCTTTCCACAGCCCAACAGGCGTACGTGGCATCGCTTGAAATCCCCCTCCCCCCCTCTGACTAGTTTTTGTAAGCTAACATGTAAATCTACACAGCGCGCTATTGGCCTTGGCTATCAACAGGAAGTCATGGCCCGGATCAAGAACCACACTCTCGGCTACTCGGGTTCTCAGATCAACGTCACTCTCGACAACAATCACGAGACCTTTCCGCTGAACCAGAGTCTCTACTTTGACTTTTCCCACGACACCAACATTGTTTCTGTCCTGACTGCGTTTGGTCTGCGCCAGTTTGCCGACGAGCTGCCCCCCACAGAGTACCCCGGCGACCACAATTTCACGATATCTCACATGACGCCCTTTGGCGCCCGTCTCGACATGGAGATTATCAAGGCCCCGCAGCCCGTCTCCCCCCATCGCGACGGCTACCTGCGCGGCAACGAGACGCGCTACATTCACTTTGTCCTCAACCAGCGCACCGTTCCGCTCGGCCAGAGCTTTCCCGAGTGCGACGTGGAGCGCAGAGATGGCTGGTGCGAGCTCGAGACGTTTATCAAGATTCAGGACGAAATGGCGGAAAGGGCACTGTACGACTATGCGTGCTTTGGTGACTATGAGGCCGAGCCATACGGCAAGGTCACAGACGGTGTACCGTATCGGCCCTAGCTAGGTCTTGTTGTATACCTACCTATAGAACGGGCGTTTGTTTGTTGTGTATGATACTACCTAGTTGCGTTTAATACTCCCAAGTCGCGCCATCAAATACAGTGAGACTGGGGATCTGCGGATACATGGAAGCGCACTGATGAAAATCGAGTGTCAGCAAGAAATTCGAAGCATAACCTTCTACGAAGCACCGACTTTGATATGAAAATATATCTTTTTTATATTCTTTGCCGCTATTTAGATGATGCATAAATACCATGTGCCTGGCTAATGCGCTGTGATTCTTTTCCCGCCCAGTTCGTGTGTTTCGGTACACGATTTTGACCATACAAATCCTGCTGACCACCAAAGAGTAGTCATCAAGAAATGATAAAAAAAAAATGCCGAAATGCCAAATGCTCCAAACGCCCGCTCTCGTCTTGTGCGTAAAAACAGATTGATATGACAAATAAAGAAATGAGGTATAAAAAAGCAAAAAGAAGTAAAAAGGAGAGCCTGTGCTTTGGAAGATTATGCCGACGGTTGCTTCTCCTTGATGGTGGGCTCAACCGCCTCGACAATGACTTCCTCGCGGTCACTGTGATCACGTAAGGAAGACGGCGACGATCTCTTGCCCTCGGCCATGGCAACAGAGGAGCTAGTGGGACGAATCATGCTGGCATGCTCTGCGATGCCATGCTGAGGCTCCAACATGGTCCCCTCCTCGGCGGGCTCGCCGCGTTGAGGGCTCCAAGCGAGGAAGTCTCGGCGGACCTCGACATAATCGTAGGAGAACTCGCCGTGCTGATCATCGTCCATGCCGAGAAGCTCGGCCTCCTCGGAGGCGCGCAGCTTCAAGCCGGGGACCAGGTCGATGAGCTTGGCAATGATGGCAGACATGACGAAAGCGTAGCCCGAGGCGGCGACAATGGCGGCGATTTGCCAGCCAATGGTCGCAAAGCGGTGGTCGAGAAAGCCACCGTCAGTACCAGAGTTGACGCCGTCGAGGCCAATGACATGCTTGGTGGCGAAAAATGCGTTGAAGATGAGACCGACCATGCCGCCGATGCCGTGTTCGGCAAACACGTCGAGAGAGTCGTCGATACCAACAAGAAACTTGACTATCAAGAAATGTCTCATTAGTAATTGGATCCGAGTGTATTGGCTGTTAATGACTCACTCTTGGTGCCAAAGTTACAGCACACTCCGGCGACGACGCCGAGGATGATGCTCGCCCAAGGATCGATGAAACCTGACGCGGGTGTAGCAGCAACAAGACCAGAAATCGTACCCGAGCACCAGCCAACCATGGACCACTTGCGAGCAAGACGGAAATCAAGCAGACACCAAGTCATGGCGGCAAACATGGCAGTCAGGCACGAGTTCCAGCAAGCCATGACGGCGCGCAGGTTGGCACCAAAGGCAGAACCGCCGTTGAAGCCGAGCCACCCAAACCAGAGAAGAATGGTGCCGAGGGTAATGAGCGAGATGTTGTGCGGGCGAAAGTTCATCATCATGCGCTCGTTGCGGCGGCCAAGCACCCACGAGTAGGCGAGCGCCGAGACGCCCGAGCCAATCTCGACGGGGACACCTCCCGCATAGTCAAAGACGCCGTGCTTGAAGCCCCAGCCGTCGGGGTTCCAGACCCAGTACGCGAGCGGGCAGTACACGAGGGTGGCCCAGAAAAAGGTGAAGACCATGCCGGGGACGACGCGGCCGCGCTCGGCCACGGCGCCGACGGTCAGGGCGGCGGTGACGGCGCAAAACATCATCTGGTAGAAGGAGTAGAGCAGGGCGGGGACGAGCGGGGAGCCAATCGAGGGCGCGGCCCAGACTTTACGCAGGCCAAAGTGGTGCATGTTGCCGATGAAGCCGCTGGACGAGGTGGGCGAAAAGGCGAGGGAGAAGCCCCAAAAGTACCACTGGAAGACGATGACGCTAAAGGACATCATGACGACCCAGAGCATGGAGAGGGCGGATTTGCGTCGGGCGAGGCCGGAATAGAGAAAGGCGATGCCGGGGACCATAAGGAGGACGAGGCAGGCGCTGATGAGGATGTATGCTTGGTCACCAGATTGGTACCATTGGTTGAGGTTTGTGTCGGCTGGGGGGAAGGAGTTTGAAGGTTAGCCATTTTCATAACTGACGACGCTTAAACACTGTGAACGCATAGAGACTTACTAGAATCACCACCGGTGAGTTCATTGGTGCCGTTAAACGGCACCGGGGCTCCAATATGTGCATACGACATGATGAAGAGCGAGAATCGTAATGTCGGCTCAAGAGCAAATTCGGTGTCAATGGTCTCGCAGACCAAAGTGTAATGTTTCCCAAATAATGTTTTGACAGTCTTGCCCTTTACTATATGCCCGGGAAATCAGTCAATAGTCGTAAGTGGTGAGCGTAACTACTCGGCGACCTGGGGTCAAAAAAAGTTGGAAACAGATGGACACGCGCAAGCTATAATGGGCAGGAGGAGACGTAAAGGTATTTAAAAGAGCTTAAGAGGGGAAAATGAATGAGGTGGACCAAGGCTAAAAAGAGGAGAAAGGGTAACAAGAAAGACTGAATCGTTATCTATTCAGCGAGCAACCGTGGGCAAAGGACGAGGGTGCACCGCCGAAGTACCGAAGAGAAGAGGAGGAGGGCGTGCGCGAGCAACCCAAGTATAGCCGTCCCAGCGAGTCGCAGCGATAGTAAAGAAAAAAAAAAAAAAACTGGGGACGAGAGGACGATATTCGTCTCTGTATGGGCCAAAGAGTTCGGCTGGAGGCTCCAATCATCATGGCTGGCTCTTTTTGGTGTGCTTTTCTTCTGTACGCTGCGTTTCGGGGCCATCGCAGGGCAATAGATAAGAACGGATGGTCTGGGGTTTTGTTTTCGAGGCAGGCTGGAGACTAACGCACGACGGCGTGTGGTGGTGGCTCAGCGGGAAGGATACCACCCCCCCCCCCCCCCCCCCTTCCTCCTTTTTGCTGCTACCGAGCCTGCGGAACATGGCAACGCATGGGACATGTGGATTTCGTATCTCGTTGCTCGTCGCTTGTCGATTACTCTTTACTGGTCGCTTTCTTGCCGGTAGTGGCCCAATGATGAGACAATGACAATGTCGATATAGTCATCCTTGTCCATGTCTCATTGTTTCCAGCTCGTCAATTCAAGTCGATCCCAATTGATCTTCTTGGGGGGACGACCGAGGCTTGGGGGGCCAGCGGCACACCAACAGAAAAGGGACTGCCCAATAAACAGTCGTCCCCCCGTCATTGATAGCAGAAAAGGATAGATAGATAGCGGGTTGAGCAGACGGCGGCGTCCCGAGAAATGGGTGCTTAGTGTCGGGGGACCGACGAAAACTAACAGGCACCACAAAGTTAGAGTGGTTGATGGAGATAATGATAGCGTATGTGCATGGAAGAAAGAAAGATAAAGGCTCAGAAGGGCGTGGAGGGGAGGAGGAGGCTGAAGATTGGAAACCCCGACAATGTGGGGCCTTTTGCTGATTGTGCTAAAGTCACACCCTACCCCACTTTTTCCTCTCCCGCGGTATCTTGCCCTCGAGTCTTTCAGGGCATTGATTGATTGACCATTGGTCAAGAAGAGGCGGGCAAGTGATGATGTTGCCAATCACGCGGATTGCTGCGACGCGGCGTTCAATCGTAGAAAATCCCCAAGACAAGAACAACAAAAAAAAGCCTTTTGGACTCGCGCCGCTGTGGCGTTGACGCCCTTTAAAGGCTAAGCGCAATTCGTAGCAGTTGGCTGTCGCACTCACTCGATGCTTGTCGCGACATGCCACTGCCGTTGAAGCGCGAGATACTCAGTAGAATCTTGCGAGGAAAAGCATGCGGCGCTGCTGCCGTCAACGCAGCTGGAAAAGGAAGAAAGGGTAAGCTAGGTCGACGACCTTTATATATAGTTGAGATCTTTTTTTCTATTAAATATGCAAAAGAATATCAGGGTCCTGACACGATAATGCACGCTTCGTTCCGCGACGGGTTTCCTCGTCCGCAGGTACAAAAATGCGGGTGCCGTCCGACCAGATGGCCGTTTGATAACAACATCAAGTGACGCACAGAGAGAGAGAGCTCAAACTGGTGATCCCAGCTTTATACATTGGGGCCACGGGAGCAGCACCATTGCAGTCCCCTTTCATTAATTTACTTGTCGTATGTGCTTTCGGACGGTCTTGAAATTTGAACGTCAAACACACATATTTGCTTGCCAACTTTCACTGATATACATGGCTCGATTGAACAGTCAACTCTGACCCGTCATCAAATTATTAGCGGTCAATCCTGCTCTTCACAGCCAGGGCAGACGTGGGGTGCATGCAGAAGCTTGGCCCCCCCCCCCATTCCCCCAGACCTATCCATCCACCCACCCCCCTTCTACCGTCTGTATCGGGCCAATCAATCTATTTCTAGACACCCAAAAGATAGGCTTTTCCCCTTGCTTCTGAGCGCCAATGAGAAGCCGTCCCGTCGGCTGTCTCTCTTTTTTTTCTTTTTCTTTTTTTCAGACTCCCAATCGTAACTAGCCCTCAGAATCATTAAAGCATATCTATGTAATCTGCCTCGGCTGCCAGTCTGCCATGGACTTTAGGCTCAACTCTATCCATATACGCAACACCTTTAGTTATATTTCGGATGCTGATCGGTGAGCTTGCAAAGACTCAAGCGTTCTATTGGTAAGTGAGCCGGCAGATGGTTTGGGCTGCAACGCTTGCATGCCAACCCCGTTCTGATTTCCTCCTCTGCTCTGGTGCGACACCTGAACATGTGCTCGGATAGGGTAGAGCCATGCAGATGAAGATCGTAACTAGTAGTGGTTACTTGCAAGAATCAGTTTACCCCAGCTATTCTGGCGACGTCAAAGGTGACTCCAAAGTGATCTTCGGCCGCCAAAGTTGGCTTGCCAGGGACGCAGTAGGCATTTCGTCATGGGCCTTGCATGCTGTCCATTCCGTCATCACCTTTTGTCCAAACTGCTTGATGTCTGGGAAATTCTTTCTTATTTCCGTTCTGACGGAACATTGCAATACTTGGCAAATCTCCCAATAATTACTGTAAATTGTGATTCCATGCTGTGCCTGCGCGGCTGGTCGCACAACTCGTCGCAGAGCCTTCCCCATCACATGCTTTCTCAGCCTGCGTCCGACCCGGTCCATCCCGGGTTGCGCTGCACAACAACTTCCTTCACTGCCAGGGAACAAGGAGAGAAAAATAAGCGGCTCCTAGATTAGTCGCGTAGTAGGCTTTCTATTCGCCCGCCCACCACCACAGCGCCAGATCTCCCGCAGGCACAGGCTTTTTTGTACTAGTCTCACCCCCCCCCCCCTTTTGGCAGCCTTATCAGTGCCAGTTGTACAGCCAATCACGACGCTCTGGTTTACTGATATTCGTCGTTCCCACTGCGACGAGCCAGCCCGGATCCGTCATCGGAGCTGCTGGTCGCCTTGGCTGGGCCCCCATATTAGTGAATAATAAAGGCGATAAAGCATCTCGGGTGGCCGCTGGCCGTCGCGTGACCAACCGACATGGCAATGCGCGGCTTGTTCATCCAAGTCGGTTAAAACTTACTCGGATCAGGAAATGAAGCCGCCTCGCTTCTTGGTCGTCTTGGCAATGGGCATCACCGATAATTGCGAGACTTGCTACGTAACCACAGAGTCCATCTGTCATCTGCCAATCGCATTGGCCCGTCGTTCTGTATCCGTACAACTTGATCAAATGACTTTAATTCTAGGACTGAGATATTTGGCGAACCTAATTGACTCGATTCGACCATCTCACCTATAAAATCCATGTATTTATTCCGCTTCAACCATACGCTATCTTGGACAAGAATAAGCGAGTCCTGCTCAGCCCCCCACGCTACCGACGGAAACTCTTATTGGGCATTGCCAACGGCGCATGATAATTCCATAATTACTCACCACTGGACAGCGCAAACAGCCAAATCAAAAGATGCACAGCTTTCCCGTTTGTTCTTGCCGCGTAATTTCAAACGTTGCAATGTCGTGATTGCGATAATGTAGCATCAATCGATACCGCCGTGGCGTAGAAGCGTGACCAGAGCCCGCCGCACCTACACCGCGTTCGTCCTGCACAGGCCCTACCGCGACGCCATGCAGCGGTCTTCGATGCTGGCCGTGGCAAATGTCGTCTGAGCTGCGAGGCAGCACCCACTCCACTCGAAGGCCGTGGCTCCAAACCTCCCTCGATCCGCTCCGCGGGCACTTGGCAAATCCCGTCGCTGCGCTCTGCGGGTTTGAAAGACGAGTTGGCGTGAGGAGGAGCACTCTGCCTGTGGGAGACCCGATAATCACAAGCGAAAGCTCTGGTACGTGCATAATTAGGCTCATCCGGCTAGTCGCTCTAAAGTAGGGTCGCAAGTTTCGGTCATGAAAGCTCCCAAAGGTGAGAGTGTTGGGGCAGTAAATGCCAATTGCCTGTTCCTCACCCAGGTGATCGGCTCGAAGAGTTCTCAGTTCAACGTCCTTCTCATACGCCCGGATCAAGTGGTAGTTTTTCGGGATACTGTGTAGTTTGCCCTGGCCACAGACGCCGTATTCGCGTGGTGATCGTTTGAGGAATTTTGCCAACGGAATCGTCTCCCGAGGCATGGGCGCGATGCGGCCAGAATGCGGGAAATACACCAAGTTTTCCCCCATTTTATCCCAGTCCGTTTCTGTAGCCACCTATTCTTTGTTTAGAGAGCACGGTCTACCGCTGTGTTGCCAAATGCACTTACCAGGTCGGGAGAAGACGGTACATACGACTCGGCGGTATACCACCAGGGGTGGTGCAATGTCTGAGGGGCTTCTGAATGATGAGGATCGGCTTGTGTTGATCCTTCGTTCAAGACGTGGTCAATAATGATTTCCTCCACAAACTCGTCGCCGTCCCATGAAACATCAGAGTGGTAATCTGTGTCCACACCTTCTGCCGCTACTGCCCAGGCAGTTTCGATATCTTGTTCATGTATATCTTCATCTTCGTCCTCCATTTCTTCGTCTGCGTCATCCTCGTCATCCTCGTCATCCTCGTCATCCTCGTCATCCTCTTCATCCTCATTCTCTCCTTCGTTTGCGTCGTTATTTACTATTTGATCTTCGTCTGAGTCGTCGCCGAAAACCCCTTCCGCATTTCCCAGTAGGCTTGCTATCGCTTGGAGGGCATTCTGGCCGGGAAAGAGCATCTGCAAGTTGTCCATTCGATCTAATCCAGACTCAAACTCGGGGCACGGATTATCGGGTATGGCTCGGACGCAAGGCTCAACATCGGCCATGGGTTGCGAACCAGTGCCGTAAGCAGGAACTATCTCACCGGGTGCACCTCCAATGAGCTCATCCAAGGTGTTTACAGTCACGAAGCTGTCGTCAGATAGAGCCAAAATGCCCCAGCCCCTAGATGAAGGATGTTAGCTGCAAAACATTGAAAATCCAGGGAGCAAAGTACCGAGATGATTCACCGACGCTTTCCTCGCTGCGCCGTAGCGATGGATCCGTTGATCTGATAGCAGACACTGGCTGGCTAGCATTCCATATGTCTGCGATCCAGGCACATCCATCAATGTCAACCGCGGCAACCTTTTCCGCACCACCATTTTCGTCGTCTATGAAGCATATATTGGGAATATTGCTTGTAGTTTGGCCGAGTGCAATCACGATTCGCCAGTTCTTGCTGCGTCTTCGTACATATGCTGCTGGTCCATCGCATGCCGCATCTTCTTCTTCCTGTTGTTGGTTGCTTCTTCTTGGACGTTGCAGTGCAAATGCAAATACAGTCACTTCCCGACGATTGGAACTCACGGCAATGAGACGCGACTGCCGATGCACCGCTAGGCCCCACGCCGAAACTCCTACATTCTCCCGGAAGAAGTGAGTTGGCGGCTTTGCTGATGCGCATCTGAATCTCTTTGGCCCTGCATGATGTGCGAGGGGCGAATTTTCTTGCAAAGCTATCCATTCGGCAATTTCCCTTGTGTAGTATGCGTAAACCTCCCCGTCATCACAGCATGCGACGACAATCTCTTCGTTTCCGAGAAAGCCAGTCGTGAGATGATTGACGGAGTGGGGGACGACTTGGTCTACATAGCCCCCGATGTGAGGCGCAACTTTGCTAGGCTCACAGCGAAACTGGTAATCAGGGCGCCTGGGTAGCCGCTGTCTCGCTATACTTCGTGGCACGTATACAAATATGTAGCTTTGATAGGCTACAAAATAGAGCTGTGAACCAGTTAGCACGCAGCGGATAGCCTTGGAGCCGCAGTGACAAACGTTGTATGCCTGCGATAGGGCTGTCAAGTTATTGCGATAACACTGTGCTGCAGGCAAGGTACTATAAATGGAATGCTCGTTTACGCTCTCTTGATCGAGAAACTCTGGTGTCCACAAGTATGACGCTTGGTGGCCCAGAGCAGGAAGCCCAAGAGCCACTCGTTCGCGATCTCGAATGGCTGCTTTTGCATCAGGCCCAAACTGTCGGATTCACATTAGACACGCACATGACCATCATCGCAATATGGCAATCTCACCCTATCGTTGGCCGTCTGCCAGTGACAGACGCCGATCGTGGCAGGAACCCATCTTCTTTGCGGCTGCGATTCGGGCTCTTTGGTCGCCATTTGGCCGCTAAAGGATGCCCTGAGATGTCGCACTGTACCCTTATCCGATAAGAAGGAGGCTTGAGGAGAATGAGTCGCGGGATTAATTCGGCTGAGTTTTTGCGATTGAGTTTCGATGAAATCCTCTCGATGGCCAGAATGTAGGTGCGATGAAGTGATGTCGTTTGCTTCAACAAGAGTCATGAGGCGAAATAAAGTAATGGTGGGTGGGGAACGCGGCCGTCGACCATCATTGCTCGCCACATACGCGCCCACCCGCCACATTCACTACTTGGTGGCTAAATAAAAGAGGCGGCTAGCAATTTTTAATTTTTGCAAGAGAAGAATTATGCTGCAGGGTTCCTTCTCCATTTGGGCGGGCAAGTTGCGCTACGTTGCACACGTCACAGTAATCGGCAGTTGACTGGCCCAAATAGTCTTGAATGCGGTGCGACAACTAAGCCAGAGTATTCCGTTTCACTGAATTTCCTTCATCTCAATTTTTGTTACGTCTGCGTAAAGCATACTTGAACGAAACAAATTGCCAAGCGTCACAAGTGTTACACGTTGCCTGTGTATTCGGCATAGCCCAATCAGACCTTAGCACCATCACGAGTGGCATTCAGTAACCGCAAATATCTACTGCTTGCAGTTTTACACATTGCTTGGAATTCCGGTAGCAGATTCTGGCGGCTGTATCATAGATATGTTAACAAACTGGGTCAAGATTCACCCTAGAAGGCTTGAAAGCTTTGCATTCTGAGAGACTCGCAGTTTGTCCTACATGTTACACGTGGGCGTGGACAGACCATCAACGTGCTCAGGAAAAGCCCCTGGACGCGGAAGAGCCAAAATATTGTATGAATGTGTGAAGAATATGTTAGATTCTGTGTCGGGTCAAAACTGAAGATGTTCTTCCTAATGAAGCAGACATACGTTCATACGCCACCAAAGTACCACAGCCCAGCTCACATTAACTTGTGAACTGTGACAAACACTTTTCTGAAGGAACAAAGCCGTGCTATCCATAAAAGAGGCATCGAGTAATTAGAAGCTATCACAGCAACATCATCACCGTCACTTCTTATTGCTGCATTAGCTCTACCATGTCCTTCATGCGATAATCCAGCACCGGCGTCTCCCAGTCACTCTCAACCAGCGAGTACGTTTCCACCGTGCTCTTGTACGCCTTGTTCGGGTTAATCGCCCAGTAACCAAAATCCGCATCCACCTCCTTGAGCAGCCGCCACAAATTCTGCCAGTACCGCGCGCCGCCTCTCGACGGGTGCCTGCTCGCGCCGAGCTCCCCGACCCAGACCGGCGCGACGTCCTGCTCCAGCAGGTACAGCCAGCTTCTGCGCATCGTCGCCACAAACGAGTCGTATCCGCGCTGCGCGAAGCGTCCGCCCCAGCTGCCCCAGCCCGACCACGCGTAGACGTGCGCCGAGTACACGAGCTTGTCCTTTACGCTCAGAGTCACCGGCCGCCGCCGCGCACCCGACACGTCATTCGCCGACTCTGTGCCCTCGACGACGACGAGCCAGTCTGGGTTCATCGCGAGCAGCCGCTCGCCGCAGCGCTCCGCCGCCGCCGCCCACTTCTCCCACGGCATGGTGCCCCAGAGGCCGCGGACCTCGTTGCGGAGGTCGGCGCCGATGACGAGCGGGTTAGCCACGAGCCGTCCCATGACGGCCTCCCAGTTGCGGATCCAGCTTTCCTCGGTCTGGCGGACGCTGCACAGCGCGCCGAGGTGGTCGTTGGCCCAGCCCGCGTCGCACGGGTTCGCGCCGCAGCACCACGTCGCGGTGGTGATGTGGTTGTTGACAATGACCGCCAGCCCGGCATCGGTCAGCGCCACGACGACGGCCTCGAAGACGTCGAGTGCGGAGAGACCGGCAAGATCCGGGTTCGCCAGGACGAGGTGTGGCGCGATGATGGGGTTGCGCAGGACCAGCTCGTCGGCGTAGGGGAGCCGCACGCTGTTGAAGCCCATTCGGCGAATCGTCGAGGCAATGGCGGCGCGGTGGCGGACTTCCAGGCCGCCAGGGACAAAGAGCTCGTCGCTCGCCCCGTACCAGTTGACGGACAACAGCTTGAAGCGATCGCCCGCAGCGTCGACAATGTAGCGGCCGCGCGTACGTAGCGGTAGCTTGCGCTGCAGGATGCTCGTCCGCTCTAGCGGCGGCGGCAGCGGCTTTTGAGCGAATCGATTGGTCTCGTCGTCGGGCAACCACGGCGCCGTCATGTATGCTTCTCTTTGCCACACGTACACTGTGCCGACAGCGACAACGGCCAGAAATATGAGCAGAAACATGTTGCACCTGGTAAATCTCCTGCGCTTCCCGAGGTGGCCGCTGCTCCAGCGCGGCAACGGTGTTCTGGGGTCCCAAGTGCCTTGTTCGTCGTTTGATGGAGATGGCGCGGAGCGGTTCTGCCGTATGTCGTCGGCGGCGGCGGAAGAGCTACTCGATCCTAGTAGACGGAGGGTTTCTCCTGCGAAGGCCGGTTCTGAAATTGGGGCTGACTTGCGCGACGAGACAATGTTCGTATCGTGCTGGGGCGATGACCGCCTGCTGCGCTGCGTCCCCTTGGCTGCCATTTCCCAACGGTTCCGTTTCTGGGCTTAGCACAAACAGGGCAATGAAGCACGCGACGAGACAAGTTCAGCAAGTGTGGCAGGATAATGCCGCAATGAAAGAAGCTAGAGCAGATTCTAGCAGAGCCGTGCGGTTCAAAATATGTAATCCTGCCCTCAGCTTGGAATAATGGTCGGTCTCTGCTCGAAACGCAAAATGAGGCCGTGAATAAGGCCAGATCGCACAGCCAGCAAATTCACCCTGCGTTGTACTCTTGTCAGGGATCGCGCCGGTCAGTTTCGGGTACTCGAGATCCAAAAAAAAAAAAGCCCTGATGATACTGATTAATAGAGCAATGTAATGTTGCAGATGTTCAGTTTACCATTCGAAAGTGACGGACCTCTTTTGAGGCCAGCGTCCGGGTCAGCCGGGACTACTTGGGCGTCTTTCACTAAGCTCTATATTTTCCGACTCAAGTTCTGGGGTAACTGCTTGCTCACACGCGCTAATGATTTGCAGGTCTATGCAAAGCAGGAGCCTATTGTTAGCAAAAGATGGTGCTATGGCCGAGATTGTGGTAAATCGGGCAAACTGGAGTTTCCCGAAAGATGACCGATCCAGAGTCGAAAGCTGCTGTAGAAATTCGCCTCATTGCAGGGCGAGACGCCATGCGATCTCCAGCCAGCTAGCATGGCATTGGATCGATACTCTTCTACATCCGTTTTCGATTTTACTTTGTCGGATTTCCAATTACTAAAATAGCTTTTCAGGAAGAACATTCATGATTTTCTACTTGATCATTATTTCTTTCATATTTATAAAATATCTTTTTACAAGATATATAAGCTGTGGTATTCGCGTAGCGTTGAAATCATCAAGATCCTAAATACAGGCGTGAGGTAAAAAAAAAAAAAATACCTAAATCTAACCAAACACAATCCTATCCTTACTCCTAGCTCTTGACTTCTGTGAAAAAAAGAAGTACTTGACAACAGTTGGCATGGCGTGCACCTCTGTCAATGGACAGCGCCGCCGTATTGCCTGCTCAGCCGACCCACATGTTGAAAATCATCAGCATTAGGAAATCGTAAATCGTCCCGCGTTCTTTATAAAACTCGTCGATTCTTTTTTTTTTTTTGCCCAAAAATCTGTTTTAGACATAGACCCGGCGCGAGTGACGGCTGTGGTGGCTGTAATGGGAGCCGTTGGAGCGAGAACGGCTGCGGTGGCGCTGGCTGTGCCGGCTCGTGTGGTAACGCTGCCTGATGCGGCGCTCGTCGACGGCGCTGAAGTGGTCGCCGTGCATAAACGCGGCAAAGGCGGTCCACGCAAAGAGGATGCAGTTGATGATGGCAAATGCCCAGATGGCCTTGAGCATGTGGCAGGGCCCCTCGTAGCTCCAGGTCAGGGCGGTAAAGTTGCCGCCGAGCTGGCTGGTCCAGCGGTGGGGGAGGCTCGGGTCGCTGGCGCACTCGGCGGAGCGGATGTTGCGCAGGTAGTAGATGCCGGCGATGAGGGCGCCGACAATGGCAATGTCGATGAGGCAGACGAAGAAGGCGTTGGCCGAGGAGCGGTGGTAGCTGAAGAGGGTGAAGAGGGCCCAGGCGAGGGCCAGGACGGAGACGATGAAGAGGATGAGGATCGAGGTCGGGGCCAGGACGTTGGCGGTGACGAATTTGTCGACGAACCAGGAGAGCATGCCCATCATGATGATCTGGAGCGGTCAGAGGTTAGCGAAGGGGCTGGCAAGCGGTTGTTGGCGGCCGCAACTGCGCCGACTGGGACACCCCGAGCGCGCCGCGCAACGGATGCGCCGGGGTGAGAGGGAACAGGACGTACGAGGGTCGTAATTTGCGACACGCGCGTGCAGACAAAGACTAGAGCGAAAATCATGTTGGGCGACCTTTTTGTCTCGGTTTAACCAACTAGAGGCAGCGAATGGACGAAGCGAATTGGCGAAAGAGCGCCGGTTGGGTGGGGTGAGGGGTCCGGACGGCGCGGGCCGCAGCAACGAGGCTTATTCTCGAGGGCAGGATTGCGACAAGAATGCGCCGAGGCCAAGGTTGCGAAGAGTTTGTCGATTGCGCGCGCACTGGAATGCAGATATGCAAAGGAAGAAGGAATGGAAGAGTAAATAGAAAAACGAACCGGTTGGTTGCAAGGGGGGAGCACCAAAAGTTAATAAGGCGTCGGGAAATGGCTGGGGTGTGGGCTGCTCGATTTTCCCTGCGTGCATATTATCCGGGAGGCTGGGGGTGGGAGGCAAGGAGTCCCCGGGGGTGGGTTGGACAAGACGACCAGGAACCCATGTTGCCCGTGTTGCTGCAGGAAGTCGCCTCGAGCGCAGCAGGTTTAAAAGAAGAATGTTTTGAATTGTGTTTTGTCATGATGCTGGTCATAGTAGAGCAGTGTATAGGGATCGAAACAGGGCAGAGCATAAAGATCAATCTTGTCGCCCTCGCAAATTTACCGGGGCTAGCATAAACAAATTGTCTTTGGTGGTTTGGCAGCACATTGGCAAGTCGAGTCTGCCAGCTGCGCGAGTTAAATTCAAGTGCCAAGCCCGGAGAGCACAACGTGGGCTACCAGGGTGTTTTAACGCGCATCAAGGCAAGGCATCCACCCAACCAGGCAGGCAACCAGGCAAGGTACGGATACTGCGTACCTGTTAAAAACTCTGAGGTACATCTCTGACAGCGTGGCAGACACATCTTTCTGCTTCTTGACTACATCTCGCGACAAACATAATCACTCAGACAGACGGATGATATTTTTCAGCAAATCTTTCCCGCCCTGACTGGTGCTACAAAGTTCACCAAGTACATGCCTCACCCGCAGTGGCTAAAATTAGGTGACGTCGACGCCTGTGGAGCCCCAGGGTAACCCTGTAAAAGCATGTTACTGAGTTCACGTTCCACCTGTTGTTGCCCTGCCAGCCGCCCTGTGCACAGCATCATGCACATGTACGACAGACGCTGCTCGAATGGATCAAATATTTCATTACGCGCTTAATTCGTCAAATCTCGATTATGTTTCCTTCTCTCTCTCCACATCAACTTCCTTGCTTCTGTCATCTCGCATCTTTTTTCTTGTCCATGTTATCTTAGAACCCGTACTCACAAACTCACAATTATGACCTCCCAGGTATTCCCCCATCCTCCAATGACAGCCCGCCATCTGAATCATGTATCACCATCCTGTGATTTCACCACGACGTTGCACATGTCTCAAAAAAGGCCCTACACCTAAGGCTATGGCCGCTTCCCATGTTTAAAAGTTTGGGGGCCAGAGGGCCTTTGCTTCAGATGCTTCCGGCCGCCTGTGCATGCCGCTAGGTAATATATGACATTTTACCGGCCTAGTCGCCAACTGACAGCCTCAGCCCGGCCGCCACATCATCAATCTAAAGTATGCGAACCAATATTTTCGAATACTGCCTTGCAGCTTTTATAGCTTGGCCGATCCTTCCACGTCATCATGCAAATGCTATATTCAGCTATTCGTTAGCCCTAGAGGGCGAATTAATAAGGCTTGCGGCTTTTGCAAGCGCGTAATAAAGTGTCTACAATAAATCATGTTATGATATGTAGCTTTTCTAGCTCCGATACCTGCTTGATACTTGACTTTTCTGCATTGATCGAACGGTCCAATTGACCAGTATCAAGAATGTAGTCAAGTCGTTTACAATGGATAACTTCGAGACAGTGGTGTATCACGGACATCTTTTGAGACGCAGGCAGATGCTACACAGCCGTCAACCAAGTTTCCTCCAAACCTTCATCGCATCTTCAAATGTCCCTCCAGTCCCCATAGAGCCTATCAAAATGCGGGCCGTCATCTTGAACACCCCCTGACCATTAACGGCCTCCCCTCTGGCCTCGAGACCTGGGATGGCCCCGCTCTGTCTCGGCGGGCTGCCGGCCGGCGGCAGTCCGGTCGTCATTAGCGGTGTTTCTCCTGATCTGACGACCGTGTGTCTGACACGGAGTCTTCTCGTAGTTATGCTATGCCAAAAAGCGGATGCCTTTCAGACAGGACACTGAGATGGGAGCAAATGGACCGCCAGTAGACTCAGCATGTGTCAGTAGGAGTGATACTTTCAGAAGATGATGAAAAAAAGTGACTCGAGCGGGCAAAATTCCCTGCAATCACTAATTATTGCAATACCTCATTTACAACTGCAGTGGCCTATTTATATACTTCATCAGACGTACTTGCGTACAATCGTATGAGCAACGCTGTCCCGTTATTTAGACTTGAGCAGCCCCTGCTTCTCCGCAATCACCTTGCCGATCCTGCCCCACGCGCCAACACCCTCGATGAAGACGCTGAGCTGCCACTTCCACCAGAGCGCCGACCAGCGCGGCACGCCGTGCTTGCGCAGGCGTAGCTGGTCAAACAGCAGCACCTCGACCGCGTGGGCTGCCGCGAGCCAAAACACGACGTTGCGCGCGATCCACAGAAAGGCGTCCGGCCCGCCGGGAAAGTACCGCGCGACCAGGTCCCAGAGCGCGCTGCCGGGAGTCACCCACCGCGAGGCGATGCCCACGGCGTACAGCGCGAGGGTGCCGCCGCCGCCGAGCCACTCGACGGTGGTGCGCGGCCACACGTACTCGGTAATTCGGACGGGGGAGCTGGAGGGCATTATGCAGAGAAAATTTGGTGTTTTGTTGCTTGTAAAGAGAGTGTCGTGGAGATAGATGCCGAGGCAAAAGAAGGAGTTTGAGCCGAGGTCTGTGGACGGTAGCTGTGGACAGAAGATGAGACGAGGCTGATGTTCAAACGGCGATATGGTTAATGTAGACTGTGAGGAGAAGAATACATGCGAAAAAAAAATGAGGATGTAGGAAAGAGGAAAAACAGGAGATCAAAGATGGGATTGGCTCGTCCTCGGCTTTGAACTTGTATGGCTATTAGCGCCTGCTGTCGAGGGAGTTTGCCGGCCACCACCAAAAAAATGCTGCCGCGGCTTGCGCGGGTGGCCGGCGCAACTCCACTAACCGGAGACCGTGGGGCGAGCGCGGAGCAAGAACTGTCAATTTGTATCCGGATACCGGTCCCATGCAGATCTCGCAAGACTCGGAGTAAAAAAGAGGATCGACGGTGAAGCCACACACTCAAGTTGATGCTGGACCTCTCGTCAACTGGCCGTCCTGGTAGAGTAGACTCTACGCGGAGCCACTTTCACACTAGAAAGCTACTATTTAATGGCTTACTTTGACTTATGATTGACCGGCTGCTGATTGACCGGCTGCTGATTGACTGGCTGT